AACCTGTTGCAGTTGCCCCTTCCGCGCGAACGATACACGGTCCGAATGGCTTGCTCGGACAATCTGGGCAGATGAACGGACCAAATTCACTTGCACCTCCAATGGGCGGCAACCAAAACGCACCTAACCCCATGTATGGCAACGCGCCTGCACAGCACGAGCAGACGACGCCTCGTATGCAGCACGCGGTGCAAGCGCCGACCCAAGCTCAGATGTTGATGCCCTTTGCTGGTCCTCCAGGATCTATGGCTATGGGTCAGGGACAGCAGCCGATTCTCAATGACGCATTGAGCTATCTCGACCAAGTTAAGGTGCAATTTGCAGATCACCCAGACGTCTATAATCGATTCCTCGATATTATGAAAGACTTCAAAAGCGGTGCGATTGACACTCCAGGTGTTATTGAGAGGGTATCAACTCTATTCGCGGGCAATCCGGCTTTGATTCAAGGATTCAATACATTTCTCCCACCTGGCTATAAAATTGAGTGTGGAACCAATGGAGACCCAAATGCTATTCGAGTCACTACGCCAATGGGTACTATGGTTTCCACCATGCCCGCTCCAAGGCCACTTTCGCCGCCCCGAAGCGGTGCCGCTAACGGTAACAACGCTCCACAGCATGAGGGCACTTACTATGAAACCGCGCAAGGACGGCCTTGGCCTCAGCAGCAAAGGCCCCAAGGGCCTGAGGGACAAGAAACAATGTTTTCTCCAAACAACCGTACTTTGGGACAGCCTCTGTATGGACCACAGCAAGGACAACAGGGTCACCCACAGCATTCACCAGAAGTTACCTCGCGACCTCATCCTGACCCTGTTGGCTCAGCCGCCGCACTAGCTCACCAACAAGAGCAAAGGGGCGTCTCACAGCTGCAAAATGCCGTTTCTGCTGCTACTGGTCGTTCGCTCATGTCGCCTAGTGTTGACACTGCTACCCCTCAAGGACAAGCAATGAATGGCTCTGCTCAACTTCCCCAAATGGGCGGGGCCGCAGCCGAGAAACGAGGACCAGTGGAGTTCAATCATGCTATCAGCTACGTCAACAAGATCAAGGTAAATAACACTTATTTCAAAGCGGATCCACGGGCACGGACGCTAACTATGGTACAGAATCGATTTGCGGCTCATCCTGATATCTACAAGAACTTCTTGGAGATACTCCAGACCTACCAACGAGAATCGAAACCTATCCAGGACGTATACGCTCAAGTCACTCATCTGTTCGGCGGCGCGCCAGATCTTCTCGAAGATTTCAAACAGTTTCTGCCAGAATCTGCCGCTCACCATAGAGCACAACAACAGGCTGCCAAGAACGCTGCTGAAGATGCGGTTATGCTTAGCAATGTAAGAGGAGAATCAGGATACGGAGTCGCAGCGAACCAACAGACACCTGGTCGCGCAGATACCTCGCGATTGCCTCCCATGGGCAACTTCGCACCCACACCTACAGCGAACCGTGATAACAAGCGGAAGCGTGAGCGACAGGGACCAGTAGCTGCACCCATGCCTGCACCCATGTCTCAAGAGCCGCCGACCTCGAATGTCCGCGGCGGTTACAACCAGGTAAATGTCAACAAGGTACGTGAATCTTTTCGCACTTTTATCGGCAAGACTGGGATCATGGCTTTCAGTCGTTCCTTTTTTCCAAGATGCACGTGCACAGCCCCAACGTCCTCCGGTCAACTCCTCATCCTTTCCTTTTTCAAACGTCGCGCCCACCTTGACTCCCACTCATGATCACGCGCGCTGCCACGTCGAGCGTTGTCGTAGTGCATGGTGGTGGCCGCGACAGGGTTCATTTGCCTAGTGGTCGTTTGGACGCGTTGACGTTGCAATGGCCTCCCCCATCTCTTTCCGATGTGCGGAACGAGCCAAGGAGATCCAGTCACAGAATTGCTGCAGTCCCTAAACGTTTTTTATGTTCTGACGAGAGTTTGTCTGCTAACCAACTCAAGCGTGCAAAGACCGGACATGCTACAAAGCAGACGATTCCAGATGGTCCACCAGTCTCGCCTACCTTGACGCCTGCGCTGCCTGAGCCGATGCCACCAACAACAACAACATCTCCTAGCCAAGATGAGCTTGCGTTCTTTGACCGCGTCAAGAAGTTTATCGGAAACAAGAACATTATGAACGAGTTCTTGAAGCTCTGCAATCTCTACTCGCAGGATTTGATCGATAAGCAACTCCTTCTGTACCGTGCGCAATCCTTCATTGGCGGCAATCAAGAGCTTTTTGCATGGTTCAAGAAGTTCATGGGCGAAGACGAAGAGCAGCAAAATTTGCGTCCCAAGACAGTCAATTCCCGTGTCTCATTGTCCAACTGCCGAAGCTTGGGCCCCAGCTACCGTCTTCTTCCTAGGCGTGAAAGGGAACGCGTATGCAGTGGGCGTGATGAACTTTGCCGATCTGTCTTGAATGACGAATGGGCCTCTCATCCAACGTGGGCTTCCGAAGATTCTGGATTCGTCGCGCATCGCAAGAACACATTCGAAGAAGGTCTCCACAGGATTGAAGAAGAACGCCATGACTATGACTTCAACATCGAAGCCTGTAGCCGCACAATTCAGCAGCTCGAGCCTATCGCTAACCAGTTGCTCACGATGAAGCCCGAAGACAGGATTGGGTTTACTTTGCCTCCCGGGCTGGGCGGACAGAGCGAGACAATCTACAAGCGTGTCATTATGAAGATCTATGGTCGTGACCGGGGCAAAGACGTTATCAAAGAGCTCTTCCAGATGCCTTGGAGCGTAGTCCCAGTGCTTCTCCACCGGTTAAAGACGAAGCTTGAAGACTGGAAGGCTGCCCAACGAGAATGGGAAAAGGTCTGGCGCGACCAGACTCAAAAGATCTTCTGGAAGTCCCTTGATCACCAAAGCATCACAGTCAAGCAAGTTGACAAGCGACAATTTCAACCCAAGTCGCTTACAAACGAGATCCAAGTTCGCTACGAGGAACAAAAACGTCTCCAGCAGATTCAAGAAATTTCACAGCCAGACTATCAGTTTGCCTTCTCCTTCAAGGATGAAGAAGTGCTGTTTGACGTGGCTCGTTTGATGCTCACTTTTGCCGACAACAACCCAGGCGCTGAATTTGCAAAGGTTGTGCCTTTTGTCAGGGAGTTTGTTCCCCTCTTCTTCGGCATCGATTCAGCCAAGTTTGAGCAGCGGGTACACACTTCGGGGCGTGATACGCCCAATGATTCTGGCGAAGATACTCCATCTCCAGATGAAGACGTCTCTCAACGCTTGTTGAAGACAAAGAAGGGTGACCTTCGCCGCGATGTTCTTGATCCCCGCAGCAAGCCGCGGAAGGACAAAGATGACAGCGTCGCCTCAGCGAGCCGGGACAGCACACCAGACAACTCTATGGAAGAGGATGCTGCTGGTGACAGCTCCAACTCAATGCCGCATGCGGACCGACCAGCTAGCCATTGGGTGGAATACGCCGCTACTCCGACTGCCTTTGGTGACAAAGAATTCGAGCACGAAGAACCTTATCGTCGCGTTGAGTACAACATGTACGCAAATGCCTCAATCTACTGCTTCTTCCGCATGTTTGTAATGCTTTACGAGAGGCTTTTGAAGCTCAAGGAGAGTGAGGATGAAGTGCAAAGACTTATCATGCGTGCCAAGGAGCCCAAGCCAGCACAGAAACTCAAGATGCTGGACAAGCAGCCGGAAGACTTTTTCAAGGACACTTCGCCCACAGCAAACTACTACCAGCAACTTCTCGACATGTTCCAGGATCAGATTACTGGAGATGTTGAGATGAACTTTATCGAGGAGACACTACGTCGATACTATTTGCAGATTGGCTGGCAGTTGTACTCATTCGACAGGCTGCTCAGCTCATTGGTTCGATTTGCTGTTGCGATTGTAAGCCAGGATAGCAAGGACAAGAGCCTTGATATCTACAACCTCTTCAGAAAGGACCGCGTCAACGACACCACCACGCACAAGAGCGAGATTGCCTACCGAAAGGCTGTCGAGAAGTTCGCCAAAGATGCTGATACGTACCGCATCACTTATGTAAGCAATGACTGTTCTGTTGTTGATAATACACTAACCTTGCAACAGGATCCCGCTAAGATGGAAGCATATGTCCGGCTGTTCAAGAAGGATGACCCTACTTTTGAATTCAACACGCTGGACCGGATCAAGCGCTGGCGGGCATACGTCGCCTCGTACATGGCTGTCGAGCCTACCGAGGAGGTTGATCTCTCACGCGTCAACTATCCTTACCTTAAGAGGCGTCTGGCAAAGGCCGAACTTCTCTCCGAAGAAGACCGTTTCCATCAGGTCCTGCATGACGACAAGATTACTGTTTCCATCAGTCCTTCTGCCTACGTCATGACATTCATCAACAGCGAGCCATTTGGTACAGGTGGTGTGCAGTACTTCCTCCAGCCGGATGCCGTGCGCGCAGGTGTCAGCGAGGCGGTTCCAAAGCCCAGCGAGGAGTACAAGAAGCTCAACGACGACAGGAGAGAGAGGGTTCAAGAAATTCTTGTGAGGAACAACAGCTGGATGAAGGATCTGAGTCGCGATGAGGTGGATGCCAAGAAGACGGCGTTCAAGAAGGACATGGAAGAGCCTAGGAAAGTGGCTGAAGGCGAGGACGTGGACATGGATGGCGCAGATGGGTTCGCGTACTAAGTTTACGGGTTGGTGTCGCGTTGGAAATTGGGCGGAACTGTTGTGTCCTCGGCGTTGTGGGTTTGGATGGTCTGACTGTGACGCGTTGATTTTGCTTAATGATCTTCGCATCGCACACATGGGGGGAGCGGATTGGCGTACAACACATGGCCTACGTGCACAGCATAGCACTTCCTTTGCGTTCTTTGGAGCTGGTGTTTGATTGGTGTTCCGGATGATAACCCAGCTCATCTACTATATCCATTTTGTATGTGTGTATGTGAGAGTTTTTTTCTAGGTTCCAAATTTATTATATTCTGCTTTCCAACCTTGTCCTCTTCTTGCCTTCCTCACCCAGTAGTCATTTACTTACATTCTTAGCCAACCACTCCTCCCACTGCTCCACAGTCCAACTACTACTAATCTCATTCCTCACAACCCCATCAAACACCACCGTCGGCGTAACATGCACACCCGTCATGCGATTCGCCTTGACCTGCACCTTGACATCATCCGTTACCCCATTCCCGGAATTCAAACTCCCATCCTCCCCCGGCTTATCGCTAATCTCTAACAACCCATACACCTTCCCCTCGTCCACCCCTACACTCGCCGCTATCTTCGCCAACCGCCTGTACGTCTGATTCCTCGTCTCATTCACTAGACTGACATCGAAAAAGTCTTTTTGCTGCTCAAACAGCTTCTCTGAGAAGTCGTAGAATTTGCCAGCGTCGACGCGTTGGACGGCGTACGCGGCTTCGTGGACGAGCGTTGAGGACGGGTGCCAGGGTTGGATTTGCTGGCGGAAAATGGTGACGAGGCTTGTGCCGTAGGTGGAAAGGAGGGTGTTGCGGAGAGGAGGGGTGAAGAGGGTTTTGTACATTTTGGCGGAGAAGGGACAGACGTAGTCAAGGTCTGCACGTCATGTTGTTAGGTATGGGAAATGTAGGGAATGGAAAGGGAAGACGGACAGAACTCGAGGGTGTGAACGGCTTTGGGTTGGATGGAGGAGGAGGCTAGCTTTTGGCCTGCGAATTTGGGTGCGAGAGCCATTGTTTGCGGGTGCGATTCGCTGTTGTTGTTTTTTTTGGGTTGGATGGGAGAAGGGGAAGGTTAGGAAGAAGGGGTTTTGTAGGAGAATGGAGAGGTCGAGGTGGTGAGATGTATGGTGGAAAAAGCACGCAATTGTAGGGTAGGGTTCAGATGCTGGGAGCGGCGGGTATGACGACAGTCGGACCGGCTGGAATCGACATGTGAAGATTTGATGCGATTGTGGGAATATCGAGCTAGCACGATTATTCTTCAGATGCTCAAGAGACCTATAGTAATTACCGATTATCCTGGAAAATAATGAATGTAGCTTTAAGGAATTACATCTATTGGGACTGCTCGCGCTCTAAAGCATAGCGTGCCCCTCCCCCGCCATGTCCAACCAAGATGGTCGCGGCAACTCCACACATTTCCGAAACTCAAAGCTTCCATGCAGCACGCCGTCATAGCTCAACTTTCTTGGGACAACCATTGTCTCTATTTGAATTTTCAATCCAAATACCACCTCTGTATTTGATTCATAATGTCCGACCTCAATTCTACCGACGACGATCTCCTCACTCGCCTTAATGCGCTCAAAAAGTCCTCTGTCAGCTTGGATACCAACTACAACGCGTCAATAGCGCCTGCGGAACCTCCCAAACCTACCGACGATCTTGCAGCACGATTTGCGCGTCTAGGCTCCGTGTCGCCGGCGGGCTCTCCACAGCCATCACGAACAGCGTCCACAAATAATATACGCGCACCAACTGTGGCACCGGGTGCATCAAACTATCTAGAGGGGGTATCTCAGGGTGTGGGTAGCTCAAATGTTGAGTTCAACGATGAAGACGAAAAGAGTCTAGAGGAGCTGCTGGGTGAATTGAATGACGCCATTGGAGACAGAAAGGAATGGGATGTGTCCAAGGAGGAGCAGCAAGATGTTGGGAAGCTATTGAAAGATATGCGCAAGATATTACCAGAAGTGGTGAATAGTCGTGCACAAGGGCAAGGCGATAAGGGTAAAACAGAGGGGCTAACGGATTGGGAGAGCATAGAAGTCAACGTTGGCAGCGGAGAAGTTGGTGCAAAGCAAGACAGTGACGAAGAAGTGGACGAAGAAGGCAAAAAGAAAACTGAAGATGACGAGGCCGACGACATCATTGCAAGAGTCATGGCTGAGCTTGAAATAAGCAAGAAATACGATCCTCCCTCCCCAGCATCAGAAGACAACAAGTCAGACTCTGGAGACCAGAAACTCCGCAACGAAACTACAGATAACGACCTGAGTCTTCCTTCTGCACCCCAAGATCTACCCAACCCCGACACACAAGCCATAGAAGACGACTTCACCGCCCGTCTAGCCGCCCTCGCCGCACCCTCACCCTCCCAAACAGACGCTCTTGGCCTCCCCTCCGCACCATCCTTCGCTCCCACAAAGAAACCCCCCGTCTCAACGAATCTGCAAAAGAAGATCGACGAAGAAATCGATACGTGGTGTATCATATGTCAGGACGATGCGACACTCAAGTGTTTGGGCTGCGATAACGATTTATACTGCCAGAACTGCTGGATGGAAGGACACAAGGGGGAGAGTGCGGGATTTGAGGAACGACGGCACAAGGCTGTGCTATATTCGAGGAAGAAGAAGCAGACTACTGTATAAAGAAGGGGGGGAATCGTGGGATTTTTTGACTTTTGGATTGCTATATACCCTCGCTTCCGAAAGAGAGGACTAGGTCTGATCTCCGTTGGTTTCTACGGAAATTTCGACTTCCCTCACGGCTTAGGCTCTATGCTCAATGAGACACATTGCTTGCTATGGTGTATACCAGCAATGCCGTGGCAGACAGCCAGAATGGTGTGGGTCAGTACGCAAGGCCATGTACTCCCACAGTAGACGCATCTGGGGCATGCGGAAATAGTGAACCGCTCGGAAACGACCATTCTTGAATAATCACTATCTCACTCAATATTGGATCGGAGGCTATGACTGAGAGCCCTGTTCATCCCGGAGCTGTTCTCACAAGATCAACGGCAGGTGAAGAGACGCAAGGCGATATAAGAAGAACCATAGCAGTTGAAACTTGCAACATTTGCGAGTCTGGTATCTTGGAAAGCAGAGACGAGTCATACTACAAAATATTATATATATACACTTTAATTCTTGTGTTTTTCCTCGAAAGCCAACATCGCACCCATTACTCTTTCATACGTCCACATGGTGACGGCACTGGCTGGTGCCGCTTTGAGCAGACTGACGGTCAGGCCGCGATACATACCCCGCCTTCCTTCGTGTTTCCAGATATGGGCCAAGGTGCTAACTACACCGGTATATGTAGGTATGTTCCGATGGACGTAGCGCTCTCGGGTGGGGCCTTGGACTTGCAGTCGCTTGCGTGTCGTATCGAGCGGGTAGACAGCGGTCTTGGAAAGGATACTTGCTATGACACCTGCTACGGCATCTGAGCTTCCGAGCGGTAGGTGGATTGGAGAGGCGGCGGTAATTGGCTTCAAACTCTCGTAGCTGGCAAAGAAGAGGCCCATGTACGGGACAATCTGGCTGACACCAGCTCCAAGACCGCGGAAGAAGCCAGTGGGGCCTTCATGCTGCGCTATGTGTCTTAGAGAAGCGACGATGGACGTATACACGCGTTCGGTTCCCTGAGCAGCAAAACGCGTGCGGAGTAGATCGAGGGGATATGTGAGCGTCGTCGCGGCAGCACCAGCCGAAGCGCCACTGATGAAGTTGGTCACAGAACCGGGCAGGGTGTAGGGTGGAGGAAGCGCCTCGAGTATATGCGAGACATATGTATAGGCCGAGAACTGAACGCTGCCGTAGGTCAAGTACATGAGCTCGGCGGGTATGTTGCCCTTCCACAGGCCAGTGAGGCCCTCCTCGCGCAGAATCTGCTTGAGGGTGCCCAGCGTTCCCTTGTACACAGGGCCCTGGACATGGCGAACGCTGAAGGGGTCGGACAGCGAGTGGATTTGAAGCTGCAGGCGGATCTTGATGACGTCGAGGGGTGCGATCACGAAGCTGTTCACATGTCAGCCATGTCGATGGTGATGAGGCCAAAGGATGAAGAATACCGTGAGACCAAGCCTGCAACTGCACCTGCAATCACCACTTGCCGCTGGGAGCCCTGCGAGATATATTAGTCCCGCGTTCTTTGTGTCTCCAAACGGTCGAGGCTGATGAATGGTACCTCATGCTTCAACTGCGCTACACCCTCAGACATGCGCCCAGTGCGTCAGTCGACACACGTGCTGGGGTTTGGGGCGCGATTGTATGTCCTCAACAGATCCTCGGTATGCAGAAGGAATGGGTGCCTGATGTTGCCGACAGAGGGTGTGTGATGACCTCGGTCAATGGCGCGTTTGATTCCCACATTCCCTCCAAGCTCGCGCGACAGAAAAGAAGCAGACCCCGCCTCGTTTTGTTGCCATTGGTATTCACCAGCTGCGACCAACTGACTGACCAACCATGACTTCTAACATCATCTCCAAGCTTCCTTCACGTCATCTGAGACTAAAAGTAACAAACGCCTACAAGACACGCGCTGCAGTCCAAGGACGGAGCTTCCGCTTCCATTCGTGCTGGCGATCACCGAATCCCGCCGAGCATGCTAATCGGAGCCCCGCTACCCATGGTCCTTTCAGGCCAACCAGACCACGGCAACAGCAACCACAGCTGCGCCAGGTGGAATGGGCAGAAGAGCAGGGAAACCCAGTCCACGATGTAACAGCAGGTGCTCCAGCAAAAAGCATCTCAGTGAATATCGACGGACAAGCCAGGGTCTTCGATGCTGCATTCCTGCGCGATAGTTGTACTTGCGTGCACTGCGTGGACCAATATAGCAACAATAGGCTTTTCCAGACCTCAGACATCCCAGTAGATATAAAAGGTAGCGCCAAGGCTGTTGTCGACGATACCAAAGGAGACTCAATTGAAGTGCAATGGGACAGTGATGTCAAGGGGTTTAGCTCGGAGCATCGCACTCGGCACTCCATCAATTGGCTCCGCCAGGCACTCAACACAGAGGTCCGGACAAGCAGTGGCGTACGATACGATGACCGAGTATTCTGGGACGGCAAGGAGATTACAAAAGCTAACAAATGGCTCGACTACGATGCCTACATGTCTCGAGACGAGACTCTCTTCGACGCTCTTACCCACCTCCATAGATACGGTCTCCTTTTCATCAACAACGTGCCTGATTCAGAGGAATCCGTCGTCTCTCTTGCTTCTCGTGTGGGAACTCTCAAAGACACTTTCTACGGCCGCACATGGGATGTTCGCTCCAAGCCCAAAGCCGAAAACATTGCCTACACCCCCGACTATCTCGGTCTCCACATGGATCTCCTGTACACATCCAACCCACCACACCTTCAACTTCTCCACTCATTGCGTGCCCGTACCCCAGGCGGTGAATCCTTCTTCTCCGACGCCTTTGCTGCCGCCCACCAACTCCGCGAGCAATCAGTGGACCACTTCAATACGCTGTGCACTTTTCCCATCACATACCACTACCATCACCCGCAAAACCACTACCACCTTACCCGCCCAGTAATCGAGACGTTTCCTTGTCCCGAAGGCACGGAAATTACTAGCAGCACCATCCGCCGCATAAACTGGTCTCCGCCCTTCCAAGCCCCAGTCCAAATGCCCCACGGCAGTAACAATACGCCTTCTCTCCGTTCATACATTGCTGCGGCCCATGCCTACGAGAAGTTGCTTAGTTCCCCAGATAATCTGTACGAGTACAGATTGAACGAGGGCGAGTGCGTCATCTTCGATAATAGGAGGGTGTTGCATGCGCGAAGGGCGTTTGATGCGTCAAAGGGGGAGCGCTGGCTCAAAGGCGCGTATGTGGATAATGATGTTTTCTTCTCCAAGTTGAGGGTGCTGCAGGAGGTGTTTGAGGGGAGGTGGGTTGCTGATGGAGTGGCTAGGGAGGCTGTGGTATAGGGTGGAGAGGAGTATTACTCTTTGTGCTGATAGATAGGCTGCTAATAAGGGGCAGGAGTGAGGAGATATAGACAAGATAGTACTAGCGAGTGGCAGTGGAATAGGGGAACTTGGATATGGACTCGTTTATCTAGAGGGAGAGGGAGAGTGAAGTAAAGAATTGTAGATGATTGAATTTGAATACAAGGAAATGATGTGTATGCCTAGATTGGCATCACCTATCAACATCTTTTCACTCAGTAGTTCATCATGAAGTGTTGATTGAATGAAAAGGCAATAAGCCGACCCGGCTCCCTTCAAGACCAACATTGCCCTTGTTGGGATACCACTATCCAACACAATGAACGAAAAAAAAGGGCGGCATTCGTCCTGATATGATTAGAAGCTTTTACAATTAATCACAGTGTCTCAGAAGATAGAGGGTATTTTAGGGGCTTGAGTAGAAGTCAAATCTTGTCATCTTCAGGGCGCGCAAGGCGTCCTTGTAATCAACACGATTGCTCTGCGCTCTTACAATTAATTGTGTGTCTAATACTAAATTTATGATTCCATCATTGTGTTCGGGTTCTGACTTTCGAAATTCAGTGAATATTCGTAGAGCGCGTCGGTATTTTTCAGATGTGTGTTTACTGAATTATCAACTCGTGAAGACGATGCCCGGAATGTAGACATGCGCTGAACATAGCGGCTGATATTACCGCTTCTTTCAGAAAATGAGGTGGACTAGTGTTCCTCATTAAGATGAAATTCCGTTAGAAGCTGAGAGTTGGCGGTCGGTATGTGTCAATATCACGAGCGCATGTCGTATTCTGCATAATACACACCGCACTGCGACATGCGCGCAAGAATGGCGTGCATGGCGGGCGATACCCCAGATTCTAATATTATTGTCACACCGTCGCGAACTCAGCCTCTAGAATGCCCTAGTATTTCAACCTTTGCTGACGGTGGAGCACAACCAGGGCTGTGCCGTGCCAACACAAGCCAAGACCGTCAGCAAACCCTCAGCTCTCCCTCCCATCACTGCCATCTGATGACGCCCTGCGGTGGACCTAATCACATTCTCCGGCTGGAAAAATCCCGGCCCATATGTCAGCCGCAGTAATTTCGTAACCAACGCAAGCCACGAGTAGATTGTTTGTAAGCTCCAATGTAACGCCCCACAAGCTGTAGCAAGACTGAGCCACAGACTTGACCGAGAGTAGAAAATACTTTGTTGAAGGAACATCTCATGATGGCTGACACTGGTCTGAATGCAACATCATGAGTATTTTGGCGATGACTTCTGAGGTGATGCCGAGCAAGGGCGGTGGCTGCGGCACTACTACTCACCGAGCATGTCTGCGAATAGTTTCAGCCAGGCAGTGTTACAACCACAGCTCGGCTATGAGATGCACTCGATGAAAGGATCAATTGACCATGATATAAATCATGCCGTCTTCGCGACCTAGAAGTCCATCATCAACAACAACAACAATCCCAACAACAGCAACAGCAACTTCCAACCAGCACTTCTACAATCTCCTTCTACCACACACTCTCCAACTTTCGAACCACCAAACCAACACCCCCAAACCACAAAAATGCAGTTCACCACCACCTTCGCCGCCACTGCCATCATGGCCCTCACTGCCTCCGCAGCATCCATCCCCCAGCCCATCCCTCAAGTCACCCTCCGCATCTTCAACGACCAAACCGGCGTCAGCGCTGACACCACCGTCCCCGCTGACGGCACCGTTGTCACCATTCCCGCTCGCTTTACCGGCAGCGCCCTCGACAGCGGCAACGGCAACATCCTGGGCACTTCTGCCCAACTCGTCCAGTTCGAGGACACCACTAAGTGCAAGCTTGCCAACCTCAACATTCCCAGCTGGATCATTGAGCTTGACGGCCGCGCAAAGAACTTTGCTGATTTGGACGGAGATGTCACCAAGCCTGTTCCTACCTGGCTCAATGGATTCCAGTTTTCTTGTGTCAGGGCTTAGATTGTGAGCGGAGTCTAGGACATGAGACAACGAGATTGAGAGAGAGAAAGAGTAGGCGAGCACAGGGGGTTAAGGGGATATGAGAGGTAATGGATGAGAGGAGGACGGGCTTCTTAACGATTGTTTTGTATTGCTTTCCTGGTTTTCTTCAATTCTCTGGCGGCACGACTAGGATGTAGTTTGGGGATGCGGCTTGGAGAGTTTGCTTTTACGACAGTTTCCACACTCCTTTAGACATAGATATTAGAATATAGAATACACGCGTTTCACTTGCATTTTGAATATTTCCTGTTATGAGTTCCCTCTTCCACCAAAAGATAAAGACTGATCCAGAAAAATAGAAATAAACAGTTCCCACGCACGTGACACAGGTTCACGATGCAAAAACATACAAAAACATACGTCAGCGGGGATTCGCTAGTGGTCACCCACCTAACTACTAGTCCGCCGGTAATCAGCTTAAATATGAAAGATCGAACGGGTTTTCTTGCTCCCTGATTCCTGTGAACGTATGTGGATGAAATTCAAATTTGATAAGATATATACTTCGTGGAGATAAAAAAATACCGGCTCAAGCAAGATTTTGACAGTAAATAAAGACGAGTCTTGTTAGCCCATCATTACTATCATATTTCTTACGCGAAGGACAGCAAAATCAATGCTTTTACAGTGGAATTTGAATATACTTACTAGTAAGAGATAGCCACTGTGTTGTAATAGGGCTGACAACGGATCGCTGCGGGCAGATGTGAAGGCACTTTCCTTATTCATACGGGAAAATCATGTAACTGCCGCGAGGATTCGTAATACCTCTCGATCTGATCCTATGTCTTCTCACTGGGATAATAAAAATCGTCTACAAGCAAACCCCCCCTCTGGGGCACTTGGATATGCGGAGAGATGAGAAGACCATTCGAGAACCAATTGAATAAGAATGACGTCAGTGGTATACCCTTCCACTTGTGACCTAGAAAAATAACGAGCAATACTAGATGTACATAGTAGAGAAAGCAAAGGTAATACTCCGAGAAAAAACATCTGACTCAAAGCACGACATCCCGCGGCCACTTAGTCATGCACCATCCATCCCTAACATGGAAGGTACACAATCCAAAATATCTACTAGGCCTTAATTTTTCCATCCCTCAAGCAAAAATCCTCGCAGGAATCCCCTTCACTTCTTCGCAATCCGTATCAATCAATCGACTGCATTGCCAAGCATGCAAGTTTACGCCCATTCCGCCTCATCAACCACTCTCCAACGCGCTCTGAAATCTACCCTGCCCTACAGCATCAACCTGGTATACCGCACCCAACATCCCAACCGGACAGCCCACGCGCACATACTCGCTACTTTCCCCGAATCAACGTCGCCAGAAGCGATACTACCAGAATGCTGGGCAGCAGCGTACTTGGACCGGTCCATGCGCCCAGAAACCGAACTGTGGATCTTCAGCACCCTTGAGCTGCCTTATCATCAATCTTCAACCACTTCTTCAACAGGAGATGGTGGTGAAAAGTACTGCCAAGAGTGCAAAAGAGCTGTATTGATTTTGGTAGATTACATGTCTACATTGCCTACACCTCCAATGCGTATCGACAATCTTCCCGCCATGGACCTTGCAAGGCAGCATGAACAAGAATATCCAACCCCGCCACCTTCAGGCGCTTATGAATCTGCACCAGGAACATATATGCGCCATCTGCTTCTTCCCAAAGCCATCACCGTGGGAGCATGCCAGCGTAATGTGCTTCAAGTTCTGCACAAAGCAGGCGTTGTACGTACGGAGCTTCCAGGTCCAGATGCTGAGCTCAACAAGTTTTTGTTCAAGCATTCCGATCTACCAGAAACTCGAGAGCTGCCTGCTGGGTTACGGTGGGGTGAGATGCGCGAACAGGATATTGAGATTGTCCAAGCACGGACATCTATACCTCGCACACGTAGCACTTTGATGTCATTGAAGAGCGTAGGCGTTTTTGAAGAAAAGATGGACATGCCAGTGGCATGGACATTTCTTGGATTGGATGGCTCTCTGGTTACACTACATACAGAAGAGGCCTATAGAGGTAAAGGAATAGCCAAGGCTGTCGCAACAAGGCTTTTCAAAGAGCACGCACAAGGGTTAGCAGTCGACGACAATGGTGATTCCTGGTCACATGCAGACGTTTACACGGGGAATATACAAAGCGAGAGCGTCTGCGGAAGTTTAGGTGGTAAGGCGCTCTGGAAGTGCTTTTGGTTGCGCATAGATCTTGAAAGGGCAGGAAACCTTGTTAGCATCGCATAATCTGCACTCGCTGATCATCACATAGACAGAATGCAGTGTCAAGTGCACAACTAAAAATCTGTCTTCAAGTCAGCATTAAGATCCGCAACATAAGCTGATGGCAAAAAAGTAAAACAGGTTGCTCATTAAAAAATTAGAGTGTTGTTGTTGTATTTTTGATCCTCACCGTAGGACCTCAGGGTTAAAAAGAAAATAATCATAGCAGGGCGTATAAACGAGGATTTGAGCTTACCTGACGTTGGATTGGGTACCGTTGCTTTGTGAGCATCACGGCCATTCTTTTCTGTTGCTGAGTTCATCTTATCGTATTGTCGTTGACTGTCTAAATCATGAAGACATGATCGGCAGGCCGTAGCCATACCGAGATCTCTCAAGAAATGTCATCGCAAACGTCATAAGCTTAGTCGAAAAGACCGAAGCCCATGTCCTCATCCTCGGACTCCTCCTTCTCCTCCTCCTTGGCCTCCTCCTTGGCGGCAGGGGCGCCGGAAGAAGGAGCAGCACCGCCGGCTGGGGCAGCGGAGGCGTACTTGTCGGGGTTGGCAATGCGGTCCTTAAGCTCGGAGATCTCGTCCCACTCGTAGTCGGTCTCGATGGCGACGGCAAGGACCTTCTTGTAAGAGTTGACAACGGAGTGCATGACGGAAGGCAGAGTGGGGTAGTTGAGAGCCAGGGAGATAGTGGCAATGGTGGTGATGGCGGTAGAGAAGGTCTTGAGGAGCTGCTCCTCGCTAATGTCCAAGACGGAGGCTTCGAAGGTCTGACCGTTGTCGTAGATCTGGTAGATACCCATACCGTAGGTGAAGGGCGAGATGTTCAACAAGTTGAGCAGAGTAGCCTCGGAAGCTCCAACCTTGCTACCGGCCTCAATGAGCTTCAAGTCGGTGGTAATTTCAATAGTACCACGGGCAATCTTGGTGGGGACACCGAGCGCCTGGAAGAAAGAGGTCTTTCCGGGTTCCATACCACTGTCCGGTTGTCAATTGAATATTCACGACGCATATGCCAGAGATATTCTTACGTGTTTCCAGCGGGAATGTACACATCGCCAGGGGCAACGGCACCGGCACGAGCGGGAGCAGCGACACGGTTGGAGAGGATCTTGTCACGGATCTCCTTGAGGTCGCTGTTGGTGAAGACGAAACCAACGTTGCCTATGCCAATGTTAGCGCCATGGCCTAGTGTTGAAGTGTATGTACATGGGAAAACGCACCCTTGACGTGGGGAAGAAGGCGCTCGTACTCTGGGTAGTCGGCGATAAGACCCTTCAGAGCACGGCGGACCATGGTGTTCTTGCCCATGAGGACGACACCCTCGCCGCGGAGCGACTGACGGATCTCGTGCATCTGCTGCGACGAGACATTGTCGACGGTGACGATGAAGATGCTCTTGTACTCCTTGAGGAGGACATCGAGCTTCTCGAAGTAAGCGGCCTTGGATTCTTTCTTGCCCCCCATTGTGTTCGGTGACGCAAAGGGATGTTTAAGGTCTTAGTTTGGGTCGTGGGTGTTGTTGGGGAGAGAAAGTTCGTCCTGGGCGCGAAAATTGAGGTTGTCCGGCTGTGGGTGGCCCCTGCTCGCTAACGCGCTAGCGCGTTCAGAGACAAAGGCAGAGAAAAAGTACGAGCACCCTGGACAGAGACAGCATTAGTCGCAACATCATGGCTGCACCTTACCAATGTCTTGTTGTGCGGAGCTCCAAAGATGTAGGCGACTGGGTGCTCTTCGGCGCGAGTGGACCGAAGTTGGTGGCCCAGTCTAGTAACGGAGCGACATCAGTGTGGCCAGCACAGGAGGCGCAGACCGAAGTGAGTGAGATAATGTGTGGTATTCCATAGTAACCATTTTGCTGCATTGTAGTGTTTTGTTGGATAGTATTGCCTTGCACACATCGCTAACACGAGCAGGAGCAGCAGGACAGCGAATCTGAGGAGCGCCCAGGTAAAAGGATCAAGCTGGAACATCCAAAAGAACAAAAGTCCAACTTTTCGGATCTGATACTATCGCACAATGGAAAGTACCTAATTGGCGTTACTGGCGAGGACAAATGCATCCGAGTCTTTGAAATCGACACCCAGGGTCGACTACACCAATTAAGTGATAGGTAAGAAAGACAGATAATTGTCCAGTGCATGCGCTGATGCCGGCAAGATGCATGTCAAGAAGGCCGTCTTCAATCACCATCACGTCTGACGACACAACAATCCTATGTGCGGACAAGTTCGGAGACGTATATGCTCTGCCACTTCTTCCATCACCAGAAGACGACCTGGTACAGCAGCGTGATATCCCTGCAGCCGAACCAGAGCAGAAGGACTGGATGCCCTCAGCTACAACTCTTACAGTTCACTCTGGCAGAAACCGAAAAACACTGGAAGAGCAGCTCAAGCAAAAGGCAAAGGGTCCCGCAAAGTCTAAAGAGCCCATGCGCTTCGAGCATGAACTCCTCCTCGGACACGTTTCTATGCTCACAGATGTCACTTATGCAAATGTGGATGGTCGGAGTTACATTATAACGGCCGACCGTGACGAGCACATCCGAATTTCACGAGGTCAACCGCAAGCCCACATTATTGAGGGCTTCTGCTTCGGCCACGAGGCCTTTGTAAGCAGACTACGTCTCACACCATCCGGCCTTCTTGTCTCCGGCGGCGGAGACGATGATTTGTTCGTGTGGGATTGGCAAACTTGCTCTCTGAAGGAGAGGCTCACTATCCGAGATCTCGCCTTTGGCCATCTCCAGGGACGGAATGTGGTTCCAATAGACTTGGAGTGTACAAGCTACAAGGTCGCCGTCTCTGGTATATGGTCTTTGCCAAATCAGGGAAATGATGTGCGTATATCGTCTGTTTGATTCTCTTGAAATGCAACATCTGACTTTAGACAGGCCGAGCGTATCCTTGTAGCGTGTGAAGGCGTCCCAGCACTATTCGACTTGGCGATGGGAGGATCTACGCCTGGATCCCAAATCTCATTGAAGGGTAACGTGCTTGACATTGCTTTGATTGTGAATCCGACAGGCTCCGTTCGGATTGTAGTCTCCATAGACAACGTCCACAAACCAGGCTCAACCACGGAGAAACGTGAGGATCAAGTAAGCAGCCTACTTGCATATATTTGTGAATCATTACTAACACAAAAAAGGTACCTAAATTGCAATGTTTCTCTCTTCAACCTGAGGGTTTGTGGCAGGAAGATGCAGAGCTTGCAAAGGTGTTGGAGAGTTTTGAGCGGAGTAGCAACACGGCGAATAGCAGTGTTCAGGGCGCCGACGACGATGCTGTTCGGAGCATACTATACAACATCGAGAACCTCAGGAAGCGTCCAGGCGCGGAGGATTAGCTAACGTAGTGCAAGAAAATTGTTCCGGAGATGATGATAGAGGTTGTCAGCACGGCCGGCACACCAAGATAGAAAGTAGACCGTGTTGAGTACGAAGTGTCATGGGCAGTGATTACCTCACGACTTGTGCGCCCAAGCCGGAGAGCCTGTCTGGGCAAATAGCCCGATGGCTCCGACAAGTGCGTGAGTGCCGAAGCCTAGTAGAGGAGCACGGGTCCCCCCGTCTCATGGCGTAAGGATTGTAGAAACCGAAAGTTGCGCGGCTGAGGGCTACGTGGGTCTAGTCGCCATCGGATTTCTAAGAATCCATCTAAGGCACGGCAACGTGCACATGCCGTAGACCCGCGGCAAGGATCTTACTTTTCTCTTGTCTCGCAATAATCTTCTTTCATTTTCACTTGAAGATAGCGCTTGTCTATTATTTCTTGTTGGCAGTCTTCACTCTGATATAGCGCGCGCGCGAAACCTCGGCCGGTACAATCGAATACTGACTAAGCTTGGTTTTGCGCAGGATTGAATAATACAGACACCCCCACTACGCCTCGGTCCATCGCCATCTTCCAGAGCATTGCGGAGTTTCCGAAGCCACCAAGCCAGCGCTCACTAATTACGGCATCTTCTGAGTTAGTTCGAAGACCATCTTTCCAGTCCCTTCTCCCTCATCTTCTTGTTTTCATACAAAACACTCCGTACGTCACTACATACCGGTCGTCCAACTTTGACACCCCATCCCACCATCATCCCGCACACGACCCACATTCACAGCCAGATCTTGCACGCGACCCGCGGGTTTTCGCAAACGTCGCCAAAGTGTTCGCATCACTCTTTCGAAGGGCCACCTCGCCTCGATCTCTGTCCCTGTTCTCCGTGCCCGTCGCTGCCGCCGCATCGCATAACCAGCACGTATCACCTGTAGCGGGGCTCTCGACTGCTTCAAGTTTTTCAAAAGTCCAAGCGCGTAACATGCATTCAAAAGTAGTCAGTAAGTTATGCCTGGGTTTCTACGGCAGGAGCAAGAGCTAACAGTGTTGTAGTCATTGGGTGAGTTTGCGATTGGTTGCGGCACCTTTTTTTTGACGCCGATCTAACATTTGTAGCTCTGGGCCAGCAGGCCACACCGCAGCCATCTATGCTGCACGAGCTGACCTGAACCGTATGTTGTCTCCTCAAACAATCTCACCCACTACTAACCGTGTGTAGCCGTAATGTACGAGGGCTTCATGGCTCTCGGCATTGCAGCAGGCGGTCAGTTGACCACCACTGACGAAGTCGAAAACTTCCCTGGCTTCACAAAGATTGGTGGAGGAAAGCTCATGGTCAGTCGCTAGCCACAAAAATTCTTGTGCGCCAACAATTACTTACAGCAAGCAGGAGCAAATGCGTGAACAATCCGAAGCATGTGGCACTGAAATCATTTCCCAGACCGTCGCCAAGGTTGACCTGAAGGCGCGCCCTTTCAAGTACTGGCTACACCCCATGGGTGACGATGTCGAAATTGAGGAGGAAGAACACACTGCCGATGCTCTGATCATCGCAACCGGAGCCAAGGCAAGGAGGTTAGATCTCAAGGGCGAGGACAAGTACTGGGGTAATGGTGTCTCTGCATGCGCAGTTTGCGACGGATCACTGCCCATGTTCCGTGACCAGCCCCTCGTCGTCATTGGAGGCGGAGATTCAGCAGTAGAGGAGGCACTATACCTCACGAAGAAGGCGAAAAAGGTTACCGTACTCGTCCGGCGAGATAAGCTACGGGCTAGCCGAACCAATGCCCGCCGGTTGACAACACACCCGAAGATTGAGGTCATGTTCAACACCAGCGGTGTTGAGATCAAGGGCGAGGAGAAGAAGAATGGCCTCATGACACACTTGGTGGTCAAGAACAACCAGACACAGGAGGAGCAGACTCTCGAGGCCAAGGGCTTGTTCTATGCCGTAGGACACGACCCAGCCACCGCGCTGTTCAAGGGACAGCTCGACATGGATGAGGATGGCTACCTGATCACTAAGCCTGGTGAGGGTCTTACCAGTGTGGAGGGTGTCTTTGCTGCCGGCGACGTTCAAGACAAGCGATACCGACAGGCCATCACCAGCGCAGGATCCGGCTGCGTTGCTGCTCTCGAAGCCGAGAAGTGGCTCGCTGAGCGTGACGAGAGCGTCAGCAACGAACTCGAGACCGAGAACCAAGCCGAAAAATCACAGACCAACGGCATCGTTCCCGAATACCGCTCCAACCCTCTTCTATAAACGGCTTGTCCCTGCCTGGCTACTGTCGCGTACTTGCACTGTCTTTAGAACAATTTTTTTCTGGCACACCTTGGACAAGAAGGACACAATTCCTTTCCTTTTTCAATGCATATCTGAATGACATGGAGAAAAAAGCAACCCATGTCTTGTATAGATTTCGGCAACATGATAGAAGCCTTTTTTGCATCATGGTTTAGCTGGTTCGGGTGTGGCATCGGGTGTGGCATATTATATAGAATCTTGAGCGGTCGATTTAGGATTTAGATATGGAGAACTCTCGGCAGATAAGGAAATTTGAAGTTGTATCTTGAATGGGTATCATATTTTAGTGCTACACGAGGAATGCGAGTGCTTTTTGTCTCAGACTGTCCTCGAGATTGATGATTCGGCTCATCGTTGGCTCAAGTCGTCATATGATTGAACACCGCATGATGTGCACATGTGACAAGGTACAAGTAGGTAAACTTGATGAACGCATCAACCCTCTAGTAGACAACGTTACCTCACCGTTTGATATATTTCGTGGCAAGGCTGCTGGTTGAGGCGGATAATGGGCGAGATAGATGTCATCTAAGTTGATGAGCATCAGCGCCCCGGGCCACTGGCTTTGAGAAGGTTGAGCGCACTTTCAAAAGCCCTCACTACGCTGATGTCTGCATCGCATTAGTAGATGTCATATTTGAAAAGAAAAATAAATCAAGGGTAGCGCACAGTGGCTTCGCTTCTGCTCAAGTGTATCTTCCGAGTGCTGAACGTAGGCGGTGCGCGTACAGAGTCTGAGGTAGAGTTTAGTAGAACGTTAGACGATGTAGGTATTGGGCGTAGGACACACCTCGAATATGTTCGATCCGTCTCATGCTCATGTCCTGACTGCGCCCATATGCGGAAGTACTAGGCAAAATGATATCAGCACCTTGTGTTGATGTTTGGGAGTGGTAGAAATTACAGTCATGAGGCTTTCCCATTCCTCCATCAACGCTGCTTCCTCGCCGTGGCAAACCTTCACAGCTTCGTGGTACCGGTGATGCAGGTCCTCCCAGTTAAAGTCGTCGATTCTGTGCGCAGGGTCTAAATCATCCTCATCAGATTCTTCCTCGCTGGTTTCACTGATGTGGCTGTCGGTATCATGTTGGGTTTGCTGAGCTGAGTGTGGCCGTTCCGTCTCATCGGAGCCTACTCGTCTATGCGGTGGGCGAGAGTTTTGAGCATCTTGCCTCGGGGGCTCAGCTTCGGATTCTGGATCATTACCCATGCCTTTAGCGTTGGAAAAGGGGGTCAGTACAGGGGGCCAGGAGGGTAGAGCCGGCAAAGTGTGACTTGGGGAGAAGGGTTCACACTCGGTGTCGGAGGTGCTGTTCATTCGCGATGCTTGTAGCGGCGGTCAGTGCTGTGGGTTAGCAGTAGAGTAATTGCAGCACTGTCGTATCACCATCAAGATAGTGTTTGACGCGTGGATATAGATTTGATATCCTTGGGGTATAGCACAATCCGATGTTTTCTGGTGTTGCTTGGGGATATGCTGCGTACACCACGTGCCTGGCGCGATAAGGATTTGGTCAGTCGCGGCATGACGTTGGAAGGTGCGTCTGACTCGCGACTCGCGCCGGTCCCTAGATAGTACCGTACCGCTTCAGTCACGCTGCCTATTTCCTGTGCGCGCCTTCTCGGTGCTCTCCCATTCACCCTCACCTGCACATTACACAAACAGCTCCCCTTCGCATAGCTTGTAATTTTTTTCATAGGCCACTTTACTGGTCGATCTCCATGGATACGTAGGCTGTTGCCAACCCACCGCGGCCAAACACTCACCATGGTCTCGCTGTACCGTCCATTCCTACCACACTACGAAATCTCTGAAGGCGATATCACCTAACACACCTTTTCGCCATGGACTGCGACATCTGCGGGAAAAGCGGCGGCCCCAGCCAGCCTTTCCACTGCATGACATGCGCCCGCTCATACCTCGAACAGCCCCGCATCGAGCTCGCAAGGACGCTGATAGACCGCGATAGCGTCGAGAAGCATGTCAAGGCAATTATAAACGGCTCCGAGGACCAGGCGATACAACACGTCTCGCTTGTGGACTCCAAGGGTGGACTTTTGGTCGATAGACAGGAATGCACGAACAATCTAAACTGGGAAAGGACGAAAGCCGAGACGACGGAAATACAGGAGCGTGTAAGGGATATATCAGAACATACGAATAGACTTCGCGAACAGATCGATGCCACACGAAAGCTGCTCGAGGCGAAACGCGCAGCCAACGCGCAGCGAAAGTCGGACCTTTCCTCAGCCACATATGGGATCGAGTCGCGACGGGCGAATGAGTTGGATAAGGTCCAGCAGAAGATCAAGAGACTGGACTACAATGCGGACAAGATGCATCACGATACGATAGACTTGCGCATGCAGCTATGCACGACTACTGCGAAGCTTGCGGGTCTGAAGATGCAGCGGCGAAAGACGAGAGATGGCAGCATCAAAGAGGTCTTCAACATTGGGCCCGGCTCACGCCTACGGATACATGACCTCCGGGACCTGAATGGTACGGCTCCAGCGATTACTCAATATGGCGACATACTAACCTTTGCGCAGATGTACCTCCAGATAGTCTATCTGCCTCCCTGGCTGCGGTGGCTCAGCTCCTCGTCCGCGTTGCGGCCTACCTGGGGATCCGTCTCCCGGCCGAAATTACACTTCCCCATAGTGATTATCCACAACCGACCATCTTTAGTCCAGCATCCTCGTACCAAGGGAAGAAGGTACCTTTTCCTGGGTCGACGCCTTCACATTCATCAAATGCCAGCCCAGAAGCCTCTCGCACGCTTGAGGCACGCATACACCTCCCTAAGCCCCGTACACTGTTCGTCGACCGACCGTTGAGCCATCTCTCTGCCGAGGATCCCCCTGCTTATTCGTCCTTTATTGAAGGCGTCTCGTTGCTAGCATACAATGTAGCATGGCTTTGTCGGACTCAAGGCATGAAAGACAGCTTCAAGCAGTGGGAAGATACGTGTTCGATGGGTCGCAATCTGTACAGATTGCTGATTGTGCAAGAGTCATACAATGCACAGCGGCTAGAGAACGCGTTTGACAAGGACATCACGACATCAAAGTCATCCCGGTTCATATTTCGCAAGACCCCTGTGGGTTTTGGGCAGCTGTCGCATGCGACATCACATTCCTACCTGGGCATGGCGGAGAATGCAAACTACATTAGCGGATGGGGCCTGTCGCCTACCAAGGTAGTAGATGAGCTGAAGGCATTCTTGCTTGCTGAGCAACAGGCCCAAGAGTGGGATGTACTGAACCAGAAGGAATGGGAGGATATGGAGAACTTGATCGCTGAGGATCCGGTCGTCGTTGGAGAGAAGCGGCGAGGCAATACGGGCTTGGACGATGGACGAAGCTATCTCACTTCGAACATGGCCAATGGAAAGTCTTTGGGATTACGCAAGGGGGATGCCTCTGAAGGGGAGCAGGCAATGCGAAAGAAGGGTGTAAGCGGCTACGTTAAGCTAAAGAGTAGGCCCGGGGATGACGCATACTAATAGGGTAGGTGATGTGAGGGTGGTGACTTGTGTGTATGCGTAAGTATGTATGTAGAAGTAGTCAGGTGGAGAAAGGGTTGGCAGACATATTCAAACCATCAAGTAACGGATATAACAGCGCGTATGGGTGTAGTGCACTGCATATGTCCTTACGTATTACCAATCTCTCGCCCGAGCAGTGGCAGGGCGCCATGTGTAATCAGCAGGGAGCGGGTGCCAAGGCCGTCGCAAGGCGGATAGACTATGACACCATCCCCGCTTGCTCACGAAACCAACGCGCCCTTGTGCCGAGCCAGATGTCGCCATTCGAGCAACCTGCATTTGTGTGTGTGCCAACGCCAGTCTGAATAATGCACTGTTGCTGAGAAATGTCGGATGAGCAAACGGGCCGTCGCCCGGGGGGGGGGGGCGTAGAACAATCTACGTATATATATCAGATGGGTCGGGCGAGAAAAAGCCCAGCCAGCCAGTGGATTCCCTCACCTCCAAAACTTTTTTGTTGCGAAGAAAATTTCTGTCACATCTGCGCGTCTGACCCTGAAAGACGTGATTTCTCTGACCAACCCGGAGACCCAGACCGCCCAAGTACGGCGTTTGTTCTGCGCTAATATTCCTCGCTCGGAACAAAGTACATATTCCTCCACCATAGACGCCCACCATATATATCAGCCTGGTCAAGCCCTCATCTCTAGATTTTAAGAAAGAAAGTTCGCCTGTTCTCCCCATTGTTTAGATCTACGCACGACTCTTCGTCCCAAGTTGAATAGTCTCTCTTCTGCCACCGTCACTTTTCGTCATACTTTACGCAAAAAGAATTCCCAGACCCTACAACCATGACGCTGGCCGACCACCCCATCGATACCCCGCCACGCCCGGCCTCGCCAGTCCACAGATTTGGAACTCTGGCTGTGCACGCTGGAAGTCCTCACGACCCTGTTACTGGCGCTGTAATTGAGCCTGTATGCCTTTTTTTTTCTTTAGTATCATCTGATGTATGATGAGAGCAGTTGGCTGACCATATATCAGATTTCGCTTTCCACCACATTTGCACAGACCAGTGTTGGCCAGCCCATTGGCGAGTACGAGTACTCACGCTCCTCAAACCCCAACCGGTACGTTTTTTCTTCCTTGTCCTTGGAAACATGTAAAGACCAAGAATCACGACTAACGGGCATCTTTGCAGAGACAACTTTGAAAAGGCCGTTGCAGCGCTCGAGCACGCCCGCTATGCGCTCGCCTACTCCTCTGGCTCCGCCGCCACAGCCAACATTCTGCAATCGCTCGCAGCAGGCTCGCACGTCGTGTCCGTCTCGGATGTCTACGGCGGAACGCACCGCTACTTCACCAAAGTGGCCCTCACACACGACGTCAAGGTGACCTTCAGCCCGAGTATCGAAATCGACATTGCCGAACTCATCCGCCCAAACACCAAGCTCATCTGGATTGAGTCGCCCTCGAACCCCACGCTGACCCTTGTCGACATCCGCAAAGTCTCGACAATTGCCCACCAGCACGGCATCATGGTCGTCGTGGACAACACCTTCATGAGCCCGTACGTGCAGAACCCGCTCGACCACGGCGCAGACATCGTCGTGCACTCAGTCACAAAGTACATCAACGGCCACTCAGACGTGGTCATGGGGGCCGCAGCCTTCAACTCCGAGCAACTCTACGAGCGCCTTTCCTTCCTCCAAAATGCCATTGGCGCCGTCCCCTCGGCCTTCGACTGCTGGCTCGCCCACCGCGGCCTCAAGACTCTCCACCTGCGCGCCCGCGAAGCAACGAAGAACGCGACGGGCGTCGCTAAAGCCCTCGAGGCTTCGCAACATGTCATCTCGGTCAACTACCCGGGCCTCAAGTCTCACCCGCAGCACGCCATCGCACTCAAGCAGCACCGCGACGGTATGGGCGGTGGTATGCTGTCGTTCCGCATCCAGGGCGGGCATACCGCTGCTGAGCGCTTCTGCCAGGCTACCAAGATCTTTACGCTTGCAGAGTCGCTCGGTGGTGTCGAGTCCCTCGTTGAAGTCCCCAGTGCTATGACGCACGGTGGTATTCCAAAGGAGCAGCGCGAAGCCGCCGGTGTATTTGACGATCTCGTTCGTATCAGCTGTGGTGTGGAAGATGAGGCGGATCTCGTGGCTGACGTCGTTGCTGCACTGGAGAAGGCGGTTGTTGGAGGCAAGATTCACAATGGAGCGGCTTAATTGGTCTCTTCTTGGGTCTTGTTCGTTTTTGTCTTTTTTTCTTTTTTCCCAAAAAGTCCCTTGGGTATTCACTCAACGTGGCCATGCATGTATTGGCGTTCTTTTACAATTTTTTTGAGCCTTTTTTCTTTTCTTTTCTTTGAAGGGGACGATTCCTACTTGCGTCAATGCGATGTTCACAAAGCACTTTGAGAATAGATAGATATGATTGAGTCTAGCCATCATGGCAGCTGTTTCTAACGATGAAAGACAAAATGATAGATACATTTTTTTTATAACTTGAGAATTTGAAACTTTGAACGTCCAAGTGGCTCTGGTGATGAATATCATACATTATACGAACAGAAGAAAAATGTTCACAAACCCAGATAGAGGCGTGGTAATAGGAATTGAAGATAAGGATGATTATTATAGAATTTCGTTACAACTACATTCTTTCATCTACGACAACAACAACAGCAGCAACTTAGAGTTCATCCCGATTTCGCTCACCACCAGCCTCCTGCTGTTGTTGCTGCTGCTCCTCTTCCAACTTCTTCTGCTCAACATCCTCGTCCCACATCTTCTTCTTTGGATTCCTCGGCTTGCTGCTCTCCTTGAGTACAGTTCCGTCTCCTAGTGTTACTGGACCATCGTCTTCATCCTTCCTCGGTTGCCTAAACTGCGGGTGGTCAGGCACCTCCTCTTGCTGTTGCTGCTGCTGGCCTTGCTCCGCCATTTTGCCAACTTGCTGCGAGTATGAGCCTGGTGGACTGGGGTCTTGATCTTGTTTCTGTCCTCCACGGCCGACAGGAATGTAATGTGGTTGACCGTTGGGTTCGCGCCTGGGAATGCCACCAGCTGCGCTAGGCTGAACAACTAGGGTCCTCGACAATGACGAAGATGCTACGACGCTCGAACTTGCGGCCGACGATGCTGCGCCAATTGGGGCAACGGCAAAAACGATACGGAAGACAAGCTTGAGTGGCCAGAAAACAAACCACGTCAGAGGTCCGTACAACCAGCGTCGGAAAACGAGCCAGATGACAGTTGTTATCAGGACGTAAAAGGTAGTTTCCAGATACCACGTGTCACTCTTTTGGCTTTTCAGTAACGTCGAAACTAGAGTTTTGCTATTCGCTAGCAAAGTGTTGAGGTCCGAGTAATTCTCACCAAGGTTTTCAAGTGCAGCGGTAGATTGTTCGAGTGTCTCTTGCGCAAATCGAGAGCGTGAAAGCTCGTCTCTCATCAACTGGTGTGTCCTACGTAGAGCAGCGGTAACGTCCGAAGAGGTCTGAGCAACAATTTCGCCTTCTGATGTTCCTTGTTGCTGCCTTCTTTGGCGATATGTAGACGAGGGAGTAGAGGAGCCCGATTGTAGGTTGGAGAAGAGTAGTTCGCGCTCTTTGAGTTTTGCGCGGTCGGCGTTGTGCTTAGCAGTGAGCTGGGCCTTGCGATACTGCGCTCGTGAACTGCAGATGTGTATTGGGTTAGTGATCAGCAGACAACATCTCTGGAAAGCATAGCATCTGCCCACTTACGATTTCAAGTCTTCGGTCAACCTTGCAAGTAGTACTGCTAGCCTGCTCCTTTCACTCTCTTTGCTACCGTCTCTTCTTCGACCAGCAATGCCACCCTGTAGAGTAATGTCCTCAACTTCCTGCCTCAGAAGCTCTAGTTCCTCCTCAATTCCCTTGAGTGTCTCGTGTATCTCGGCGCCTAATTCCAACCTCACGTCACCATCTGCAGGGTCTAGTGGCTGTGAACCGGGCTGAAAGTCTAGTTTGGCGAGGCGCTGTATAAGCTGACCGACAGCCTTGTTGGATTCGGCAAGGGCGGTTAGGCGTGTGGTTAGGGATTGGATGGTGGAGGGAATAGGAGCCATAGTGAGGCTCGGAATGCGGAGAGCGACGGTGGCTGTATGAAAGTTGCCCTATGACGGAGGCGGTACGTACGGCGGGCTGTTTGGTGGGGGAAAAGAGCGCAACGTGTCTGAACCACCCGCCGTAGCCTGGCAGGAAATCTCAAGCACGGACTCATGGCGGAAGTGCGACTGGAGAGATTGAGGACGCCCATTGCGATTTCGACCTTCTCCTACCGGACACTCACTGGTACGTCGTCGCATCCTCGTTCACTCGGCAATTGCTAAAATACCGTCTTGACAGGCCTCGCCTTTCCGTCGCCGCCATGATCACCAGGTTCCTTACCGACGTTCGCGTAACCTTCAATCCCTTCTCCCCGCGCTCAAAACCCGCCCGCCTCTTCCTCTCCCTCATACCACCGGATGCGCGCTCAGATGGCATGAAGATTGAGTCCAAGATGCTGCCACGACACAGCAAGGAGCCTGCGACCTTGGGTGTCAAGTTCAGTATGTATCACTTGTTTAGTTTGCAGAACATGGACTAATCCGTACGCGCAGAAGATGGCAAGGAAATGAACCTGGATCTCACAAACATGCGCATCCCACAAGTCGTCGAGGAGGTAGATAGACACTCACGGTCACTGGCACGAAAAGAGGAGCTAGCAGGCAATTAAAGGCCCAATTTCATGCAGATAATTGTACATATACACGTCCACAAAGAACACAGGCTGGCGTCATGGTGGCTTTTTCACTGGAGCTTTCGCAAAACGATTTCATGATTTCTACTATTTTATCTCTACTGCTCTGTATTGGTACGTGATGCACTTGTATCTACCATTTGCCGCAGTGTTTGCCATAGAAGACATCCAGGCTAGCCATCAGACATGGTTGATGCAGTATCGCACATTGCCGCTTGCCTGAAAATCACTCCATGGCCATGGTGGCCAACCGTTAGACTTAGTTGGATGGGGCACCGGAGATGTAGAACCACTTGTCGATGCTGGGGTCGATGGGAGCAGGTGCCTTGTTCTCGCCAGCGGGAATGTTGAGCGAGCTGGCGTCAGCGCGGTCTGGCGAGCTTGAGACGGTAGTGTTGGTGCTGCCAGTCAATTAGTAACAGTCAGGGAGAGGATTGATGCACACATACAGGCTGATCTCGTCCTTGGGGGTCTTTCCAGTGATGAGCTTCTCCCAAGCCTCAGCACACTCGCGGACAATATCCATGGCGTACTTCTTGTTCTTGCACTCGCCAGAGAAGGCAAACTGGTTCTCAGGCTTGCCATCTGGGATCTTGTAGATGCGGAACCACTCATTTGTGGCACGGAGAAGACCAGGTAGGTGGCGCTCGACATCCTCAACGTCGTTGAGCTTGGGGGCCAATGGGTCGTTTACGTTGATGACCATGATCTTCCAGTCGGTCTCGCCCTCGTCGAGCAGAGCCATGACACCGAGGACCTTGACCTGGATAACCTCACCGGGCTTGGCGACAAGCTCACCAATCTCGCACACGTCGAGCGGGTCGTTGTCACCCTTGGCCTTGGTCTCCTGGTGGACGACATTGGGGTCTTCCCAAGTCTATGCAGCATCAGTATTTGTGTGTGTAGACCGATATCGGAATCGCATCATCGTACCTGGGGGAAGGCACCGTAGTTCCAGAGGTAGCCCTTGTGGGGGAAGCAGTTCCTCACGTAGCGGAGCTTGCCCTTCTTGATGTCCTGCTTGATAGGGTTGAGGGGCTCCTCCTTGGAGATCTGGTCACACAGTCAGCGTGCTGCATTCTCGAGACGACCGAGGCGGTCAATTGCAGGCTGCATACCTCCATCTTGGCATTGGTCCAGCGGGGCACCTCAACGACCATGTTGAGGATCGTCTGCTGCTCGTTGGCGTAGAGGGGGATGTCGTGCCATGGCGAGACGAGCTGGCCGTCCTTCTCGATGAAGATGCGGTGCTCGAGCGTGTTGGCTGCGGCAATCTTGCGGGTGGTGTAAGACATGGTGGGCGACGTCTTCGTGGCAGCTGTGTGGAGAGCTGTGGAAGAGGAAGGGGTGTTTAGATGGCCTGCTAGTAGACGAGCCCTCGAGTTGATTTTGTCGTTGAGGGGTCTAGTGGGGCTGCCGGCAGGCGGGGAGCTGTGTTGGGATGGCGGCGCCACTGTGACGAACGTCACCGCTGGCCGTCTGCATGAGACAGCCAACGACAGGTGAAAAGAAAATGGTGGCCGAGAGCTTAGTGTACGGCCAGGACGGAGCTGCAACACAGTACGGTGGGCAGGCATATAGGCAATCTGATTTCAGATGGCGGTCAAAGCATAGCCGATGTCCTTTCCGCGCGATAGCCCAGGCCCGAGGATAGAAAAACAACGACGCTGTGGAGCGCATGCCCGAGCTTCCCCAGCTGCCAGTGCTAGTACGCAGTGCACAGACACCGCCCGCTTTGCCCGCTAGCCCTACTGTGTAACTCCTGCCAGCACGAAGCAACCATCTAGATATGTCTCAAATCATCTGGGAGGGCCTCGGAGCAATCGTCATGCGTCTGTACATGCTTTTGATATCTATACAGACTCGAGTCATTGTCGTCTGGTGAGGCACACGACATTCATAAGCAATATAGCATTAACGCGATGCAGCCCTCTCGGCTTCAATACAACTTATTTGGCCGCCAGAACCCAGGGACCACATCATGGCTGCTAGGCCAAGAATCCTTCTCACTGATGTGGTCTACTGCAAAGGTCCCCTCAGCCACACACATTTCGTTGTTATCCCCGAACTCATACAACATGCTTTCCTCTAGTGTATCATCCCAATCAACATCATCGTAACACATTGCCATGTCATCGTCCATGTAATCTTGCTCGAGAGCCCATGGATCGTCGCCAAGGGCTTCATTGCTCGAAACCCCCAATGATGAATATTGGTGCTGTTCCTGTTGTTCATAGATACCAGGACCAGCAAACGTCGACTGTACATGATGTTGAATAGGTAGCTCAGCAAACCGTACAGTAGGAATGCGCTGCGTCGGCATACGCGAACTTGTCCTGTGTGGTCGGTCTGCTGATTGCATCGGGAGCAATTGTTCTGGTCTGTTGGCACCACTTCTTGGTGACGGAGCTGCCCGATATTGGTTGTAGAGGGTATCTTTGCAGACTTCAAGAACCTTTTCCAGGTCTGAGGAGGTCTCTTGGTCTTCACCACAGTTGTTGTAGCCGTCATCTAGAATCCGATGCTGGCTGGCGGGACGTGTTTCCTTTCTTAGATCTGACGCCTTTCCAAACCTCGGACTATTCGAGCTGTTTGCCGCCAACCCTGAACCCGCGTCTATACTCGGATAGGGGGGCACGACAGGTGGCATTGATGATGAGGAGTAAGCTGTGGCAGTGCTTTGAAGCTTCGCAGAGCGATCCACGAGGTTCACTCGCTTTGGAGACGACGCTTGTTGAGGACAGGACTGCGATCTGAACACTCTACTGTGAGATGGAGCGAGGGAGGATACTCTGAAACATCCTACCGTATCGTCTGTAGTCTGTTTGGCGACTGAAGGAAGCTCTGGCTGTTTGAATGCTCTCTCTGGTCTCTTCCTCTTAGACTTGCAATGTCCATAGCGATCCGAGTCATGCCAGCCATGAGGCGCGTCATCATCGGCTTGGTGGTGTGCTGACGTGGTGCTCAGTGCTCGAATGGATTCAGACCACGACACATAACTGGCACTCTCGTGTCGAGGATACTGACTGTCAAGATGTGGAAGAGACACTCGATCAGCAGGCTCGGCGGTGGGTATCGCCACATCAGTCGTTGAGCTATGACTGTGATGACGCCGCTTTTTCTCACGTACGCTGCTATGGCTAGCGGTTTTGTCTTGAAGTTTTTGTGCCAGCGTATGCCGCCCTGTGGTGAAGAAAGTAGAAATCTCTTCGTCTTTAGTGTGTGTGTGATCTATCTTGCGCTTCTTCCTGGGAACATCTGGTTGGGGCGGGGGCTTGAATTCGTTGTGTTTCTGCAAAAACTTCATTTCGGAAAAAACAAGATCTGGCACTTCCGCAATGTCAGTTGATCGGGTTGCATTCTGTTTTCAAGTAGACCTGGGTATCTGTGGTGGCTCTGGAACACCTACAGCCACGGCCTCGAACTGCAACCGACGTCCGACCTTTGTTAAACAAGCCCAGCTCTGAAGGCTTCAACTATAACAGCCATCAGTACAGTGCCGTGTTAGGTGTGATTCTGGGTTACCGTTGCATGAAGATCATACAGTAAGCCGATCCCCTGGTACATTCTTGGCTTTGAAGTTTCGCGCTACTTGGCCAGACTTCTCAGCCTTCTTCCGTCTGGACTTGTGCCGCGCTTTTTTCGAGGAGTTTTTAGGTCCTGCGTGTCCGGACTTGTTTGGCTCGTAGCGGTCGGGACGTGTCTTCCGCCTGGGTTTGCGAGCATACCGATTGCTTGTGGAGGGGGTACTGGACGAAGCAACGAGAACATGACTGGCAGTTTGTTTCGTCGCCCTTTGCTGGACAGGGGAATCCTGCAAAGGGAGAGGCTCGAGTAAGGAGCTGTCTGACTTTGCTCGCCCTGGCAAACGCTTGTGCTTGCAAGCATCCTGAGGGACTTGGTGCTGCTCTGTCTCCTCCAACCACTTCAGGATGTCCATTATGGGCTGGTCGGTGTGCGTGTGGTGTTTCAGGGCTTCTAATAATGAGTGGATATGGTGCTATTCAATATGCCATTGTATTCGAGTGTCGTCAGGTGGTCTGGTGGAGGTTGTTCCATGTTGGACATGGAAGAGCTGGCGATGAGAAATTACCCGACCGGCTTGAGACGTGCCTGCCGTTGGAGGGAGCGCGGTGACACATGCCTAGAGCTCAAGGCAGGTACGACGGATATGGGAAATTGGCTAGTGTCTGTCTCAAGGGAGAGAAGGCACGACTGATCAGACAGAGAAAAGGGGAGGCTGTCATGTTTGCAACATGGGTTGGCCACAAGCGACATGGTTATTCACCATCTATTTCCGGCCTAGATAACGAGACATGCTATGATAGCTTGATATGATGGCTGTGGGATAATTCTGGGGCAAACCCTGCTAGAATTGTAGAGATGCGTACGCTGCTTTAACAGCAGCAAAAGCCGAGTCCAACCGGCGTGTAGGCGTGAGTCATTTACGAACAGACGGAAGCCGGATTGAGAAGGAGAAATTTAGTGTTGCTCGCGTTGTTTGGTACAGTGTGCTGAAGTATGGGGCAGAATGTGGCAGGACCGAGAGGGCAGCATCCGTGCCGTGAGTATGTACATATTATATTTTGCATGCTGCCAGCCGACGTTTGATGCCAAGACGTCAGTCAGGCTGAACACACGGCGCGACGAGGTTGTGGCTACGTCGAGGTTGTATGATGCAGATACATGTGCGTACGTAACTTTATACATGCGCACATGTACAATAGAGCCGCAAGAAAGAAACAAGAACAAGAGTCGAGGCAGTGGGTATTGTAGGTACAGCACGATACTGTACGCTAAAGTAGATCATCTGCTGGCGCAATGGTGGCGAGCTATCAAAGGCCGAGAGGGTTTAGGCCCGATCCCCGCAGCATCTGACTAGTCATGGCGACTTGATAAGCTTCTTTGAACCACCACCCTGTGTCCAATACCCGGGCTTGGTTGGGGGGTTTGGGACGACAGTGCGCAACGTGGACCAAAGCCACACGCGAAGATCACTGCTGCGCTGAGTAGTGGCCAACATGTTCGCGGAGCAGGCATTGCATGCACCTGGACCTGGACTGGCATCTCGCCGTGGCCCAATGGCAGTGTTGAGGCCATGTCGGCAGTGTCGCGACCAAGGCAGAGGAAACCATCGGCCGGGGCATCACGGGCACCTATCAGAAAAATGCTCTACTCTAGCTCGCCCACAGTCGTGCAATTGGGCAATGCTTGGGCTCGAGCTAGACATAGCCTGCATATCCCCAGCATGAACAGACAGACACGGGACACACTAGGGCGAACCTGCCTGTCAACTGGCGCGAGGCAGAGCCAGTCTCTTGCTGCCGTCATTGTCAGCTGCAACCTGCAGGGCATTTCCCGGCTGCGAAACACCGTGGCTGCAAGAGCCGTACATTGCATTGGGCGGGCGGGCATTGGCATTGGCATTGGCTCTGGCATTGGCTCTGGCTCTGGCATTGGCTCTGGCTCTGGCTCTTCATCCCACTGCCCACTGCCCACTGCTCACAGTCCGTGCGCCCGTCCTGTCGACTTGGATACAGTTAGCGCTCTTTCACCTGCCACACACTGGAGGGGTACTCATATCACACTGCCTGCCCCGCCAAACCCACACGCTGTCGCCATTTGTGCTACTCTGTCCGTCTTGCGCCATCACCCTGCCATCGCGCTTCTCTCTATTTCATCTCTCACTCTCACTCTCACTCTCAACCATACACATACACACCACTGTATCCAGCCCGGTGCTACCTACTATACCAAATGTTCGTCCTGTCACGTTGCTACCTACTGCCCGCTCAAGAAGCCGCCATGGATTCCGAGTCTTGCTCGGCCTCTCCTTTTGTCATGCACCACCTTCTGTCAATCCATGTCTTGAGCTTTTCTGTATCGCGCGCATTGCTTTGACCTGCGAGAGCCACTATTGAGACCGTTCAGTGTTCGATCAAGCCATCGCCCCCAACATGGCCAAGCTCTTTATTGGGTAAGTGTGCAGTCCTTCAGCACTTCCCACGTGGCTGACCTATGACAGAGGCCTTGCCTGGCATACCGACGACCAGACTTTGCGCTCAAAGTTTGAAGAGTTCGGCCCAGTCGAAGAAGCTGTAAGTGACTGGCGGCGCACCACTGTCCACCGCCATGCACACATGTCATACTTAGTCCACTACAGGTTGTCGTCAAGGACCGCGATACTGGTCGCAGCCGAGGCTTTGGCTTTGTTCGCTATGCGCAAGAGACTGAGGCCGATGCTGCCATGCAAGCCATGAACAACGAGGAGTATGCAGTCCACACACTTCATGTCCTCGTCTGAGAGACTTTGGATACATGTCCCGGCCGGCAAAAGGAACGCGCTGACCTTTCCAGGTTCGACGGACGTAGGATCCGTGTCGACAAGGCCTCAGACCGCCCTGGTGGTGGCGGCGGTGGTGCCCCCCGAGGTGGAGGCTATGGAGGCGGAGGCGGAGGCGGATACCGTGGAGGATACGGTGGAGGACAAGGTAAGGTGTCCACAGTCAGATGCTTTGAAATCTTACTAACTATGTTACTAGGCTATGGTGGAGGTGGCGGCCGTGGTAAGCTTTCAACATCCACTCCATCATGACTGACAATCTGATTATATAAGAAGGGTACAGTGGCGGCGGCGGCGGCGGCGGCGGCAACTGGGGCCCTTCACAAGGCGGCGGAGGCTACCAATCTCGCGGTGGCTACGGTGGTGGTGGCCAGGGAGGCTATGGCGGACAAGAAGGCGGCCAAGGCCAGCAGCAATGGTAGGGAGCCTGACAACCTCTTTGCCCCGGGATTTTGTGCTTGGAGTAGGTACTACGAGGGATGCGATTACCTTGTTAGCCTAGGCCGGGGTTGGCCCTTGGGTCTAGACTTGTGTCTAGACGACGAGGGTGGTTCCGGGCGCGGCCGTTTGCATGAGCGTGATATGTAATGTTTGGGGATGGCAACGAGGGGTGGTTGGTACTGAGAGATGAGATACCCATTGAGTCAGGAGGTGCTGCTGCTCTGTCCTTGTCATATGCGGATGACTTTGGTCTATTTACAAACTTTCGTTAACTGCTTCTACATGGCCTTGGCCACTTTGCGTGCATACCCAGTTGGGCTGTCTGGATGGTTGGGCGAGGCTCCAAGGGAGTGCGTATGGTACGAGTAGGTGTCAGCATGCAAATGCAATTCCAACAGCAATGAGGCTCTGCGGTACCAAGACAGCAGAAGAAAACCTCGGGAGCAGACGGTGCTTCGATGGCCATGGCGTCTTGCACGCACTCTGCACTCTGCACTCTACATTCTACACTCTACACTCTACACTCTACACTCTACACTCTGCACTCTGCACTCTGCTCTACACACACGGGCATGCATAATCCGCTCTTGTGCACGACGACGCAATGCCCAGAGGCTGCAAGTGCAGGCTCGAGTCCGGCTAAAAGCACGCATTGTGACGGTCGTTGCATGCTGCATACCTAGTCGCTGACCATTTCCGCTCAAGCTGCAGCAGAGACGCGTCTGGTGAATGCAACTGTCTGCACAGCCATGGGGGGGAGGACTGGGCAGCCCTCACGCACATGCGGCGGCCCCTCGGTGGTTGCTTTTACTTTGCTGCTGCTGCTGCCTGGCAAGGCCATGTTTACTGATTGACTGACCAACAAGCCCCGACCGTCTACGTAACTCTCCTTCCCTAGCGAGGCACACGCCTCACTCACTGACGGACTGGCCGACCCCGCATCCTTCTCTCTTTTCTACTATTTACCCCATCGCCGATTACGCAGCATAGTCAATTACGTCTGGATTACCCTACTACCTCGGCCATAGCTGCTTTGCCTACTTACAACAAAAGCATCCACAATATGAAAAATCAAATAGCGTCGGACCAAGCCGCAGACCCTGTCCACCCTCGACGGCCCAAAACTGGTTCGTGTGCCCTATCGGCGGCTTTCGTCACTCTCGTATGCCTCGCAGCACTCAACACTATATTTCCTGCATCCAAGACACGGCATGTATTCTTGCCTCTGCAGGACAAGCCTGCTTTTGAATGGGACGAGGTATGGAAGAGTCCATTTGCTCATCGTCACACCGCACGCTACACGTGCGTCAGCACTCACTATGCACCTTCTCATATTGAAACAATATCCCACTGCCAAGTCCTGCACCAGACCGCTACTCTGCTCTAGAAATGCTTTGCCTAGGCGAGCTGCTTGTTGCAAACTAGTGCATCCCACTGTTTCTCATTGATTTTTCTACTGCATTGGGTAGTCCACTTCCATCTCATCTCGACTCAACAAAACATCAATTGATCAACGCCCAGATATCGGCGAGCGAACACCTGCAGTTTCACAAATGCTTCAACGGGTTTGAATGCGCTAAACTAAAGTTGCCATTGGACTACTTCAATGGTGACTATCCTAATCACACTGTCAGCATCGCCATCACAAAGGTACCTGCTGTAGTGCCAGTTAGTGATCCACATTATGCTGGTCCTATCCTGACAAATCCTGGCGGACCAGGTGGAGCAGGCGCCGCGTTTGCCCTCACTGCAGGAAAAGCACTACAACTTCTTGTCGACTCGGACGAGCCTCCAAACGTTGCATCTAACGACGCGAAATACTTTGATGTTATTGGATTCGACCCTCGAGGCATTGGTCGGACGGAACCTGCTGCACGATGCATGCCAGATCGCCCTTCAGCATGGTCCTGGAATTTAAGGGAAGCTGATGAAGGTCTTCTTGGAAGCTCAGATGCAACCCTGGGGAGACTCTGGTCCATGACGCATGCCTTTGGTGCATCTTGCAAACTTGCCGACCAAGGCCAGAGTGGTCCAGACATCAAGCGATACATGTCCACGGCGTTTGTTGCCCGAGACATGCTCGAGATTGCTGAGAGGCACGCCGAATACGTTGCAAAGGAGGTCGCTCAAATTACCGCTAGAGATTCCGGCAAGCGACATGCGTATGACAAGACTGCATATGTTCCAGGACAGACCAAGTTGCAATACTGGGGCTTCTCGTATGGGACCTACCTCGGATACACATTTGCCTCCATGTTTCCTGACCGTGTTGGGCGTTTGGTCCTTGACGGAGTCGTCAGTTCATATGAATACAATCACTCGCAGGGCAATGGGAGTCTTGTAGACTCTGAGAAAGCGTTATCGTCGTTTTACACATTTTGCTTCAACTCTGGTCCCAAGCACTGCCCATTAGCGATGGTAAACTCCAATGTCACCGATATTCAAGAGCGCGTCCTGCGAATTGTAGACTCTCTCTATCACGACCCACTTCCAATTGTCTCGCTTGACGGGCCTGAATTTCTCACATGGTCCGATATCAAGATGTTGCTATTCAGCTCCGTGTACCAACCTCGCATCATGTTTCCGTACATTTCCCGGATCCTTGCAGCCATTGAGGCAGGAGGTGGCATTGAACTTAACCAGCTAGCTCAGGCATACCGTTACACCCACGTATACTCTTGTCCTGCGGGCCATGTTTCTGATTCCGATGACCCAAGTTCTTCCATTGTATCCACAATCTCCATTCTCTGCAGCGATGGCGTTGAACAAGACCAACTCACAAAAGACGAATTCGCCGCTTATTGGGAACTTGTAGAATCCGTATCGCCCACCTTTGGAGCTTACTGGTCAATGCTCCGAATGCGCTGTGCAGCATGGAATATCCGCGCGAGCCATAGATTCGAAGGTCCCTTTGGTGCCAGTAATACCTCTAACCCCATCTTATTTATATCTAACACGGCAGACCCTGTTACTCCGCTGAACAGTGGTCGGTACATGAGCAACCTATTTCCTGGCAGCAGTCTACTGGTAAGTGACCATGCAGGTCACTGCACGCTGTCTGGACCTGATAACTGTGTTTTCAAACGCGTAAGAAGCTATCTCCATACGGGAGAAATACCAGTGTCCGGCACGGTTTGTGTTCCGCCTCCGAGTCCTTTTTCGCTCAACTCAACGAGACCGGGTTCGCCGTTTTATGATCCTTCGCTCGAGAGTGCGGAACTTGTCGTCACACAAGAGTATGACGTGCATGTCAAGCAGGGCCAGCTTGCTGAAGCAGGTATTAGACTACACAGGGCTGTTGCTGAGAGCGGTATGATAGGTTTGGATATGCCGGGTGCTGAAAAGATGAAGCGTGTGATCCGCCTTGCGAGTATGAATCATGAATGGTGACGTTCAAGTACAAGATGACACTTTTGGCCTGAATAGTCGTTTGTTTATCATTGCGTGGCTGTAGTAGGAGTTGTTTAGCATAGAGGTTTGTTTTCTTGTCATCTTTGGTGTGTAGGTCGTTTGGATTATCAACTTTTCTTCCTAGACCTAAGATATAAAACGATGATATCTAACATTTGAAAAAATCTCTTTTTGCAAAAGGCTACAAATACCAGACAAAGCGTATATGCTACATAACCCTACTCCTCGCTATGCCAATGCTCAAAGAGTCAAAAAAAAAGAACTCCCCTACACAACAACCCCTTCTCATTTCAACCTCCTCGGTCCCTCAAACACCTTCCCTCTCCTCTCCTCCTCTTCCTCCTCCCTCCTAACCTCCCACCTCACCTTATTCCCCAAAATCTCAATCTGCCGCTCATACTCCCACCCAGGCGTCTCAGCCCCCCTCATCCCAACAAATCGTGCAAACATCCTCATTTTGATCTTCAACCTCTCCAGCTTATCCAGCTTGCAATCCTCAGGAAGCTCATCGCTCATGTCGAGAAAAGGTTGGCTCCAGTTCATTGTTCCCGGGTATGCGTGCGTGAGGTGGCATGAGGGCAAGGTTTGCGAGTAGTAGTGTGCCAGGGCGTCGAGTTGGGGTTCGGTGAGGAGGAAGAGGGAGAGGAGTGTTGTGGGGAAGTCTGGGGCCGCGAGGGAGGTTGAGACGTGGACGATTGGGGCAATGGTGAGGCGCATTTGGGTGAGTTTTTGGGATAAGCCGGGGTTGTTGCGGAGTCTGAGGCGGCGTTGGGCGAGGGTTTGGTGGTAGGATTTGGTGATGCCGTTTGTTTTGTTTGCCTGAGTGGGTTGGTTTGGTGGGTTGGTCTTTTTTTCTGGTTTAGCCATAACTTTTTTTTTACTTGCTGGTTGTACGGGGTTTTTTCTTTTTCTTTCTTGCGGGTAGGAAATACGTGTGTGATGTGTGGTATAGAGCTATCCCGCCAGCGATGTGCAGTGAGAGGATGGGGATGCCTCTGTAGTATACAAAGCCGGTTTAAACAGACAAAGCATGGGTCGGAAGAGAATGGGTATTGTGGATATCTTGCTCTTTGTTACCACACAAAAGCTTAAGACGCTGTTTTTTTTTGGCCAAATCAAAGTGTGTTGTGAAAAGAAACATCTTTATCTCTCTTCGTCAAGTGTTCATCCCATTCGAGGTTCGTAATAGAATATTGTTTTTACACAATGTCGCATACTCCATAAGAACGGCGGTGGCCGAGGGGGCTGTAGAGCGTTCGTCACCGTTAAATACGCAGCGACGTCCTGGTTGATGGCGCGATCTATTCGTGTATTCTTATATTCTGAATGCGGGTGGTGATAAACTTTGTTGAATGGATTTAGCAGGCGCCTCAAAGATAAACTTTGAGGAAGGACTCCGATCGGACAGTAGCGAGAAGACAATGTCTCAAGCATCGATGATGGCTTCTAGGGACACATCGCTGTCCACACCACCAATGGGCTCGGTACTCTTCCAAAACTTGCTCAAGTGTCTTGCACCACTGAACAATTGTCAGTAAGTTCCCATCTTATACTCTTGAGCCTGGATGTCAGTTCTGTGGGGTGTTGTCTTACCTATCGCATAATATTGTGACGATACGATGACCAGGTCCGAGACTCTTTGCGAGCTTTGCAGCAGCGACACCTTTGATGCATCAGCACTGCCTGCACTTGAGCGGTACAAAACTTACAGTTCACCGCACTAGAGCTTCCCACGAAGATTCCGTCATGCTCGACTAACCATCGCGCCATGGAAATGGCTTGTTCATCCGTCACCCTGATTGCATCGTCAATCAATTCTCGCCCAACATCAAAGTTGTGGGTCACTCTATTGATGCCGATGCCTTCAACTATCGTATCCACCTGATGGCGTCGCCGTGTTCCTTCTCGCTCCTTAGGATCGAACATGACGCCATACTTGACACGGTTGAACAGACCGCTGCCTGGGGGATCGGCGAGGACCACTTTGAGATTAGGCAGCTTAGATTTTAGAAACATGGCGACGCCAGAAATTGTTCCTCCTGTACCAGCGCCACTGACAAAGGCATCGAGACGGCGGCCGGTTTGTTCGTAAATTTCAGGACCCGTACCAGTAAAGTGTGCACGCCAATTCGCTTCCGTTTCGAATTGGTCGGCAAACAGGCCCCGTCCAGGCTTTTCAGCGCTGGCAGTGTGCTCTTCAGCTCGTGATCGTGCAAGATTGACGAATTGCTTCTGGTCTACAATAGGCGCTGGTCGCACTCTTTCTACCTCAGCACCGAGTTTTAGGAGTAAATCTGATTTTTCAATTGCCATGTCGTTTGGCATGCAGCTTCTGGTTGTTAGTCAGTATTCTCGAATGCCAGCCAACGAACTGACATGTGTGCTTTGTAGCCTCGTGCCCTGCATATTGCTGCTAATGAAATTCCCGTGCTTCCCACTGTGCCTTCGTATATGGTATCACCCGAGTGCGGAATAAGAAGCCCCTTTTTCTCAGCCTGTTTGATGTTGAGCAAATGCATGCGATCGTTTTCAATATCAAGTATTACTAGCTTACCATTTCAATTATACTAAGCGCCACTCGGTCTTTGGGGCTGTTGCCAGCCCCATTAAGAAACTAAAAACTACACATTAGTGGAGTATTTTATGAAAAGTATCGATTTGCATACCTCCGCTTTTGCTAGTACATCGCAGCCCGTGTATTCAGAAAGCGATTTAATCTTGATCAGGGGGGTGTTGCCAATGCATCCCTCGATACCCTCTTTGATAGATCCTGTACCATTTTCTAATGAACGCTCAATCTCCAAAAGGCCCTTCTTCAACTCTTCCAAGTCATTTACTTTTGCTAGTTGCAAGAGCAAATTTTGCTGTTGGGCAAGGAGTGAGTGACTGTTTGCAGCATAATTTTTTTCTACAGCCGGTTTTTTGTTGTATGCAGCTGTGGCGGCTATTGCTAACAGAAAAGCCCCTAATATGTAATATCTGGAGCGATCGGACATGGTTGGCGCATGGAAAGATGCAGATAGTCAAGTAGTATACTAGCAAAAGAGGGCCAGAAGCGGAGCTGTGGCACGCCCGTCTTGGCATCACCGCCCGCACAGCTTACCCACGTGGGTCCACGCGAAGACTGCCAGCGCCTCCGACGCCGTCGCATACGAGTTGCGACGACTGTTCTGGTGCCAATGGATTCGCCGCTTGCCAATCGCCTCTTTCGCCAATTGTTCTCGCACCGGGCGTCGCAATGCCTGGCCCGCGGAGGTCGACCAGCGCTCGCTGCTGCCCGCATTCCACACCACCAAAGACGGACAAAAGCCACTCGATTGGGTGAGGGCGAGACGCGAAGGGAAAGCAGATGGACACCAAGGAAAAATGCATTTCCGCATGAGAGAAGCGAAGAGTTCGAGAGATACCCAATGGTCACGTCGGATATGTTGCGGAATAGAAGGGAAAGACCGCGCCGAGTCAAGATGCTGCTACGAGACTTTATAGAGGGTAAGCAGTCTCTATGCTGAGGGATTAGACATACTCACTCGTCTCTAGACAGCTTGTACAACCCAAACTACGGCTACTTCTCCAAACAAGTCGTCATCTTCTCGCCGGGCGACCCGTTCGACTTCAACTCCATGGGCTCCGAGCACGAATTCTTCCAGCAACTGCGGCATCGCTACACTGCCTTCGAGGATGAGCTGGATTACAGAGAGCCAAACGATCTGCGACAATTATGGCATACTCCTACCGAGCTGTTCTCTCCATACTATGGAGAAGCAATTGCACGCTATCTCGTCGAAGACTACAAGTACAACTTCTATCCATATCACGACTTGAACATATACGAGATGGGCGCGGGAAATGGTACCATGATGCTGAACATACTCGACTTTATCAGGGATGTGTACCCCGAAGTGTATGAGCGGACAAAGTACAAGATTATCGAAATTTCCAGTCAACTTGCCGACTTGCAACAGAAGGGCCTTGGTCACTCTGCATACGCAAGAGGCCATGCGGACAAGGTGGAGATTGTCAACCGCAGCATCTTTGACTGGAACACTTACGTCTCCTCTCCCTGCTACTTTCTTGCACTCGAGGTCTTTGACAACTTTGCCCATGATGCCCTAAAGTACGACTTTGAGACTGGCCTACCCTACCAGTCGCACGTCGTCATAGATGCCCGAGGCGAACTCTTTGAGTACTATTCCCGCACCCTTGATCCTCTTGTAAGCCAGTTCCTCGAGCGAAGGCATGCTGCATGCTCCTCGTATAGACACCCGCTCCAAGGCTCACGGCTCATGCACAACTTGAAGAGCTTGATCCCGTTCCGGTCAAATATGAGTGTACCAGAGTACATACCCACAAGGCTGATGCAATTCTTCTACATATTGTATGAAAAATTCCCAAACCACAAGCTAGTCAGCAGTGATTTCCATAAGCTAGGCGATGCAGTGGAGGGTATCAATGCTCCTGTTGTGCAGACTAGGTATAAAAGACAGATGATTCCCGTCTCTACGCCTCTTGTAAGTCGACGCACCCACTGGCATTTGCTGTGGTGTCTATACTAACAATATCTAGGTTCACCAAGGCTATTTTGATATTCTTTTCCCTACCGACTTTGAAGTCATGGAACCAATGTATACAGCCATTACAGGACGGTTCGCGCGCACCTATCTTCACGAGGAATTCATGGCTGGCAGAGCAGACATTGCGGAGACGACCACAAAGAACGGCGATAACCCGCTCTTGAGTTGGTACAAGAACGCAAGTGTCATGATCACCGTGTAGAGCCTCAAGCATGGGATATTGGGCTGGCCAGGATGAGCATGTATGATTACAGATTCCAAGATACTAGTGCACTACTCGGGCTCTTGGTCTTTCCATCGGTTCTTTACTGCATCAACATCCATTTCACACACCTCAGCATGTTTCAGCACCGCATGCGCCTTCTTTACGACAGGCGCATCGATCATCTTGCCATCTAGCGTCCATGCTCCTCGTCCTGCCTGACTGGCTTTCTCATCTGCGATGACTATCCTCGCAGCCCACTCGAGTTCTTTCTCCCCTGGGCTAAAGGCCTTGTGGCATACAGCAACCTGGCTTGGATGTATACATTGCTTGCCATTGAAGCCCATGCCCTTTCCGTTCAGACACTCTTCTTCTAATGTCCTCAATCCCACTTCACCCTTGTAGCTCGTGCAAACTAAATCGATCGTGCTTGGAAGCTCGGCCGCGCGTGCTGCCGTCGCAATCGCACTGCGCGCATACAGGAACTCTGTGAGAGACGGGGTGCGTGTGAGACTCATGTCCTTTGCAAAGTCCTCTGCTGCAAAAACAAGACCCGAGAGGTAGGGTGACGCTATGCATATCGAGCTCAGGTTCTGTACGGCCTTTGCGCTCTCAATCAATGCTATTATGCGCACTGGCTCCCTTTTTCCCTTCTGTCCCGTGCTTGGATGCCGTGCTGGACTTAAATGCCTTATCACGTCTGTCACGAAGTGTAGGTCCGCAGCGCTTTCGCACTTCGGCAGCATAATAGCATCCAGATACTCGCCTTTGAGTACCTCTGTCAAGTCATCCAGGGCAAGACCAGTGTCGACGCTGTTTATTCTTACGCACATTTCTTTTATCCCAGCAGGTCGCGGTTTGCTGAGAATGTCGCGAAGGTTGGAGCGAGCGGCAGGCTTCATATGCGGCGCGACGCTGTCTTCAAGGTCGTATGTTACATTATCGGCGTGTATGGCGAATGACTTTTCTAGCATCTTCTTAGAGGATGCAGGTACTATATTGCGACAGGTTAGTATAGAGATATCGCATGGATGTTGTACAGGAGAGCAGTGGAGGGGACATACCATACATGCAGGCCCTTCGAATGATTGGGGCTGCCATTGTGACTCCTGATTATCTACACAGCAGACAATATAACTTGGAATGATACTCTTGAAGGGCAAATAAAAGCAAAGCAACCACAATAGCTCGGATGATCCCCAGACCCTATGACGTGCGGGGAACTACTGGAGCGCCCGCCGTGCCTGCAGCTAGCCCAAACGCCGATGGCCGACGCGTCGCCCGCCCAGGGAAAGCCACGTGAAGCTCATCTTCACACATCTTGAAAGATCCCCACCCTGCGAACAATTGTCCTCTCCCCGCGCGCGCAAAAGTCGAGAGAAAAGAAAGAGAGAGAGAGAGAGAGAGAGAGAGAATAAAATGGAGACCGCACAACAAGAGCCAGCGCCCGGCTCGCTGAGCTGGAGACTTAGCAGCCATCCTATCACCCTGCTTACCTTCCTCTTCTTCCGCACATGTACGTACAATACATACGTATCCACACAACCCTAAACCCGCACATGTACTAACTCTTCCAAATAGCCTCCCTCGTAGTCTACCTCTTGGGCCTCCGCCTCCTAACCTCCAACTTCGTCCTCATCTTCATCATCACCATCCTGCTTCTCGCCATGGATTTCTACTACCTCAAGAACATTGCGGGTCGTCGCCTCGTCGGCCTGCGCTGGTGGAACGAAGTCGATGCTGGCACGGGTGATGGCCGCTGGGTGTTTGAAAGTTTGGATCAGGATACCGGTTCGCGCCAGATTAATGCGACGGATAAGCGCTTCTTTTGGCTGGCGCTGTATGCGCAGCCGGTGCTATGGGTTGTGTTGGCGATTATTGCGCTGGTTAGCCTTCAGTTTATTTGGTTGACACTTGTGGGTGAGTATATGGGTGCTTTTCTTTTGGTGTGTGGGGAGATGGGGGTGGTAGAATGGGAGAGAGAGACAAAGCTAACTGTTATGATGCAGTTATCGCACTCGTTCTTACGATTACCAATACCCTCGCTTTCTCGCGGTGCGACAAGTTTAGCCAGGCTTCCGGCTTTGCTTCGAATGCCATGTACGGATCCGGTCTTGCGCGGAATCTGGCGGGTGGAATGATCTCGAGTCTGTTCAGACGATGATAATGCACCATGTGGAGAAGGCGCATAGCTTTTCTTCCTCATTTTCAAGCTTGTGCAGGATCAGAAAGACGAGGATGAAGTATAATTAGACGTGGAAAAAATGTCGGTTTTTTACTTGGAGTCTATTGTATACATACCCTATTATCGGTTCATCCATAGTCTAAAGCTGATTGTTCTACTACACATCTTGACGGCCTGGAGTCTCAAATATCTCCAACTCAATACCCCCTCTTCCGATTGACTTCATTGATCAATTGACCACCACTTCTCTCATGCTTGATGTTCTCAATCAGCAACTGGAACGCACGGTCGACATACATATCCGATGCTCCGCTGCAGTGCGGCGTAATGAGTACATTGGGCGCATCCCAGAGTGGGTCGTCCTCGGGTAACGGCTCAGGATCCGTCACATCTACCGCAGCGCCCTTGATTTGCTCAGTTTCCAGAGCGGTAATAAGAGCTTTTTGGTCGATGATCTGGCCGCGTGCAATATTGACGACGTAGGTCCCCTTGGGATTAGATTTGTGCAAGAGTTCAAATTCCGGCGTTGAGAAAAGGTGTGTGGTGTCTTTGCTATTTGGTCGTTAGCTTTTTACTTTATCCATACTCTAAATATCATGGTTTATACTTACGTCAACGGCACAGCTATGACTAGTAAATCAATATCCTGCTTCAAAAACTCGTGAATGTGTACTTTCTCCGTCCCGCTGAACCATGCACTGGGGATACTGCCATCCGGATCGCCAGTGCCAGGCACAATGTACCCATTGTCATGTTTGGATTCTGGGGTTTTGCGCGGAGATGCCGTGTACGCTATTACATCCATGCCCATTGCTTTTGCTACGCGGGCGACTGTATAGTAGGAAGAAGAGGTGAATGATCAGTACACATCTAACATTTTACGCAAAAAGTAAAAGAATACTGTGCATACCTTGTCGACCAATGCTCCCGTAACCCAAGATTCCAACTCTCTTACCCACACGATCGCTAACATTCATGCCTAGCCTCTGATCCCAAACCTTCTTCTTTTGGTTATCGTACAACTTTGTGAAGCTATGGCTGTGCACCAGATCCATCATGATGACCCACTCTGCGATTTGCGGGCCGTGAACGCCGTTGGCCGAGCATAGCGGGATCTTCGAGTCCGTGTAGATGGGGTGGTTGGCAACGTGGTTTGTACCGGCTGAGACGAATTGGATGAGCTTGACGGAGGGGATGGACGAGGCGTCGGGTGGGAGCCAGAAGAGGGTTACTAGGTAGCTTGCGCGCCGGAGAATTTCTGGGAGAATGGGTTAGTTTGGGGTAGTGAATGCCAAGGGCAAGGATTGCCTTGGACGGGTTGAAGAAAAAAGGTAAATATTGGTGTCATGCAGGGACTCTGTTAAATCATCCGATACCAAACCATTTCTCCGGATCCAAAACGATATCAAAAAGAAAAGGCATGGTCGAAAATCGCTTGCACCAACAGGATATGTCTGGCAGATTGCTGTTGAATTCTTTTTCTAACGTACCTTCAGGCACATCCACCGGTTCCATCTTTCCATTCGCATACTTGGTATGATAATACTTGACCTCCACATTACCAAACGCTTCTTTCAATGCTTGAATGCCGGCTGAAGCTTGCTCCTCAGGCCATGGCAATGTACAGAGCACCAGTTCCTTTTCTTTTGACGCGCTGTCACGGACGGGGATGTCTGGTCCGCCTCCCATCGCAACCATGCTAGCGTATATTCGAGGTACACAAGCAAAGAGTGGGGTTGTGAGTTTGTTTTTGCCTGTTTCTCCCAACTCTTGAGAATAACGCAAACGTTGGAACTTGGAGAAAAGCTCTTGTATCGTATCAGATTGGAGGTTCGCAGTAATGACAATGACGATTGTGGTGAGGGGAGAGAACGGTCCGATACGCGCAATGGTGGGGTGGCCGGCCTTTGGATCTAATTTAGTTGTGGCGTTTGCTTAAGTCCGAAAGCCCATAACGCCATAAGTAGCGGGATTACGACTTGTTGCGGAGGCATGCTGATTCTTTTTGTCAGCATTTCTTAGAATTGAAGATGATGATGAGTAAGTGCAAGCCATACTCGAAGATTTGATTGGTGTTGTGTTGTGCTATGCTACGAAGACATATGGTTGATGGAAGTGAGATGATGTATGTCGGGTTCTCGCTGTTTAATTGATACCGTAAGATTGCGGACCTCGCTATATGTGTGTTCCGGTGATTTGTATTATTACAAAGATTCAACAGAGAAGAACAACATGTACTATGCAAGGAGAGATGGATGGGACGAACTGTCCACGCAGCCAATTATTAAACAGCACTGCGGACAACCAGCACACATTAAGTCAACTAGCATAGGTCAGCACAGAGATCTAATTAATTATGATATACATAGGGATCTGAAAAGCTTGTGCAAGATCTCCTATGCTTGAGTGTTCATCACGTATCTTGAATCATGAGCATCTTGGCTTCGGCTTCAACTACTGTCTCTGCACCCCGTTATGCACAGTAGACGCGCCGCATGCATAGCTTCTCTTCCAACCCCCCCCCTTTGACATCATCGCTACGTCGCTTAAACTGGACGCATGCATGGCCACCTTGCAGTGATAAAATATCTAACAGACATACCCAAGAGATGCAGGCGAAGTGGCCAACGTGCAGTCACAAAATCCCAAACTCTTGACATAAGTACCCAGCATGCATATGCAGGGGGCAGCGGGGTCCGAGACGTGTTTCCAAAGTTTCTTTGTCTACTCCGCGTGGCACGACAAAGCCCTGTCTTCTATGGACCGGCAGTCGGGATCATGTCACTCCACCAAGATTTTAAATGCTGGCCTGGCGAGCAAGAAGAGCATGGGTTTGCTTCTTGTCTTATCCTCACGTAAGCCCCATAGAAGATGATTGCGCTAGAATTAGGTAAAGTATAGAGTGTTCTGCTCATTGCGTAGCGGCTCCTCTTTCCCCCCAGGATGCTCCCGTCTTCATCTCGCTTGCACACGCGAGAAAGACGAACGCGCCTTGCACTGAGCCGCGCTGATGACAAGACGAGTCCCTTTCAGCACCCTCGAATCCATTCCTCCACAGCCGCACACACGCTCGGCGTAAGCCGCTTATCTGGCCCGCGGGCCAGAAACCCGTTCTTGCGAGTTCGTGCCGAGAATGCGTGCACGTCCGGCTGGTGCTCCGCGCCAAGACAGTTACCGGTCTTTGGTACAACCACAGGCAGGGAGCCGTTAGGTTGTGGATTTGCGCCCCCACAAACCGATTGCCAAAGGAATTACCTACTCTTTTCATAGGATTCCTCCGCGTCTCTTTGCATCCAGTCACGCGTCTTTCCGGTGAACCATGCTGTGGGAACTGGAGCCTTGCCCCACACTCTTGTTGAGGAGGATGTGCCAAGGAAAAGAAGAGACGCTGGAATTTTGCCTCTTCTCACGTGAGGTAAGCAAAAGAAAACAGAAGAAGAAAGGTAAAATAAAGTGGAATTATTGCATGCCTGGTCAGATGGAGCGCGCAGATACGGCGTGACTGCAGTACAAAGGCTCGCATGAGATTGATGGTGACTACTACCATGCCTGTGGGTACCTGTTACTATTTCGTGATAGTACACCTACAAGATGCGGAAGCGGCCGAATGGCTGACCCAATTCAGTATAGATGCTCAGTAATACCATGGCAGAGAATGAGGCGTCAGCATGGCAAAAGGTTGATTTGTCGAAGCATAAAGAAGATCGACAGATGTCATCGTCTATATGTTTCCATATTGGTCGGGTAAGAGCCGAAATTTCTGACCGGATGAAAGAGTCACTGACGGATGCGACGGAGGGCCCCTGATGGCCATAGGAACGCTAGGGCTTAGCTCTCAATTGCCACGTTTTTTCCTTGGCCCCTTTCTTTTCTTACTCGGCCATGTTCTTACGCCATGTTCCTAAGCGTATGCGATGTCCTGTCTACAGAGTAGATCGGCATTTCAAACGTGTCTCATTTAGCCATATTGCCGGGTATGTTGTTGGCCCCACATCTCCCAACGAACCTACTTGAGACGGTGTTTGGATCTTAACACGCCTTGTGCGCAAGTAGATAGTTCTTTGTCATGACTGACAAAGAGGTCGCCTTCCGAGCTCCGTCCCGACTCGCTTCCTTGGTTTCACGAGTATTTTTAGTTTGAACATGGAAATCTTTGCCTTATAAACGGGTAATAGGCGATTTATTGATATAGCTTCGACGGGCTTGGGCGCTCGCGAAAAAATAGAGTTATGCAATTCTGCAACTAAGTTTTGGCTATATGCAATGACGGTCTTGAAACATAGGAAAAATCTCTGAAACAAGGCCTAGGCCGAGCGCGCTGTATAGCGGTACAAAAGTTGCTTGGCCACTTCACGCAGCAGCATGAAAGACTAAGTGCGAAAAGTCAAGGAAGGCCTGTGCTGCGTAATGCACACACAGCCATCTGTGAGGGTGATTGGTGGAAGCGAATCCAAGCCATTGTCTATCGTGTACACTGTGTGTATTGGGGTATGCGGATTTTATGCAGACATGGATAGGTAAGGAAGCGTTTTGGTTGAGCATCGGATGCCGTCGACTGAATGGCGGCTGGTGCGAGGGCCAAGGGCCAGGACTAATGGCGCATAATGTTGTGCAATCAGTAGTGATATGTGGTACCACAGCGCTGTAGTCAAGCCAGCTTGTGACTGTGATCCATGTATCTCGCAGAGCGCATGGCGTTGGTTCGACAATCAGATGCAGATGCATGTGAAAGGTATCAACGTCCCCGCCGTGATATTGCAAGTCGGTGTTCCGGTCGCGTGCGGTAGAATGGTGCGCGGCTAAATCTGACGGTAGAAATGACTGCGCCATGGAGGACCCTGTATGTGGAATTCTAGTACGAAAATCGTTTGGGAAAGAGGAAAACAATATTTTTTACGCATTCATGATCAGATTTTAGAATCATAGTCGGGTGGATGTAGCCCAAGCCCTCCCCTCGCCATGGATGACCTAGGGTCCCAGTCCACATGGGTAGCTCGAGATTGGGTCCTTGGGATAGAGAAGCTAAGCGTTGGACTCTTGTATTCACGCTGAATGTCTTTCTGAAAGTGATCGGGCGTGTCGGACCGGGGATTATTCATGACATAACTAGCAATCTCTGGGGTAATGTGTGCGTTTGGAGGTGATTGGTGGTTAAAGTTTTTGAGTTCGAAATGACGCATGTCTTCAGTCGGGTTCCTGGCATCCAAAGATACGAACTCGCGGTTTTTGCTGAATTTGCCCAAGATCAAGTCACGCCATCCAGTCACCATGCTCCATCGGACAAGTAACAGGAATGCTTGTAGACCAGCAATTGAGAGCATCATCAAGACCGCAGTCACAGTGGACTGATCAATGGCAAGGTCTTGGCCAAGAGGGAAGCATGGTGACGGCTCGTCGGCATTTTTCATCAAACACAGGAGAAATGGGGCGAGGTCCGCAATGTTGTCGGCAGCGTGCTGAGTGATCGAGTTGAGCCAGATGAACACAATCGAGAAGAAGATGACGTCTACAAGGATAAAGACCACGATCGTAATGCCACGCCATTGGAGATAGAGCACTTTGCGTACACGTCGATAGACTGCTCGGGCAGACCGGTTCCGGATGCTGGTCGTGTACGAGGGAAGGCCCGCGCTACTTTGGGTCTCGGTCTTATCATCACTAAACATGTTCTGAAGGTAGACCTTGATGCAATACACGAATCTAGATATGCGTTAGAAAGACTGTTGGGTCAACCAACTGGCATGGGCAACTTACGTTGCAATCTGGATGACTGTCGCCGCTCCAGCAATGGCCAGCAAAGGGCCCCAGAAGTCTTTCATCGAATGCTCAGCATTGACGTGGCAAACATCACCGAACCTGAATGAAACACCAGTGATGGTGATGGTGATAGTGAAGAAAGCAGCGGCAACGGACCAGCCCAAGCCTTGTGCACAGTAGAAGAACCTTTTGCCAGGAGTAACATCCCAACAGATCTGGAGGTGCATGGAGAGAGCACGAATGAAGATCCAAACCGCCATTGACAGACCACCAGAGATGAGAAACGCGCCTGAGAAAGCGCACGTCAGACTTGAGTACATATCATTGGGGGTAATTTCGTCGTAGCACTGTTCTGGTTGAGCTCCAAACGGTATTACAAAGCCAAGCTGGTGACGATTAGTGCAAGACTTGAACCATGGAAGATATACATACTGCCATGAATATCGCGGCAATGATGAGACAGTAGCTGAGATAATGCCGGCGCGTCTTTTCGGCTGGAAGGAAGATGTATGAAATTAACAAGAACACCAGACAGAAAAGCCCCACTAAATTGAGCGCTTCAGCTACTTGATAGGTAGTGTTGAAGCCTGGAGTCATTAGTAAGGTGAGCGAGCACTAGGTCATAGCCCATGAAGACGTACTCTCTGGATATAGAAAATCTGTCAGTGGACATGGTAGACAACAAACACCATCAGCCCCATAAGGCGCACAAAATCTTCCATCGACAACTGAGCCCGTCAGAATACACTCAGAAGAATGTGGTGGGATGACCTACAACCGCCAAATCCAAATTTTGATTGATCGAAAAAGGGCGGCGGGCAGTCGCCTCGGAGTGCCTCGATTGCTGTAGCGTTGTTGACCATGTCGGGTTCCTCAGACTCTTCCTACGACGAATGCATCCAAAGCGTTGTGTACATGTGTGACGCAAGTCTACCTGGTGGTATTCCAACTCGTGCCTGGGGGAATATAAAGTGGACAGGATACGTGAGTGCCCGACGGCAACTGAGGTGCCGGAATTCGACTCTTGGATTTGCTTGGGTCTGCTACAGTTTATGCAGTGGTAGGGCGAGGCAGTGAAGGAGGTAGCGAGACTTGTGACAGCAGTTGCAGGACTCGAGTCCAATAAACGTTACAAGGCAAGAAACGAAACAAAAATGTGGAGTAAATACGTCGCGGATCACCTTGACGCCAGCAGTCTAAAGAGTGAATAAGGTTCTGGGGTCGATCAAGAGGCGCACGAGGCCAAAGCGAATGACAAAAAACCGAAAGACGGGACGTTATGGTAGATGTAGGGGAAAGCCGCTGCGGCATAAGTAAAACTGCACGATGCAGGACGACGCCCTGGGCTTGGGAGTGGCTCCTGGTTGGGCCGCCTGAGTATAGGTCCAGTGAGTGCGGCGATCCTAACGTGAACAGGCCACTTTCCCCTTGCAGAGTCTATTCGTTCTAGCACTCTAGCGCGGCCAGACCCTAGTGAATTTGTAGCCAAGGCAAGCAGGAGGTATGCAAGGACAGCCGGGATTCGCACCAGAGGCGGGACTGGGGACAAGGATGTCACTGCCGGGCCCAGGCACCCGGCTGATATGCGCGCTGGTGTTGGCTCGAACGCGCCAGAGGCAGCACGGCGAGCCATCACGTCTTTGGACTGCGCATGCAGCGTGATTCGCCCGCTCTCCAAAATGGCTTACCAGCCCGAAGCGTGGCGGCGTCCAAACGGCCAGCCGAGGGCGCCTACCAGAGACCAGTGCGGCGCGGTTCCTGTCAAAAGACGACGCACAAGGACTTCTCTCTTCAACACACCCCACGTCTTGACGAGTTATCTGAACCCCCCCTCATCCTGGTCGAGGCTGCGATAGGAACTGTCACTGGGCACTGTCACTGAGCAGGCCAATAGTCTGCAGAATCCACATGGTGCCACGCGAAGATCCCGGTGACACTGACTGTAACGATCGGCAACAGAAAGGAAAAGTGTATTTTACGACGTAGCACCCGTTGTATTGCGCGCGTGGTGTGCCGCGTCACGAGACCGACTCCATCGTCGCTGTCGGCACACCACCTGTCTGGGCGGCCATTGACAGTTTCGGAGGACGGCTTTGAGTGGCCGGTGAAGGAGTGTCCAATCCCTGGTCGGTTCTTGTTGACGTCCAATGGCGGGCTTTCCGAGTCTTTACCTGAACGATCCACTGCGCTCTCGGTGGGACCAGAGCCACTTTTCAGCTTGCTGTGTATGTACCTAAGATTGTAGCATGCAGGAACAGACATGCAGGCTGCAGTTCGCAGTATCATCGACAGTACATACACGACACAATTCTCCGGATCGACTGATGGTTAGCGCTCCAACCATCGATCCCCGGTGCGGAGGACCAACCTGTCATGTCGTGGTGGGAAGCGGGCAACGCAGTCAGCATCGCCGCTGTTCCTGCAACACCCGGCGTTTTCAAGCCCCTTTTGCCGCGTTAGCGCTGCGCCTTGTGGGCAGTGGAGAAGCCCAACAAACGCGTGCCGACGCGCAAGAATGCAATTTTCGTTTCGGTCTGGCTATGGACATCTTTTTGTGTCTTGATTCAAGCCTGTGTGGCCATGGGGTCTGCTATATAATATGTATGTATGTATGTCGTGACGTGGTGGTGATGATGATGATGATGATGATGATGATGGTGGCCAGGAAAGAGCACGCCCGGACTCGCCAGCTTTGGTCATGGACGGCACGCACGTGCCTCATCACACTCGTCACTTTCCCCCCACCATCATCGCTCTCTTCACTTCGCCTGCAATGCGGCCACGCGTCTTACATCTCCCCAGCATCCTCAACATCTAAAGCTTTCCAAGTTGCCCAATATACATATGTTTCAACGTTGGCCACGATCAATAAGTTTCAGGTTTGCCTGCGAATACCCAGGAAGCTGCCTCCATCAGCAGCCGGATCGACAATCTCGCGGGGACTGCCCTGGCCAGACTCTTGTTTGACAGAACCACCCATGGATCACCCTGTCTTTCTCCCTCTCAGTAACAACAGTGACATGAACGTGGGGTAATAATAAGATTCCGGTACAATATCTAGACAGGCCGATGGACGAACCAAGTCTCAGTGCTCTGTTACTTAGTTGTAGCAGCTCGTTCAACTGACCAAGACACTATCCATAAGACCTACCCAACACTTGATCACCATCACCGAGAAATGTCACCAAGGTACTAACAGTTTGGTTCAATACCACCCCAGTTCAACTGACCCGCCAACCTGTCTTTCAGCCTCGGTGCCAAAAGCGCTAGACGACTCTCATGTCCTTGCCAGTTGCCTAAAAAAAGAGACAGAATCTTCAACAACCAGGATCCGACTCAATTCGCACAAAACTCGTCAGTCCTTCGAAATAAGGAAGCACGTCCGAAATGCGCCATTCGCCTCGTGGCATCCTTCTAGAGTTTCTCGTCATCATCGGTCCGACTCAGGGCGTCCCGTCTCTAACACAGGTATACCCTGTTCCATAATGTCTTCTACCGACACAGTGACTTTTGCAAAGTGCCTATGCGTTCAGCCCTTTTGCCAAATTATTGGCAGCTCACGGCACGCTGTCTTGAGACGGACCTTTTTCTCCCTCTCCTTGTACATACTCAGACATGCCTAGCTTCCATTCCCCGTGCATTGGAGACATGTTGCGCTAGAATCATCCGCCAAAGTTTGCATGAACGCCCGGTTCGGGCAGGAATGAGCCGGTGTTCACCATTAGCAAAGCGCCACACCGTGCTGTGACGACCATCACACCTACCGGCTCAGCTCCCGAGCAACTTCAGCTCAGCATATCAGATGTGATCCACTCCATACGATGTTATTAAGACATATATACATGTATACACGCATGAATCAGTTTGCTATAGGCCCTCTGGTACATAACAAAAAGTAATGTCGCTCTAACGATCTGGCAGCGGATATGGCGTTGGGCCACGCGATTACGGCCCCCAAGGCGCGACCCGTCTTGATGATCACTTCGGCTTCCACCACATCTCCACATTATCTTTTAAACGAGCCCCAGAACGTCTACGTGGCGAAATTACCAACTTATCCATTTATCCATTATGGAAATTGTGGGAAAAGCTGTTAGAGCTCGCATACATTATGAGCAGGTTGCCTGATCTCGGGATTGGAAATTCCCTAAAGGAAATAGTATTGGTGGCGTTATACGGGTTCAGCCCCCCGTTCCCGAGGATTCGGCCACAACAAAGAGAGATTGACCAACAGTCTGGCCAAATCGGTTATGTGTATGTGGAGAAGAATTTCCATTAGCATTAGCATTAGCCAAGACCGTGCCAGCCAGCCGTTGCTCTTTAGGCTATACTTATACACAATCGCTGCCGTGTGCCGCAAAAAGCAAAACGTCAAATCAATACACGTTATAGGTGCAGCGATGTGCGTAACAACAACCTCCAACAGCTCAAACGCATGCCAAGCAAGGTATATTGTTAGCTCGTATGCGTTTTATTGGGGAGAGAGAATGGAAAAGAGCTAGACCCAAGGTATCGGGCTCAGTTCGCGATGATGCATACTCAAGATGCATACCGTGGAACCCCCCCTGTATCATCTCTGACGTCCTTCATCCATGCCAATCACATGGATGCCAGTCCAGGGCATGTGCAATAGTAGGTGGCGTACCGTTACACAAGCTGAAGCAAGGATTAGAAGAGTACCGAGGCTGGTAGTTCTTGTAGGCTCGGGTATATAGCGTCTTGCGGGGAAAACCATTGGATGCGCAATGGATAGGACGGATAGTTTATTGATAGGTAGATCGAATAAGCCTATCATATCACGCAATCGATGCTTGAGCATAGGTTGGGCCTTCCCAAGATAACGAGAGTCTGGGCAAGTGACGCATCAAGAGTTGGCAGCACAAGGACAAGTTGTAGTATGCCGAGGCTGTTGGTAATGCCTTTGGTCAAGCAGAAGTCACGCTCCTCTATGTATCTTGCCCTCATGACGGAATCCCAGTAGGCTCTGTAGTTTGCCTTGGTCAAGTGTAACTGACCGGTCATGGGCGTCACAAAGAAGGCTATGACAAATCTTTAGTTGATATTAGCCGTGACGTAGTAGAATAGTAAGCCTGAATGAATACTATCAATCTGGTCATCAGGAGCTGAAAGATTGCGCTCTTGTTGCTTTGGAGACGTGCTGGTTGGTGATATGAATGCGATGAATTCCCCAATGAAACTGCATCAAGGCATCAAATACTTCACAGTCAACTACATCTAACTCAGCATAATATGTCCTGAGTACATATTTGCACGGCGTATAGTTTAAGACTGTAAGCATAGTTGAATGTGACGCCAAATCGTGAATAAATCGTTGAAATTAGTTGCAGTGCTGAATGTGTACCAGAACACAGTTGTCCCAGGAAAAAATTACATTTAGGAGAATATAATGTGGTGAGAAGGAAATGCTGAAGAGGTATAATCTTTGCACATTTTTCACAGGTAGGTGTGAAGGTAAAAAATGGAAAGAGGGTAAGCGCGTAGTTCGATTTGAGAAGAGGAAGAAAAATAGAAAAGGCTATTTGACTTTAGACAAAGCTACAAATGAGACTTGGGAATGTGGTCAAGATGTACTTAGTACTGTATCATCTATATTCAAGCTCGATAGCAATATATTCGCAAATAAACGCAAAGAAAGGCAACTGTAAACCGGGAGTTATTGATAGGAAGCCTTCCAGCTTTAAGACATTATAAAAAAGCTTTGTTTCTCTCTCAGTATCTATTTCATTAACTCTTACTATGTCAGACCCTCATAAACCAATCCCTCTACCTCCCCTACGAAGTCTACCCATGCGCCTTCGTTCCATGGATAGTAACTCCCCCAAACAGTCACTACGACACCTTTCTCCCTATCGATCCACATATCACAATTTGGCGCACCATACCAATAGACCGTACCCTTACTTCTACCCCTCTTCCCGTCTCTAAGCACTCTCTGTGCACCCTGAACACCACAGCCCAGTCCATAGCTACCTTCAGGATCTAGATGAGGAGAAGACAAGTCAACCGGAAGCAGGATAGGAAGAGCATCTGAAACAGGAAGACTACGAGAGTCGTTGCGTAGATGCTCTGCAAGCTGAGGCTTTGATATCTCCGCTACCGACTCGGCAGAAAGAATCCGATGCCCAGTTATCGGATCGACACCTTGATTCTGCGGTAGCAAAGCAGCAACAAGATGCGTGTAGTCCCTTGCACTAGCCACCAGCCCTGTTCCCAAACAACCCACATGATGCTGTCCCTCGGGATACGCATCCAGTCTCCTGATGACCTCTGGCTCCGCAGCATCCAGCGCGATAAAGCCATTTTCAGTCCTCATGTTTCTCGGCCAGAATTTACCCGCGTTCTCCGGCAGTGCTGTAGCGGAGCCTCCAAACGCGGGCTCGAACCCGATTTCTCTGAGCCCGAGGGGATTGAAGATATTTTCTTGAAGATAGTCGCCCAGTGGCTTCTTGGTGATGCGCTCGATGAGCACGGCAATCCAGTCTAGGCCCTGTCCGTAGTTTGTATGTGTGCCTGGTTGCCAGAGTAGGGGGCTTGCAAGGAGTATGCCATAAGGGTTATTAGCTTCGTTTGCCTTTTCCCAGGTTCCCTCGCCGAGATCGCGGACGTAGTCCAAGAGTAGTTGGTTGAAGTAAGTGTGGCCGCCGCCATAAGTATGGTTTAGTAACATTCGGGCTGTAATATCGCTCTTTTGTTCTTCGAGTTGCCACTGCTTCTTTCCCGTCTTGGTATCCACGGTGTAGCCGGTCAAGACTCGCTTCGACGTGAGTTCTGGGAGGAAGGTGCTGATGGTGGTGGAGTCATCGAGGGTGGCCAGACTTTGCTCAACAAGCTGCATGTATGCTATTGCACCGATGATCTTTGTAAGTGATTGAATGATAGCTATTGATTCAGATGTAGGAGGCTTGGACGGACTGGAGCCATGAGAGAAGAGGACATTGTTCTGGGCGTCGACTACATGAACTAGGGCAGACGGCAGTGGTAAATTGACTGCTGTCGGTTGTATAGCATTATCAATGTGTTTTTTCAGCGCGGCGGCAGTCTCTTGGGTAATGGTTGGAAGGCCCATGGTGGATGATGAGTGCGAGGCTTGAATGCAGGAGGCACCGAATGGTATACGTCTATGTGCGGCTACTTTATAAATTTAGATTCTCAAAAGTCTTCTAGTGACCATTGCTAACGTGCTGATGTTGCAGCCACCAAAAGTGCAAAATGTACCTTGTTCGCCTAACAAAGTAACCTACTTACTCTAGAAGGTCAAACTAACGCAGAAAAGAGAAGATTTACTCGAGTCAATAAATTCACAGAGTCGCACGTGGGGCAATCGCTTACTTCAGCCGACACTTGCTGCATACCTAGACAAAAGAGGACAGCCACCAGGGAGTGTGCTGCATTGTTAGTAAGCGCGCTAGGAAGTCAGCAATTCGGAAAAATGGATCTGACAATAATATAAGGATTGCGATGTTCCAATAAAACTAAGTAAGTGTTCTTGTGCGTACTCCACCGGGCCATAGCAACTCCACCATCTTGTGAGTTCAGTGTATAAACAGTTTTGCTTGAGTTCTGTACTCCAGTGCGAGAAGGTCTAACATCTCAAGTGAATGCTCCTAGGATACCCGAAACCCCACAGTAATCCCACACAGCATTTGTTATCGTAATCATCATCACCGTCAATAAATATCTTCCCATTTCCCCCACATGACGTCATGCTTGTATTTGTCCATAAGTTGGCCTGTAGGGTCGTCGCCCTTTACATATGCCCACGCGCCCGCGAAATGCAGAACGAATTTGCCAGGCTCCCACTGACCATGCTCATCTTCGTAGCATTTGATCTCTTCAGGAAAGGCGTTCAATTTCGATTGAGGCGCGATAATGAACCTCTTCGAGTATGGCTCCTCCTTCATAACACGTACCAGGGCATCCTGCTCGCTATAGTCTTTGCCCTCGTCGGTGTGGCGGAGATCAAGCGCGCGGCGGATGAATTCGAGGGATCGGTCGTGTGCGCGGACTAGAAAGGATCCCAGATTGAGGCCGTTGCAATCGTTGGTGAAGATGTAGTCAACTTTGTCAGCATGCTCGACATTCTGCAACTCGTCGTTGACTATGTCGGCAACATTGACATTGGTGTTGGTGATGAGTGTGTCGAAGTCGAGCCACCATATCCAGTCATACTTTGCGGACTTGACAAGCCTTTCGATCATGTCGAACTTCCAATATACAGGGTTTCCAGTTTCGCTATGCTGTTCGTAGTCGATGACAAGGTCATAGCCGTGACGGCGTGAGTAGTCTGAGCAGGAAGCATGTCAGCATGTCGCTTTTGAGTAACAGCTTAGCCAAGCTTACGATCTTTGTTCCTTAGCGAGAGATAAAGGTATGATCTCTGCTCGGTGACAAAGGTTACGAGTGCTAATCGAAGCGGTTTCTTCTCCTCGACATGTGGCTTCTGCTCAGGTTCGATAGGAGCGGGCGGAGGAGGCGGAGGAGGCGGAGGAGGCGATGGCGGCAACGGATGCTCCTCATGTCTTATTCCTTGATTGAGTTCCCAACCCAAGAAGGCCAGGAAGGCAAGCAGAAGTACGAATGATAGCGGCAGCCTTCTTGCTGACCGGACGAGCATGATTGCAACAGAATGTCGAATTGAAGAAGGCGCTTGATTGACACGGGAGCAGGGTGTTTTCACCTTGACATGAGCATGAGCATGAGCATGAGCATGAGCAGTACCGAAGATGGCACAGTTGTGGCAGCTGAAGGTGTGAGGGATGGAAGCTACTCATGGTGGAGATTAGAGATTGAGCAAGGAAAAGTAGACATGGTGGATTCACGTCAGGGACTCAGCCGTAGACAGGGTGGCGCAACGTTACACAGCATATTCTGGACCAGGCGGATGGCGAAAATGCTGGCTGGAGCAACAAAAGCGATGATGGACAAAGAAGTCACAGATGCGAAAACCGGACGCCAGTCCAGATGGACAGTTGAGCCTACACGAATTGCCCGTATCGAGTAAGGTGGACTGGAACAGTGCGGCAAGATTCGCGCTAGACCCCTGCATCCGCTCTTCTCCACTCCTCTCTCCGCCCGCCGTGACGACGACAACATCATCAATGTTATCATCGAGACTGGTCCCAATCCGTCATGTCTAGCTCTCGGGGTGCGTGCAAAGAACTCTTCATCCACGGCGTCTGGCACTGTATGATGGCCGATACTCAAGCCACTCAAGGCTGTCTGCTCACGTGCCATCAAGTGACTGCAGTCCGCGACTGCCCGCAGTGCATCTACAAACCTCAAAACCGGGCCCGAATCATGGGAGATGGTATATGATATTCTCTTTATTCCTGAAAGCCCTGCGCTCAATCCAATTCGCACCTGCAACAAACTTCCACAAGAACAATGCAAGTTCTTCCTATGGGACGACGATGCCTGTACACGCGAGGACGAAGTTGTCGCAAATACAGCTGCCACTCTCACTCCAGGTCATAAGCGCAAACGCTCCGTCAGCGGAAATCTAGACAAGCATCGTCTTTCAAAAGCTCCGGACGATCATGATCCGGGTGAAGCCATGTCTCATCTGGAAACGCCTGGCAAGGCTGCCAAGATAACAATCTTTAGCACTCTCGTTACTAAAAGGTTCAATCTCCCCTGGGACGAGGGCTAAAGCAGCGATACAGCAGTTTATGGACTGCAAACACCTCACACGGGACGGAAGGCTCAGGAAGATCCGTTTAATTCAAGACCTCCCACAACAGCGGCGAGTCCCTTTCCTTCTTCTGCAACCAGTCAAGAAAGCATCCGCAGAGTTGCAACACCCTACTCAACACCCTGTACTTCTATTCATGAAACGCCAAATACAAGTCGCTCCAAGAATTCAATGGATCAAGACCTAGTCGGTGGCGTCTTCGATCTGTTGCAACAATCCAACATCGTCTTACCTGGTCATATCGAAGAGGAGCTTAGAACTTTGTTAATAAGACACGTAAAGCGTACAGAAGGGTTTAAGAGAGCACGAGACGCGACCCGCCTTGCTATCAAGGCAAAGGACGCGAAGATCACCGAGTTCACGTACCGAATAGGTGCCCTTGAGGCCGAATTAGAGGCGGAGAAGGCTATGGTGACGCATCTACAATGGGAGGCCCAGAACCACACTTCGGATCTCGACTAGATTGCCCTCTGCACAACAGTCAGGAAAAAAACCAATGAGGGTACCGAGACGTCCCGCTCTTCTACGCATCGATCGTGTAGCGCGCAAACAGTTGTCGCTGATCTGAATCGGTGCCTGCTTAGACAATCGTGGATTGTGGCACTATCCTGTCCTGTTTTCACACAGTGCCTTGGCAGGCCCCGCTATCTCCAAACCTGACGGGTTAGGTTCATCACTTGATTCCTTGCTACATGTTGGTAATGCTTGCATCGCCCTAATGCGCCTGGCAGAATTACTGGCGACCGGCGTGTCGCCATACAATAGCCTAACCATTTCCATAGGACGAAAGCAAGTGTAGACTGATATAAGTAGCTGCCATCACCATACACCTGCAGATCTCCGGCTCTCACGCGCGTGTTCACATTGCAGCGGAAGTCAACGGCTAAGTCGAGGGCTGGGCTATGAAGACGTAAGAACGCGTATGCACGACTCCTCGTTCGAGGTGGAAATTTCTGATGGTACCAGCATGATATTCACATGTTTCATGATCGAAGGAAATGACTAAGGACACTTCATTTTTGCACTAGAAGCTCGGGTGCTATCCTAGGCAAGTGGGCATGTTGGTGGGGAGGGGATCGTCTATGGTATCTAGGAGTTGCTTTGCTTTTCCCGCTTCTTACCAATGCGCTACGGAAGCAATGCACCGTACTACAGCGGGGGATGCATACATATGTAGGCACTGCAACTGCACGTCCGGATCCCCAAAGTGTTTTCCGATTATTCAAAAACTACCGATCAGGGAACAACGGAGAGCAAGAGGTTTTTGTCTATATCTTAATAGGGATTGTCAAGAAACGCGGGTTTACATTATTTTCCTTTTTGAAGAGTTCGACGACATATAAGATCTAGAGTACGGCTATTGCAACTGTTCATCGAGACCATCAACCCCAACATTATCATTTAAGTCTCTTATTCACAAGCCAAAATTTCCACTAAGCCTAGCAACTCTTGTTCTGAACTGCATCCACATAATGGGATCCATAGACCAGAAACCCGGTATGCTACTGGTGCACCCACGTTTACTTCACGAGAGCGGAGATTTCAGCCCATACTTCTGGCGGTGGACGAAGCTGCATTTCAGAGACATGCTCAACATGTCCTCGGACAAAGATTCAGACGGCAAAGTCACCTCTTGCCTACGGTTCGCCAGATCCGATGAAGGAAATGGTTATGGACACAACCCGGAGGTAGACACAAAGCCAATGTTTGTGTACGCATGTCTTGTTGACAACTTGGACATTTTGAAGAGTAAGGCATACGATGATGTAAGCCGGGTTTTGAACTTGGAAACCACAAGGGAGCTCGGGGAGGATGAGTACCCAGTAGGATACAGTGGACGTTTGGAGCAAGAGGGCAAAGAGGCAACAGTGTTCGACATTGTTAGTGCCAAGTTCGCCGTCTATGAAGATATTCCAACGGGAGGCGGAGCGACATTTCAGAACTTGCCCCCGGATTTGTTGTCTCCCTCGGGCACTATGCCTGATACGCTCTCGACCTACCTGATTGCAGTAAATGTCGGACTCCCTGTGACTGCAGGCGATGACATGAGGAAAATATCCGATATGCTGTTGGGACGTCTCAGAAAACTTCTTCCCAATTTCATCAAAACATACTCATCACTCTACCGCTGGAAGGGCAGGGAGGCTCAGCCAAAGGATCACCCATTCACCGACGCTGAAAAGAACGCTGGGTGGATGTTCATGATTTGCGTATCTGGCCCGATAGGACCTTTTTCTGACATTACAGAGTGGATACCCAAAGATGTATTCGATCGTGCGGTCGGTTCGCTTGGATATGGTGTCGATGTCCAAGTGGGGGAGATGGTAGGGAAGGATGTGCCGCGAAGCTATGGAATCTGGGAAGGAAACATTTTCATGCGTTAGGGAGAACCATGACTGGAGCAAAAGGAAATGACCCAAGGGATCAACAAAATGCACTTCACGCTTAGCTGTGCCATTGGTGTTGCGACGGATCAGATTCAACATTTGATATGTAGATGCCTTGTATATTGCGGGATTGTGTCTTTGTTTGCTGGTAACTAGCAATCCTGCTTTGCTAGGTATGCACCCATGTCGCGAAATTCAAACATCAATCGCGCACTCACATATCTCAAGTAGTCTCACCTGTGCAGTTTTAACCGTACACTAGACCATTGCTCTGCACACTAAACAAGGGAATGTAGCTGAAGATTAAAGATATACATATTGATGCGGGACCAGCGGATGGGAAGAGTTGAATGAACTTGCCGTTGTTGAATAATAATGTAGTTTCTCCAGAATTATCTCACGACGATATTCATTTGAAGAATGCTATACATAGCCCCGATGCAAAGGTTCTCTATTCGTTGTCATTTTTGGAACAATTTCAAGTCTCGTAAACTTCCGCCATGATAGGTCACTAAATCTACTGGTGCTCAACATTGCTTGCTAATAGTTTATTTCCTTCGTTCTTTTATCCGCCTCCGAGTTTGTATCCTCGTCAATTGATAGCTGTGAAACCAAAAGGTCAATCCGTTGCATATTGGCGAATTGAAGACATCCGAAGTCTGCGTATGCAAGTCCGCAGTGCGGGCACACACATATGCACATTAGGGCCAAGACTGATCTGAAGCGCATGCATTGGACCTATCTTATAATTTGGGGTTTAGTAAGAAATTTCTGTGAATCTTATGTGATCATTGAGAATTCTTATTAGTTCTGAATAGGCTGGCTGATGAACTTCGAGTTGGAGTTGACTTCCTGGTCGAGGATCTTGTAGTACGAGCTCGAGTAAAGAAGAGAATAATCGTTCATGACGTTGATGAATGATTCCCAAAGATGTTATGATTTGCACAACAAGCAACTGAAACAAACTATGTAGCAGAGGCCACTGTTTTAAGCAATCACAGCGCCCCAGGCATTGGATGCACGGTATCCGGAAACGTTTTCTAGCAAGTCGATGCTAGATATTGGCAGAGTGACCACAATAGTTCCTTATCAGTACGCAATAACAATGCGAAGATAGCCGTATGAGGTGAACTTTGACTGGCTTACAATCACACGGCTGTTTGGCCTTTTTTGCGGGAAGAGAAGTTGGTGCGGTTTGGCATACACGGCCACCGGCACGATGTGCCAGAGAGTCGTCAGCCTGCGCACGTGCGCCATAATTTTCATTCAAGAACAGAGTCTTCCCATTTCTTGAGTCGCATTTGGCTAGTACCTTTTTTTTCGAGTATATTGTGCAAAGTATGACGGATGAAAGTTCAGCGAAAAACAAGAGTGATGGCAAAGGGTCAATGGCAATTGCAGCTAAGCATTGGCATCCCGGAAGACGGCAACAAAGTACGCCATGATTTGTTGGAAACATTCCAACCACCCAGTGTGACGTACGCCAGGAACGTAGCCGACAGACAGTGATCCACTTCTCCCAGCGGAAGCTTGGCAACCCACGATAGCCTCCACGCAACTACCACAGAAAGGTGTTCATCTAAGGAATCGCATGATAGTTACCGCCACATGGATCATTCATGCAGAAAGAGCTTGTTTTGCCTGGTAACAATCGTCTGTGGCGTTGCAAACGGCGTTCCTATGGCGGCATACGATAGGTCCGTTTAACAGTCTGAATCTACACATAGGGTTCTTGGCACATCGCACGCCTTGAGTCAAACGAACTGAACCGAGTGATCCACCAGATACCTATCAGGAGCTCTAGTGTCACGTCTTGGCGGACGTAGTGGGGTCCACGCCCTGGGCAAGATACAAAACTGACCCACTCCGCTGCAGTGAGACTGATGAAATCCACCATTGTTTAGAAGTTTGAAGATATGAACACTACAACCAGTGCGATAAAATTCTAGGGATATATCGTTTCATGAGGAGCAACCATTTATACATCCATCTCAGTATACAGCAGGCCGCTCTGCAACATGGCTATGCGAACCCTACGAAAGATTGGCGACTATATCGCGCCTCCTGCTGCGAAGAGCGAGGACGGCCGTGACCAATGGCCGTCACGGGCAGCCTTCCTACTCGCTGCAATGGGTGGCTGTGCCGGACAAGGAAACCTGCTCAGATATCCTAGTGTTCTGTATAACAATTATGGACTCCAGTGGTTCATCCCATATCTCTTGGCCGTGTTTCTCATCGCCATTCCTGCGCTTATCTTAGAGGTCTCGATTGGACAAGCGTACCGCGGAGGAACCGTCATCGCGTGTAAGATTATGACACGGAGGCCTTTTATAGGATCTAAGCTGACGTAGTTCACCACCTCTAGTCAATAATGTACATCGCCGGCTGAAGGGTGTAGGTATGGGGCCGGTCATTGTCAGCTTCCTCGTTGTGCAATATTTCACTGTCAACTTAGCATGGATTATGCAGTACTTCCGGCACAGCTTCACTAGCCCCTTGCCATGGGAAAATCGGATCGAAGAATTCTACTACCAAGACGTACTTCAACGCGGGGAAATTAACGAAGGAAGCTTGAGCGCCGATGGGAATTCAGTAGCCCGGTTCACGGGTTACCCCAACGGAGCGCTTATTGGCGAAACAGTCGGATGGAGTATTTTCGTTTGGTTCCTCATCTGGATTTCTATCTTCCGTGGTGTTGGAATGACAGGGCGAGTCGTCTACTTCACCATGGGATTGCCAATTGTTACTACCATTATCTTCGTTGGAAGAGCATTGTCACTCGAAAATGCAAGAGAAGGCATTGATCTTGTGTGGAGGACATGGAGGAGCGATCAGCTTGCTTCGGGTTCTGTTTGGCAAACAGCCGTTGGCCAAGTATTCTTTTCGACTGGCATCGGTTTTGGATACTTCACTTCGTACGCCAGCTACAACACCAAATACTCCAACGCTGTCATGGACGCATGTCTCATCTGCGGGAGTAACGTTCTATTCGAGAACTTTGCCGCGTTCGCCATCTTTGGCGTTGTTGGCTTCCTCCGCAGATGGCCACAGGACGGTGAGAGACTCGGCGCATTTGTTGTCGGATTTCTCACCTTACCCGAAGCTGTACTCCAGATGCCTGGAGCTAATTTCTGGGCAGTACTCTTATTCTTCACACTTTTGGTTCTTGGATTCAGTTCGGCTTTTGTTATGTTGGATGTTGTGGTCACCCTTATTTGCGACTCTGGTATAGTCAAGGCGTCACGACCTGTTGTCGTCACCGCACTTACTATCCTTTCCTTTCTCATGTAAGTATATTCCCTTGTTGTTTTCACCAAGGAGAGTTCCTTTTCCCAAATCAGCCAGATCTCATGAATGCCTACTAACCTGCCCTCTCGACGTATAGGTGCCTACCATACTGTACTGAGTTTGGATACTATCTGCTCGATGGCATTGATCGATGGGTAAACAACGTTGCCCTCATCTTCGTTGTGTGGAGCGAAGTCTCCAGTGCTACTACTGTATATCGATGGAAAGACATCGTTCATCAAACTGGGCTTCCTGCTTTCGTGGTCTACAATGTGGGCTTTCTTGGTGCTCAGGTGCTTGGCATCAGCCTAGCCCATGGAATCAATAGTCCAGGTATTGGAGCAGGTACCGGCATTGGTTTCTACTGCCTGATGACTATCGTTGCTGTCACAGTAGCACAAAATCCTGACGTAGATGCGCCTTCATTGTGGAACAGTACTGCCCTTTTTAGGAAGTTTTGGTATCTCGCATTTTATTCAGTAAGTACTACACGGACTTGCGGCGTTTTTCTTTTTAGAGAAACTAACTCGACATCTAGGGGAACCAACTACGCCGTGACTTGAATTTGATTGTTGGGCGGGGCAAGAATTGGAAGATCCCTACATTTATGCCTGTCCTACTCCGCTATCTTAGCGGTCCTGTCCTCGCCATCATACTCTCTTTTGCCTTCCCAGAGTGCCATACTCTTCGCTATGATCCCATGATGATTTCTGGGTTTATATTGTCTATTCTGACTATTATAGTCATCCTGCTCGGCTTGGTGATGCCTCGATATTACGATGCATTCATCCCTGTATACCGGCGATCCGAGGGTACTGAGCCAACAATGGCGATGCAAAACAAGGGCGAATTAGGTGGAAAACCAGCAACAGAGACGATAGCTGCGGAACATGGCCATGGAAGTGTAATAAGGGACTTGTCTCCCGGACAGGAAACGGGTGGTGAGAAGCAGGTCAAGACAACAAGCCTGACATGATCAACTAGAGGTTCATTACTATGTTCATGGACAATGAGCCTGGATCTGTAAGATGATGTAGACAATCTAGTGCGCCGGTTTAAGAGTAAAAGAACATACAGCGAGGAAATGAACTTTTACCCGAACTTGAAGGCATCTTCAATGTCATCTGAATCTCTCAGCTTCAAGTTTACATATGCCCTTGCTATTCTGGTAGAACCTCACCCTTTCTAGCTTGCGCAACTAACAGTGAGACTCCAAAGAGGATTTAATGAGATAGCCTCTTGAGTCTACACACTAATAGCCTTGCCTTGCGAGAAATGATGAGAGGGTGAGTTGCCATACGGTAGGGGGATAACATGTATAATGATGAGATACTGGGGGAAGAGCAGCTGTAGAGAGAAGAAAGAGCTATGTGAGCATATGGGAACTAATATCGCTGCTTGCAAAAGTGGACAGCGCTATTGAAATTCACCGCCTTGCTTACATTTATCCTTGTAAGACACTTGCATGTTGAATACCAAGCTGTCATAGAAATTACGGCTTTGGCTTCATATTAGGATTAGTCACTAGAGGGTTTTCGTGCATGAAGAAATGCGAGCTAATTTGGGCTTGTTTGGTTCTCAGTTTCCCGTCTGTGTTTATTCGCCTTTCTAGGTTTAGAGCTTCGATAGAGAGGGCCGACTAGCTTCCATCTACATTGAGATAGAAAACGTAGGGGTTAAGCTCCATTTCGTGACTAGATTCTTGTTACGTGGCGGTCACGCAGTCGTCACGTTGTAAGACGGGCTGCTAGGACTAGCAGAAACAGGGTATTTAGCTACGTAAGGGATATTTAGTCACTCATAGCCGCAACGCTAACTAGTACTAATAATAGTGGGAGATCTAACCTATAACGGCCCAAAAACGTTAACGTAAAACGGCCCTAAACAGTAGTTAAACGGAAAACAGCGCAGCTAAATCGCCCCCTATTAGGTCTAGCTGAAAAACAGAGTTCAGTGGAGCCTTGACGCCTACCCAATCTCCGAAGTTTCCATGATTACTTTACGAAGGAATTATTGCTGTGCAGCATATCAAGCTTACCTCAAGTTTAGATACATGGCTTATCATATGATCGCTATCATTTACAAAACGCTTTATTCCAGAGAGATCTGATCATTGATCTACATATTGCTTTACTTACGGGTATGTATGGGTAAGTGGACGGTATTTCGCGAATATCTGAGCGTATCGTCCATTCAAGCCCTGGTCAGCCTGTCCGGAGATTCCCGCTGTCGGCATTACTAAATATCCATAGAACAAATTTTGTAACTAGGCCAATAGAATATGTAAGCGCTATTTATTTGAGTATCTTGGACCCGGTGATTACTAGTAGAATACGAAGTCGTGACAACTTTGGCCATCAGGCCTCCTCCACGGTCGAGGAACGACTAGTAGAGTACTAACACGTGAAGTTAATAATTGCGATAGGGAAAAATTTGAGGTTTACTACATTTTAGTTGCGAATAATACAAGCTGTCAAAGATTGCGAAAGGCAAGACACAAGGTAGCAAAGTCTCTGAGTTACTGGTATGATTGGTATGTAAATCCAAACGTCGTCGCGCATCACAAGGTCTATTTCTCTAACCTTCGTTCAAAGGACTTCCAGCCGCTTAGATTGGGGGCTACTGCAACTGAGTCGTATAGAAATCAATCGTCTCGCCAAGATCTTTTACCTGGGCATCAGCCGGTCAGAATAGTATTCGGTCCGCCTTATAGTATAGACGTAGACGTGAAGTACCTAGCAAGGAAAGGGATATGTAGTAATTAATTGGCTTTACTAAAATAGCTGTAGCATAGCGTTTATTTTGAAAGCCCTTAGGTATATAAAGTTTCGTATGCCGTGATATCTTTCAACTATATACTACTTATCACTTTCAAGTATCTCAACTAGCCCCATCATTGTATTTACTACACAATTATACTACTGCAATGCATCTGCCTACGCTTTCCGTGTTACTTGCCGCAAGTGCTTCCGTTGTTAGCGCTCAGGCAACTGTACCAGGCCTTGGATGTGTTTGTATGGTATGTTGAAGCTTTCAGATACCACGACAATATAATAACGGGGGCAGGCACCAACCGCTTCAGGGAGAGACCAATCGATAGCCGACCGAACCACTCGTTGCTGTCGTGATAATAGAGGTGAGTCAACGCAGTAAAATAAGCAGTGGCTTCTTAAAGTAATGTATTTGAATATCATTTCTAACGATACATAGGAACTATGATTAATACGGTTAATTTCTGGAATCGCGGCAACTTCTACTGCCGTGTCCCGAACTCTGTTACTCCGGCCGATTGGGATCAGAATTGCTGCCGTAAGTGGTATGGAAGTGGGACTTACGGATTTTGCAATCAATCAACTTGATGAACTAGAGCGGCACGCATAGAAATGCTCAGCTCATTGTATCCTCTATACGCCGAGGAGAAAAGGTCTATTCTCTAAAAAGCTGAACGCGCATTAGTTAGCCTTTCAATGAAATGTCGAGTTCTTCACAATCTTCAGTGTCTATCCTTAAGCTTGACATATGCGCTTGGTTCAAAAACAAATTTCTAGACATTCGGCTGCAACATTCTCAGCCCATGATAACGGATATCCTAGGATGAGGAGTTAGCATTCGAGAAGAAGATAGCTACTAGTGTATGACAACGCTTTGAAGGTGGTACATACACTCTGCAACAAGCATTCGGCTCTTGCCAACAATTCCACCTGAAGTCATCAGAGTGTGAATCGGGGTGACACTATGGATCGTATGATAGAGCGGAGAAGCCCGGATCCAGTACATGCTGTGTCAGATCTCAGCACTGGCTAGAAGCTTTTCTTGCAAGACCTATGTCAATATCACTAGCTGCTAAAGATAAATCCAATGGCAATAGTAATATGGCCAGCTTATATCTCACATGGATTATCCGTTGCAAAGGTATCCATTAGACTGTTCTAGATAATGATCCATTCTTTGAATCGTCATTTACAAAGAAAAGCTTCAGCTCTGTGTTGCTAAACGCTTGTACTAGTTATAAGAAGCATGCATTCTCCGATGGTTAGTGTGTAGAACCCTCCTCTCTAAAATGAACATAGTGAATAGCTTAGGCATATGAAACAAAGACCGTACATTTCGCCGATAGATATTGAATATCGAAAAGATATGCTGGCAGTTTTTCATCTCACTGACGACCCATTCCACCCCCTTGGTACTTCTTGTAAGTGTATGCAATCTCCTCTATTAACTATGTCATCTCTATGAGAAATCTTAGGGGCGTTGGAAAGAGTAGTTGGTGCATTAATGTCTCATTAAAATGATTGAATATGTACCTTATCCCAAGTTGCGCAGTACGACTAAGGTCAATATAAGGTTTCTTAAGCTCCATTCAGGTTTAGTCATACCACTTGTCCTTTCCTACGAACTTGTTTTGCTGAGATCGCTCTGGCTTATTTTTCTCCCGTACGGGTCATGCAGCGCATCCCATTCGCTGATCTGGTTGTACGGTATCTTCACAAGCACATGTGTTTGCGCTCCATCTCCAAGATCCAGAACCTCTTGGCGCACCTTGTAGCCTCGAAACTTAGGCAGCCAAATAATCCAGATGTAGTAATACAGCCCACAAATGAGTAGTATGCCAATCCCGACCACGATGTAAGTACCGTACCAGAAGCTGACGTCTCCACCTGTCGCCCCGCCAGTTGGTGGATACCAAGGCATGATAATTAGATAGAGCTGAACTAAAATATTGAAAATGAGTACGACGTTCCAAACATGGAAGGATGGTGGTGGCAGTCCAAGGCGATTGCGGCGAAACCGTAGCACATAGAGCCCAACGGCCATGAGGAGACTAAAACATGCTGAGGGATACACTTGAAGGTCAACGATGAATGAGAAAGCATCGCCCGCTGGCACTGCAAGGATTATGAGAGTGGTAAGCGCCCATTTCGTGAAGTATGGCCCTATTGGGGTACCGAATGGTTTGGTGGATGCCCAGAACTGTGGCCAGGGAAGTACGCCTTGTCGACCACATTCTCTGATTAATCGCGAGGATCCTAGAAGAACAGCGATAAGATTTCCGAATGAGCTCAGTGCTATGAGGAAGTTGAGCCCCCGGACAGCACCGTGGTCTCCAAACACCTTGGTGAATAGAATACCGGCGGCAATTGTTTTGCCTGTTAAAATTTCTTCTTTAGGAATGGCGGCAAAATAAGCCACGTTTGCCAGGATGTACAAGGTGGCAACGAGTACTACTGCTGCGAATCCATTGTTCCTGATGCTCTTCACTGGGTTCTTCACCTCGTTGACTACATTGAATGCATTTTCATATCCAGCATCTGTATTATATGTCAGTAGGTATCGCCGTTCAGCTCTTTATAATTACTTACACGCAAAAATAATCTTGTACATGGCGTTCGTGATACCATATCCCGACGGACTACCGTCAAAAGCATCGCGAAATCCGGCTGAAGGATTCTTGACCCTAGTGTGTCCGCCTAGCACAACCAACCCTGTGATAGCGATGAACACTAGTGTTGTCAGTTTGATTGCCCCAATTGCATTACTAATCCAGTAAGATGCTCTGGTATGGAATAGGACTACCAACACAGCAGCTGTGTAGCAGGCGATCGCAAGCCCCTTGGTTTCCCACGGCTTAGCTTGATAGTCACCGATCTTGTAAAGGTAGTTGGCCATAACCACTGCGTTACCGGAGCTAAAAGATAAGATAACTGACTGGATCGCAAATATGGTCGGAAATAACCATTTGGGTCGCGGGAACGCTTGTTCAAGATAGGCCACCTCAGAACCTGATCGAGACGGAAAACATGCCGCATATTCCAAATACACCGATAGCGAGGATACTGACGTGAATAATCCAATTGTCCAGAAAATCAGACTAAGTCCAACTGAGCCTGTACCTCTCAAAATCGACGCGGCTACAATTCACTGTTAGCTTCCCTAATTTTGGTCAAAGCATTTTCCACATACGTGTCGAGAATATTCCTGTAATTGATTAATACAAATCAAAATTTTCAGATTGAGGAACCAAATACCTGTGCCGATCATCTTTGATAGATTCAGGAAGACTATTGTGATAGGTCCAACATTGTATCCCAAAGGGGAATGTGTCTCGATAGGAGCTCCGCTCGCTTCTTGATAGGCAATAGGAGCACTGTTGCCACCTTGCTCCCCAACATATTTCAAATTTCCATCTGTGACTTGAATGTTGCCACTCGCTGTCACCGACTGAATCGCAGAAGCCAATCGATCTGGGTTCCTGCCGATTTTGAAACGTTTCCTGAAGAGTGAAGACATTGTGAAAGATAACTAGGTCTCTTGATAACCCAGTACGTCAAGCTATGTCATTGGATGGTCTTTGAGGCATGTAAGCATGTAGCGCAAGACGGACACTGGAGGTATATATGGAAGTCTAAGGATAGAGCCAACCTTCTGCGGTTGGGGTTGGTTGCAAACTGGAGTGCAGATGTCACCATCGCACGTCATTTGCAACACGATTGTTGAATTCTAACGATTGCCTTCAGATACCTGTTAAACCTATCACATTGTGTTGCGTGCCGAGCACGCGAGAGATAATGTATTTGCGATATCGCAGGGGTACCTGGAAGAGCCAAGGCGTTGGGCCTTCGCTTCGCTGGGCAGTTCGTCGCACACCCTCGTATATCCTTACTGAAGATTCGAATTTATATAGCTGGATGAAGAGTGAAGTGCTGTATACTACACTGCCAGGAGTCATTTATGATCTTAGAAGCGACGGAAGTAATGGGGAACTTAGAATAGCTGGCCGATAAAACATTCACGTGGGGCGATATACATAGAATATGGGATTGTAGTAACATAGGGATTGGCTGATAACAATCCCAGCATATCCTGGCAAGAGCCCAAAAAGGAACCTATGCCCGGATAGTTCATTTTCTATCTGCTTGGTGCCACTCGCAATGTTGCTATCTTCAATACACTGTGTCTGCACACGTATCTTGCGTTACTAACAACAATAAGGTGGCGGAGCAGCTTTGCCCCAAATAAAAGCATTCTCAGCGTCACTCAAATCATTTGAGTCTTCGATCTAGAGAGTAATCTTCAAAAATATAGGTAGATGCTGTAGTTAGCCCATACCTTCTTACGGTGGGGATTTATAGGTCTAAATAACGCTAACTAACCGGGCGAAGTACGTTTGCAGACGTGGTATACAGGGTCTCAAGACGACCTGTGTATTCTACTCCAGCGGCTTACTTTTCCCTCCACTTGCAGTACGAATTGTTGGCTCCAGCGGAAAAACAGAGTTTTCAGGCGCCACGCCTTCGTATGGACCATCTTGACTTCAACGCCTCAGGCGTGGGCCATGCATTCTCAGGATCACGCAACCAAAGGCGGATAAAATGACGCCTAAATTGATTTAGCACGGGATTTTGCATGATCAGGTGGGTTGATACTCACTGCTGCTCCAGAGTGTTCTTGAATCTATCTCTGGCATGGAAAACGCTCAAATTGTTGATATATTGCACATCGCCCTTTCTAAAACCAAGAGAAACAGCATGTTTCTCAGCTAGAAAATGGAGGGCATCAAGGGCTTCGGCCTGAGCTTCAGTTATGGGTGGCACATCAGAGGATCTTGGCAAACCCCAATAGCCTGTGAACGTCCTTCGTGCATACTGGATGATCAGTCTCTCAGGAGTAGACTTGGTCTTTGGCTGATAGTGAAGCAACGGTCGAAGTGCATACTTGTCCCCCCTACCACCAAAACTATCGCAATAGTTAGGAGCAGCTTCTTCAAGTTTGAATTAGTTACGAGTTTAACGTACTTCTCGCTGGCCCAAGGTTCAGCTAGGGTCCTGATAAGATCTGGTCTCGTTCTGGCAAGCTCTTTGTATACTGTCCATGAGCTGGACAATTTACTTTCCCCGCCCTCCGCAGCAGTCTCCAAGCATGCCAAGGCAATACCATCACCCGAGTCAGTATGGAATACCTGCTTATCAGTCGTATAAGCAGGTGCGCCAATTTTGTTAGCATCCACAATCGAGCTTAGGTCTTTGATGTGACCTAAGACGACATGCGCCGGTTTTCCCTGGTACTGAAAGTCCTGGCGCCCTCTAATCGGAGCAACGTGCGACGAGACTCCAGCGTATATGATAATATTCTTCTAACTGTCATGTTTATCAAATGGCAGGCCTCGAAGAACCTTGAAGCCGCATCGATTATGGACCTCATCGGAAATGTTGCGCAGTTCAGTGTGCAGCTTTGGAAGAGAAAATGTGTCTTTGTTGACGAAGCCGAGTGGTTTGCTAAGAGCTTTTGTCGTTTCAGCATATCTCAATTTTACACATCAAAATAGCTTACATTTGAAGTATTCTAGTGCATCTTCGATCTCCTGAAGCTCTTCCGCATTGATTTCGTAGACGAAATTGTACTTTTCAGTAATGTCGCTTCCATTCCATACAAGGTCAGAGTTCAGTTCGTGAGGGAATCCATCTGGTATCTGGTTCGAGAGTTCTTCAGTAGCATTTTGGAGGGCAACACGTGCGAGATACTTGTCGAGATCGGGAGCATAGTCGATATCGGGTTAACCAACCGGACCAGTTTTCAACACTTGAGCAGTAGCCATGCTAATGTTCGATATGAAATGTATGGTACATTCTGAAAGTCTTGCAGCAACAAGACTCGATATAGTACATAAGTTAGTGTCGCAACGAGATTGGCATATCACGTCAACAGGTGTGTGATGCGGCCTTGATAGCGCAATTGAGCTAACATCTTGCGTCAACGCGGGGTTGATAGCGTCATGCTCTAGGTCTGGGCCGTCACCAACAGGAGTATTATGAACGTTTATACAATATATGCTTATCGTATCATTTTATTACCTAGCTATAAGGATGTTTTAGTGAACAGTCGTGCATAGTATCGGACCACTAGACTTACCATAGTAGATACCAGCTACTTTCTATTCCTTATCATTGTTTATAGCCATGTAGGAGAATGAGTCAGTGAATATGAAATTCAATAAACTTAGTAAATTTATGAAATCAGCTATGTATTCTCTATCTATAGTGTAGACCACCCTACCTTTGTACTTCACTGCTGCGAATACTGCAATCACTGTGTAGCTGTTGAATTAAGTTACTGGGAAAAAGTGAATAGATAGACGGCTATATGGGTATATTCATGTCTTAGTACCAAGAAATATCGCAATACTATCAATTTGGCAACAGTGATTGGTGAGGTTGAGCGACCGTTTCGCTTTCTCACCCCTTGTTAGGGGTAAACAAATTTTGATCCCCAAACGCCCACCCTGGATCCGTACTCAACGCCTCTTCCACCTGATCCAGACGAAGATTATTGAACCCATCCGTCAAACCCGCTTCTGTACCTATCTTCAAACTCCCTGTTTCAACCATCCTCAAGAAGCATTCTATATGCTTTCTCTCATACATGAATTTCCCCGGATCTTCAATTCGCGCAGCATCATCTCTTGGTACAGAATTTTATGTAAGATCAACATATGCGCCTCCCAATAAGATATACTCTCCACCACGCTTGAACGACTTGATGCCTGCCATGGAAAACGGCGGTTCTTCCTTTAAAGAGGAAGGACTGTAGTCCACAAAGGCGTGCGCTCCTTTTCCACCAGTCGCATCTTTCAGTGCCTTCGCATCCACGTCCGTGTCGCCCGTTAGAATAACTGTTGATAGTCTCTCTTTGGCACCATGGTACCTTTCTAACAACTCGAGCTTCTCAGCGTTACGAGCTGCAGTCACAAACTTACACCCCATTGCCAATGTAACTAACACCCCAGCTCCTGAAAACTCCCCTGCTGCCGGCCCCACAATAACAGTATCACCGGCCCCGAGATTCGAGCTTACCAACCCCCCCAACTGCTAACAGATAAGATTCCACATGCGCAAAGTCACTGATATTGTATCCTAGTCCATCTTGCTATTTCCCCTTCACCCATTTCTCTTCCAACTTAAAAATACCTTCAAGCGGAACAAGCAATTTCTCGGTGAACACGTCATCTTTCCAGACGCTTTTCACGAGGGTCAGCGAGCCCGGGTCAGCGCCGCAGAGGGAGGCGCGAACGACTTCGGCGTGCGGGTTATCGCGGCTGCGGATCGTAGCATCGACCCAAACGAGGTCGCCGATTTGGAGGGTGGTAGCATCAGGGGGAAGAGAAAGGATACGTGCTACGCAGGAATAGCCTGGAATGTAGGGAGGGAAGGTTAGTTACTAGGGATATTAGAGGTAATTTGTAGAGTGGTGGTGCTAGAACGGATAACAGCGAAATTGACATGTCGTTTGGTATTGTGTGTTGAAGTTGGAAACAATAGCGGTACTGCATGCTAGTGCAAGGCGAAAGCTAGAGTCGAAGCCATACAAAATTTGTGCGATAATGAACTTACTTGCTCCTTGAAAGCACCATACAACAGCACTGGAAGTAGCGGGGGTATCATCGCGTAAAGCAGTGCAACGAGCGCTGAGCCAAGTGTAACAGGTGGGGTTCGAAATATCTTCAAGGACTAGGGGTGTGCCGAACTTCTCCAGTACCAGAGCTTTGTGGGTTGACATTGTGAATATTGATGTGTTTTAGGAATATATAGAGATTAGTTCAAGAACGAATGATGTATTACTGGGTGAAGTTTTTGACACAGGATAAGGGGCAGACAGTCTACTTACACTTGCTCTATTTATATTGTTACGCATCTTGTATTTAATCACCTTTGTCTCTTGATTTGAATCTAGAGCCCGCGGATAGACATCTGGTAACAATCCAAGGCTGAACATTAGGCTATGCCGATACATGAGTGGTGTAGTCTATAAAAGTTCCGCAAGTGGGACTTTACTTAACAAAGCCTCGGTGCTAAAACTCCGAGTTTTTAGTACAGGCTTTTTTTGAGCTTTTTATGCTAAGTACACACTAGTTCTAGCTAGTTGGGGTGAGGCTTGCTATTCTATTTCAAGAAAAATAGTCTGATACGCTATATGCCAAATAAACATAAGCAATGAAGGCCATAGTCCTTGCAGATTGAACGAAAAGAGCCATAGAATATTGTCATTGTAAGCGACCGTACAACTACACCGCTAATTGAGGCTGTCGCTATGGGGTAATGTTGTACATTCACTTCTTTCCAAGATTCATTGTATCAGGTTTTAAGTGTATACTCTTATGATATTATTGTACGATCATTTACAGCTGAGTTATATCCTCCCCAAACTGGCGCCATTGCTTTTTGACATCTATATCAATCTTTCCGGAATTTGATGCCACGAGCGTGTCCCTCCCAGCAGACTCGTCCGTATACATCACGAGATGTTCCTAGTAGTATTTAGTGTTCACTCTTGACCATACGGACTATCAATAATACTTACCTTTCCTAAAGTTAATTTGATTGAGCCTTCTAACCATCGCATCGGCTTGTAGACCTTCAGGTTATTCTTCCCCTTGATTAGAGATAGGATATTGTCAACAACAACGAAAGTCTGCATATAACCCGCTCGTGCCATCTTTGGTCCACCAGAAGCTGCCACGTCGCCAGCAGCGAAGATGTTCGGAAAACGCTCATCAGAGATCTGCAGTGTTGGTCTGACAAGAATGTGAGAAGACTCCTTTGATATTGACTCCAATGAAAGGCTGGATACAACTGAGCTGTTTGGCCGCTGACCAGTACATGGGATCTGCACTTCGTGAGTTGACTAATCGAAAGAATTTCGATACCCAATGGACGACTTACGACGAGATCAAAGGTCTCTTCTTCGCCTTTTTTTAATTTGAGGGTGTGACTTCCCTCCACAATCTGTGGCCGTTCATTGAGCCAGACCTCGACGCCCATTTCACCAAGCCTTTTCGTTACGTACTGATGTAGCCGTTCTCCAAAGCTCGGGAGCAGCCTATCTCTTGATTGTATCAACACAACACTTTTTTCTGGATGAAAGTCCTTGATATCGCTTGCAAGCTCGACACCTACTGCGCCTCCACCAACAACCGCGATTCGTGCCGCCTTCTCGATTGTACTCTGCAAACTTCTCAACTCTCGCTGCGCATCAAGACTTTCCGTTGCTGCAACTTTACTGGGAAGTGCTGATGAAGTTCCAGTGGCAACCACTAGATATTCATATTCCAGTTCCTTTCCACCCACTAGTCTGATGACGTGCTCATTCACTTTATCAACCTTTCCCTGCACAAACTCAAATATGCCTTTTGGTGCTCTCTTTTCTAGTCCTCTATATGGGATGAATGCGAGTTTCTCGTACCCCTTCATTACACTAAATCTAGGAAAGGCAAATACATAATTGAAATGTGAATTCTTCTCGATGAGAACAACGCGATATCCAGTGGGAAGCGTTTCGGTTAGGTGTTTCGCTGTAAAATATCCGGTGAAGGAACCGCCAACTACGACCACGTTCCTAGTTTGCGTTGCTGGCAGGGATTTGTAGGTGTAACGGTGGACTACAGCCTTAATCTTGCGGGTCGAGGCTGTTAGGGCGAACGAGGGCAAATGACGCAGAAGGAGAAAAAGAAGAGTAAGATAATCAGAGACCATTTTCGATGAAAACTGGCACCGGAAAGTGATGCATTAAAACTTACGCTGAATCCCTCATGAAGACGGGCCTGTGACATTCATATCCTGCTGACTCCCGGCCTTTTTATCGATAAGTCGGAGCCGAGATTCTGGAGTAACGTTCGGATCCGAACTCGCACGTGCCCCATAGTAGGTCTCAACCGATAAATCCGAAATCGTGTTAAAATTCCAGCCAAACCACCCCTTCGTGACCTATAGAAGTTCGGGAAGGTCCAGCCACGACACTAGCAAGGTTTTCCTGCTGAGCTCTACACGCAAGTAGGCATAAAAGATGCAGGCGCATAACGCGAAACCGAACATGTCCTTAGCGAGGTCTATCTCACGTGCCCAGCTAGCATTTTCCACAAAGTCTTCAATAGCCCGTCTAGATTATGCCATGATTAAGCGATCTACAGATCCCGTCCCCAAAACCACATTACAACACTCTACCAACAGTACCCCGTCCATTGATCTACCAGTAGTACCTTATCCAATAACCTACGCACAATATGTTGTCCAGCTCACATATCGACTATTATCAAAACATTGATTCCAGCCATTCGCCAGCGAGGTTGCGGGCGTTGGGTCCGTCTTACAGCCTCTGTTCTTAAAAAGCAAAACTATAAAGCTACTCATTAACTTGTTCATTTGTGGCGCTTTGGAAGCGGGACAATATACGTACCTACGCATCCCTTCTTGACCCAGAAGACCTGCATACTGTTCCCACGCAACTCCTTGCAATTACCGGTGGGGCGGTTATCAGGGACAGCGACGCTGTCATCTACTTTCGAGATGCCACATTGCTTATCATCCCAGGTGCCAATTATAGCAGCGGTGTTGTCGCGGGCAGAGATGCCAACGGAATCAGTCGGCGCAGATAGAGAAACGCTTGGTAAAGTTGCCGCGATAGCGACCATTGGCAAAATGTTGAATCGCATGGTGTCGAAAGTTGTGGAAGCGTGTTCGATGTCTTTGACGATGTTTGTGAGAATGTTGATGAAAATGTTGATGGAAATGTTGATGAGTATGATTAGTAGTGCTGTCAATAAGGAATTATTTATACATATGAGGTTACAGTAGGATTCCAGGGCCATAGAATATGACCTAGAAATAGCACTGACTGTAGAATTTAGAAAATTCAGCTGAGGCTGAAGAATGTCATGATGGTACATGAAAATAAGCTAGGCTAATTCTTGGCTTATTCAAGTAGCTGAAATTTTGCAAATCGAATGATCGTAATACACAATATTTCCCTTTTGAGTACTAGTATCGCTTGGCATCAGCTGAGCCTCATAGGATGTTTCCAGCTGACAACATGTCCGTTGCCAAGTATATTGATGAGGCTGTGTAATTAGAAAATTAATTATAATAAAAGAGATTCTTTGTTGAAGCAAGAAGTAATGTACTATCGTTTGCCCTTACAACCACAACCCCGAGTTTGCCAAGACCTCTCGGAACTTCCAGCAATCCTTCCCAATTATCGATAGACACATTGACCGACGGTATTATTGTGGAACATCCCGTAAAACTCATCGTATTGCGGCGTACAGCATCATTGCCATTCTGTAATGCAGATAGGACATTGATGTTCGCAATCCACCGGTTCATATCATAGACTTGTATGGGGGTCTCCACGAAACAAAGATCCTTCTCAACGGCTCCTCGTTCTTCAACATCGACAGGTAGCTCAAATTCGGTGGATTTTAAGTGAACTGAAGTGTTTCTAAAGTTGTTTTCTGACTTGCCATCAAATGGATTATTGCAAACGAGGCGTAGTTCGTTTAGGTGAACTCCTTTCGTTCCTGAAATTAGCACAAAAGTTAGAGACCTAACGTTTGCAGGCTTGTGAAAAAAAACTGCAAAGGTATCATCTTGCATCATGAATGGCAGATGGCGGGGTGCTTCTAGCATATGCTTTGTTTTTGGCATATTTGGACTTGATCCCGAGATCGCTTAGTGACGGTGCAAGGGTCAGATCCAGGGTGTTGAATAGAGAGCCCTTTATGTATCGAGAAGCCTCGTTGTGTTTCAAATTCTTGCGATAGTAGCTTTCCTCTGAAGATCACTTCTTTGAAAGCCTTGGCCGGGAGTACTTCGTAGGCTCATGCCCTCTTGACGACAGGTATTAGAACACCATTGACCATGAAGGATGCAAGGATATCTTCCTGTGTGAAAATGATGACCTCTCTCGGCAGCCACGTATTCATCATTCGCTATTGCGGTTAAGAAGCGTGAACAAGTTGACTCGGAATTCAAGAAATTCGACTTTAGTCATTCTAGTTACTGTCAAAACATTGCAACAATGCGAACGGTTGCTGTAAAGCCTTTTAACATTCAACAGGGACGGCTTTTATCGAATGAAACCCTCGAGCGCGATAACCGTGAGGAGACCACAAAACATCAGCCTCACGAACTCTTCTCTCGTCTCTCAGCAAGCGTATAAAATATGCTCCCATCGTAGATACGACGGATATCCTCCTTCATCATTCTGCCATCCTCGGGCCAGAGCATTATGTACGTAGCAATCCCTGTGTTTGTTAGGGTTGCAGTCTGCAAACAATAACACTTATATTGACCTACATTCAAAGAATGCACCGCCCCAACCAATTGGATCAGCAATGCACCGTTGTCCCTTGAGCACGTTGCTGACATCCCATATTGTCAAATAATCCCTTCCCTCGGCATATTTGGCAAATATGTCTTCAAACTTTTGTGGCAAAAAGCGTCCTTCACTATCGTATGTGCCGGTGTCACTGCCATGCTTGTCTTTGTGTACATTCTTAAGGAATAGACCTGAAATCATGGTACATGAAGTTAACTTGAGTCTGGTGCAGTTTGTAAATTGGACCTCTTACGAAAGAATGGATCAGGTAACCATCCAGAGCACGTCGGATAGGAGAAATTGGCGTGGATAACGAACACGGCGACGATGGATAGAATGACACCAAAACCGAGCCGGTAGAAGCCAACAAACGTATCCTGTGGCCAAAGAATTCCATCGTGGTCGCGGTCAAAGAAGTCGCAATGTTGTTGTAGAACGGTCTGATGAGAGTGCTGTTCTTTCCATCCCTTGGTGCCTTGGGGCGATTCTACCGATGGGGCGAGATTCGCACGGGCAGTGCCTGATCGTATTAGAGATGTAGTTGCGGATTATTCCATGTGAAAATACATACCTGGATGCCGAAGCCTCGAGCCTTTCGAGTCCATGAACGGTTTTCGTTGTTCGGTGATAGGTACATTGCTGATGGAGCGCACCACCCCATCAACTCCATCTGTGAGACGCTCAGAATGCCTCATGATTTCGGCCATGTTTCTAGTGTCAGGCATGGTTTTACTTGGTGAATGATAGTAAAAGTCGAAATTGAGAAACCAAGATCATATAAGAGAAGTCACAAATATAATGATGCCATCCCATGCTCATGCCTTTGCAGGTGAAAGGTGCCGTCATTTTTCTTAACCATGACGTCACGCCACCCAAAACATCGTTCAACCTAGTAACATGACTGCTGCAAGAGAAACATGCATTCTCATACTGCTTGCAGCATGGATAAGTAAAGCAAAGTGTACTGCCTGTAGCTCATACACTATCTTTAACTGTGCATCGTCGATACTATGGGTGTTATTTGAAGTGAGCAAAAGCTGTTCAGAGCTCTTGAACAATGTTGGCGGCGCGATGGCGGAATCTGGACTTTCATGACACGCGTCTCGTTTTGACACATGTGAAACTCTCCCGTACCAGCATACACCGCGCGCATCTGTCTCCACGCAGCTCACGTCATGAACCTCTAAGCGTAACTAATATCAGGTGGCAAAAAAGGCCTCTTTTGCGCTAAAATGGTTATAGCGTTAGAATTTTGGATGATTGCAAGTATACACGCAAAGCAAGAATATAGAGATAGCTCTACTAAAACTACATTCCAGTATTTAGAGTACTATAATATCCGAGAAGGCATACGCTAGAACTAAAACGCGAAAATCAAGGGACTGATTCGCGCTAGACTACTTATACCGGGTGAGGATCAACATCGAATCCGCGTTGCATTTGCGTGTTTTTGAATCAGGGTGCGTACTTACCTGGCTAAGTTGTATTGGAGTTCGAGTCTACGTAGCATTGTATAATTGGCCAAATTTACTGCTAGACAGAACAAAGTTCTCAGCCTGATCAGCAGGCTGTCCCGATTGTATAGATGGTCCTTTGTCGTGATGAGGCTGGTGGGGCAGATGAAGTGGTACTCCGGCGGTGGGGGTGGGGCGTGGTAAGTAAGTAATACTAAGTATCTAAAACATCGCTTCAGAAATGGCGACAGTTGCCAGAACGCGACGATGCAAAGCGTGATGGAGGAGAAATTGGCCAAAATAGAAGTGCGTTTGTCACATTGCACAATTATGTGTTAGGTTGAGAGCAGTGTACGAAAAGAAACTCTTGTTAGGAAGCGGCGAGGGGCTGCGCTGCCCCGCCATCGCCTGCACTTGACCTCTTCGACTTCGATGCCCTGCCCTCACAACAAGGAAACAGGTACATGACTCGAGAAAAGAAAGAGCGCTTCAATTGAAGAAACTGGAAAGATCGGCTTGCAAGCCGGGATATCGTGTGGTGGTTCGTAGTTTGGTCCCAATCACGCTCCACTTCTGCCCCCCCTCCCATTGCGACTAGTATTGGGCTACGAAATGACTATATACGCAAGCTCAACCCGCACAGTGGCCTAATATGAGAATTGTCACGATAGTAAATCATAAAATTCCCCTTTCGACATGCTGCAACTTGCTCCAACCTCAGCGGCCATGTTAGCTGTTGTCGCCGGTTTTGTACTAAGTACCCAAATGCGTCATTGGCTCTCCGCGATACCACGCGACACTGACCAGGATTCTGAATAGCATTGCATTCTTAGAGCCTTCTACAACCTTTACCTACACCCCTTAAGAGCGTTCCCAGGCCCTTGGTCGACCAGAGCCGGCGTCCTATGGCATTCCTGTCATAGTCTCCGCGGAGATCCCCAGTACGCTTTACACCAGATGCATCTAAAGTACGGCCCAACTATTCGAATTGCACCAGACAAACTCATTTTTGTCGATGCCAAAGCATTGAAAGACATATATGGTCATCGCAATGGAACTCCAGAATACATCAAGGATCCATCTCTGACCTTCATTGCCGACGCTGGCCCAAGCCTCTTTTCCGTTCCCAAGGACGATCACTCGAAGCTAAGACGACTATTGTCGCACCGCTTTTCGGATAGAGCACTGCGAGAGCAGGAATCCGTCATTTCTGGTTACGCCAATCTTCTGGCCAGGTCTGCCACAATCCAGCCTGGCAACCTCAGCTAACCCCGTGATTGTAGTCTTGCCTTGATTGAAATGCAACTCTTCTTAGTCTTGGTCGTGTTTGAGTTTGACATAGAGGTCTTGCCGGAGTCGAGGGACTGGATGCATCAAAAACTCTTCACAACTTGGGCTAGGCTGCCGCTCATAATCCGTATGACACCAGTTGCGCGCTAGTCCGCCGTGATCCCCCCACCTCCTTTTTTTTGGAAAGAAGTATGGTACAATGCAATTTCTACCCCAGAATATGAGGACTCTAGACTCATTTTCTACCAACTAGATGTATTCAAACCCTAAAAACATCGTTGCCAAAATGTCAATTCGCAACCGCATCCACTCTTCACTTGTTATCTCTGGCAAATATTGTCTTGACAAGTTTAGGTGGATTCTCTCGTGAGATTTACAAAGAGTCGCACTTTTTGCTATCATTAACGGTGTTGAATACTTAAGTATGTGTATATGTGGTAGTACGGATCTAACCTTGCATGAATTTGACCTTTGACGAGGCCCTTATAATACACAGATAGCGGATAAAAATAAAGTAAAACCACGAGGAACCACCTCGCCGGGTGCATTATGGGTAGTTTTCGGATTTTGATTATGGCTCTTTCGGTCCCATCGCTAAGTGTAAGTGCCAGGCCTCCGTCGGGCCCCGACGTCGCTACAATCGACTCTATCCAACTATCGAAAGTATGTACACACGCAATGTTGATATGTATAAGATGGGTTGTTGAAGTTGTCTGCTTATGGTACTATTCCGCAAGACGGACGGCAAGACTAAACTATAGATACTGCGATGATAAAGAACGGGCTTCGCGAAACCATAATGACAAAGGAGCATCATCCGACAACAGACCATGATGCACCGCCACCCGCCAGCCTCCGGCGCATTACGCCGTTCATGTGGCGCTTCATGGCAGCCATCTGCGCCATTGCCTGGATCGCCAACTTCGACTATGGCTTCTCTGGAATCGTGCTTGCAATGCCATCGTTTAACCAAGCATTCGGCTCTGTTTGCACAAGGCAGCTCGATGCTGTTAGCGGCGTGGCAACGGAAGTGTGCAGACTGAGTTCACTACAACAGTCGCTGCTCAGCGTGAGCGCCCTCTTCCAGGCCCTTGGCGCCGCGCTTTCGGGCGTCACAGGCACGTTTGTCGGGCGGCGCGGTACGGTGATGATAGGCGCTGCACTGGTGGCGGTAGGCGCCGCGGGGATGCTTGGTACGTCCCAGAGCTACCTCAACTACATGGTGTGCAAGTGCATCAATGCGGCTGGTACTGGTCAGCTCTTCGTCGTGGGCATCACATACGGCACTGAGAGCGCGCCGCCAGATCAGCGCGGGCTCTTGATGGGCATCTACAACGTCGCTCTGACGGTGGGCAATGCGATCGCTGCCGGAGTCTGCGCCGGTTCAGCAAAGCTGAGTCCAACCAACGACTGGCAGTGGAGAGTCCCAATCGCCTGCCAGATCCCTCTCAGCGTACTCCTGGTGGCGACATTCATGTTCTTCCCTGACTCGCCGCGCTGGCTCATTGTTCGACGCAAAGACGATGATGCTAGAGTGGCTCTCGCCAAGTTCTTTGATCTCGACCAGCACTCAGAAGCCGTCACTGCGCAGATGGACATTATTGCAGCAGCCATCGAAGCAGAAACCCACACTAAATCTTCATCGGCTTGGATCAGCATCTACCGTCCACCTAACCTGCGTCGAACCCTAGTGTCTGCATTCATGCTCGTTACACTGCAGATTACCGGTATCCAGTTCGTGGCTCCATACACAGCATTATTCCTCTCGTCTCTGGGTGTGGCGAGTCCATTCACAACGCATGCGATTGTGTCCGTCTGCATCTTCGCAGGTTCATTGGTCAGCCCTTGGGTCCTCGACAACGTGGGCCGCCGCCTCTCACTGCTGTATGGGTACGCTATTGCTGCTTGCTCAATGCTTATCTTCTCGGCGGTGGGATCTACACTCGGCACCGGCAGTACTATCACGCAACGGGTGCTGGTTGCGTTCCTTTGCATTTGGGCTTTCGTCTTTGGAGGAGCAATCAGCGCTAGTTCGTGGTTGACGTCAGCAGAGGTGCATGCGGTGCATCTGCGGACCCAAGGACAAGCGAACACGCAAGCCTTTGCCTCGGTTTTCTCGTTCGCGGCACAGTTCTGGACGCCTTACATGATCGCAGCCATCGGGACGAGCGTGGGGTACTTTTACGCTGGGGTGACCATTGTTACCCTGACTATTGCCATCTTCCTTGTCCCAGAAACAGCCCGGCTGACGCTTGAGCAAATCGACACACTCTTCAACTCTGGGACACCGGCATGGAGGACCACGATGGCGAGGAACAAGCAGATGAACCTGGTGCATGGGACAGAGCAGACGGTCGTACCAGCACGCGGATGAGCCGGGGCCGTGGACGAGTGGCATTACTTACAGCACGAACACATGCAGGGCAGGACAGATTCGTACGAGAGTACATACATACCTTCTAGACTTTGAATAGTACCAACGCCGCTAGTAGGGGCCAGGGTGAATGTGGGGCTAACCATCTAAAGTTCGCGCCCCTCACTTTTCCAACGTCAAACATTCCCAGTATTTTTTTTTTGCTTTCCATAAATACCTCTACACCTACACCGTAGCATTTGTTGATTGTTAGACAAAGTAGTTGCACAGCCCTTTTCCTACAAGTTGTTTCAATCTTAGACATGTTGGACATGCTACAAAAAGAAACCCCCGAATATTAATTCTTCCGACTTCACTTCCCTAGCCGTGTCCGTGGAGGCCTGATACGTGATTTCCTATGCATCTTGCGCGGAGGCCGATATAGGCAAAGCCTCAATCGACACTTAATCTAATACCTGGTAGCTGACGAAGCTCAGTACACCTACCCTGGCCCCTGATAGCAGTGGCGGGGTCGCGCGCATGCGGTAGATATGTCTTGGTGTAAGACTCTACAAGCATTGGTGTGCTTGACATAGAGCATCTTTTTGATAGTGACCAGAGATGCTAAGCTCCTATAGGCTTCTCATGGCATGCTTCCCCTATTTCCTATAATAAGTATAGACCAGCAGTATCCCAGTGCATGCGTGTGCATCTTGATGCGCTTTCGAGCAGTACACTAATGCGAACTGTATCAGTGCATTCAACTGTAAGCCATGTAGGATTCTCCAAGCTCCAGCTCGCCCGCAGCCAAGACGGAGGAATCCGGGGGCGGGCTGCAGCTTACTTCCATAATCCTCTCAGCCCTCGGGGCCACCCACTATGTGCTGAGGTTTATTCTACATCGATGATTCAGAGGATGCGGTTGAGGAAGCATCAGTCGCTTACGAATGCTGCTACATCGGCGTCGGCTTTGACGTTTCCGGATTCGAAACACACTGGCTGGGCTTACTTGAATTGGCTTAAGAAGGAATTCGTTACGATGAGCACTGTCCTTTCATAGTATTTTATAGCTTGAGTAGTACCCTAGGTCTTCTCCTATGTTAAGGCAGAACCCTTTATACACCCATAGAAGCATCTCTAGAACATCCACCTCCGCTTTCGTAGTTTAGCAATAACGCAATTATCTTAACATGGTATCGAATAGGCACTTTAAAAGCCCAGCTAGTGCTGCTGCAGAGGCATTCTTCAGCTCGTTCTCCACCACGTTCTCCAGCTAGTCTAGCTGGTCTGGCTAGCTGAGTTTTGAGCTCATTTTTGGGGAGATTTCTTCTGGCTCGTATTCTTGCTCGTTTTTGGCTTGTTTATAGCTCGTTGTTTGGCCAATTTTCTGGCTGGTTTTCTGGGGAACCTTGTGTTCGTTACGTGACTAGGCGCTTTCCGCATACACGAATTGGCAATGCCTTGATACGCCAATTGCGTAGCGTAGAGCTTCTTAGAGCCAATCAGGTTGCGCTTCTTCGTGCACGAAAAACCTCTCGGGGACCGATCATAATAAGCAGCCAAAGCTGCAACAACTCCTCACAAGGGCGCCCAGTTACCCATTAGCAGTAGTAGCGACCAGATTTTATCCACATCTCATCGTTCCAAAGTATAGATCACTACTACTCAATCGTCCAATTAATTTATAAAAGCCTCGATTTCGTCAATTTCCTCTACTACTAATTGAACTAGGCGCCCACGGCGACGGTGGAGGGTAAAAGAATTATTACAGGAGTATCAAGCCTGTCAGTATGTGATTTGAAGGAGCTGCGTAATCTCATCAAGGATATATCTAGCATAGTAGAGTGTTGATCATGCGACAGGTGAACACAGCGATAAGACGTTCCAGGCGTTCCAGGCGCTGCAGAAGGTGTAGGAGGCAAGGTGATTATTGGAGGACAAGAAAGAAGAGGAACCAAGATCAGAGTAGTACACAGTAAGTATATAAAGCGCATAGAGATCCGTGTGCGTTTCTGGCGCCTACACTAGTAGGCTTAGCACAGCCTCAACACCAAGAAGAGGCGTAGTTTGGCGGGATTGCACGTATCACAGCATCTTCAAAAGCTATTCAAAAGTGAGTAAACTAGTTTAGGTTTAGCTAACTAGCTGTCTTCTACAGGGTCTTATAAGTTACAACTAAAACTCTATAACCTATCAGTTTACGTTACTTCCGCCGAATCGCTTATATAATCATCTTTTGCCTCAGGAGCTGACCCCCTGTTGACAAAACTTACCCTGAAGGGGTCTCAGCCCTCAGGACCACTTACCACGCGTTGAGGCTGGTTGGGCTTACTCGCATTAGCTTCGCAACGAAACTGTTACGGGGATCATTCGGTGAGGAGGGCCTAAAGACAGTGTTTGTCCGGCGAGGAGGGCCTAAAAACAGTGTTTCTCCGGCGACGTTGTTCTAACCCCGGCTAAAGTGCAGTGTCTAACCAAGTGGCAAAGATAGAGAGAAGCGTAGCTTGAGATCATAAAGCTGCAGGGAAGTCTGCATGGGTTCTTTTTATCGCCTGTTGTACACCAGTGCTTTCATTTCATTGATATTGTACCCCACAGTATTGTTGTCAACCCCGTTGTACATAATGTCGAACCAGGCACAACCACGCGCGCAGCTGCGAAGTACCTGCAATGCATGCGCCGATGCAAAAATTGGATGTACCAAAGAGAAGCCGTCATGTGCTCGCTGCGTGCGACGAGAAGAGACCTGTGTCTATGCTGTTATTCGCCGAGCGGGACGTCCTGCTGTGAAGAAGACCAAAGTGACGACCGATGGCCCCACCACGACACAGCAGTTTGTATCTGCCACCGATAGTGGTATGCAAATGTCCAATCCAATCTCTGCTACCTCGGGAGCACAAGAGCTCCTCACAATGGCGCAAGCGCCTGATGCTGTGATGATCGACCAACCTTCGTCATCCACCTCGCCACAGCTGTCCAGTGACATATTCAATGCTTCCACTCCAGACTTCGCGGACTTCAGCGGGCAGGCATGGTCTGGCAATTCGGTGCTGCAAACGGTACCGGAAACCATAGGCGACGACTTCGACTTCCTAGCGTCTCTTACCTTGCCGCCTGACTTCGATCCTAATCCCGATTCGGTGCTCAACCACAACGACTTCGAATTTTCGTTCACGCCTTCCAGCACCGACATCCCAGACCGACAAGTTCTATTTCCGATTGAGGTATCCACGGTGCCCATAGGAGCCGGGCAAATTTCAGAACAGGCCAACCTTCGGCAGATCCCGACCACAACAAAAGCAAAGTTGGGATTGGTGGATTGGTTCTCAACGAGCAACAGCAGCACAACCAGCGGCTCTCCCCGGTCGATCCCTACTCCGCCCGCACGCAGAGATTCGGTGTTGGGCCAGGTTGCTCCGAGCTCGCCGTCAAATTGTGGTTGCAGTGCGAAGGCGCATGCAGTCTTGCGTGAGCTGGTCATGGACAAACAGAAAGGCGAGACGCATACTCTACGCCAGCTGGAGTATGTGCTGTCGCAGAACCAGACAGCGATGGAGACGACTAATGCTGTGCTCGCCTGCCCTTGTGCCAAAGACATCTCGTCACTATTCACGCTGGCGCTGGTCGTGTTCAAGACGCTTGGCTGGTACGCAGCAGCGGCATCAGCATGCCACGCAAACGTCACCAGCCTACAGCCAGACGAGCTGGCAAATCAGGCATCGTTAACCGTACGGCTCTCGGCGGACGGCCTGCCCGGCTACGAGCTGGACGGTGAGGATGGGAACCACATTGTGCGGCAGCTGGTATTGTCGCGCCTGCACCAGGTGCAACGGGTGGTGAAGGTCTTGTCGCAGCAGCTGCATTCGATAGCGGAGAGGGAGCAGCGGTCACGGGCGACTAGCAGCGGCAATGGCATCGATGCCACGGTGAGGGACCTGCTGTTCGACGACAACCCGTTCGACCAGACCATGTCGCAGAGGCTGGCGCAAGTGTTGGAGGCCAGTATGCGCGCTCGATTGCGCGATCTGTCTCAGGCGTTATTGACTGCACTGCGAGACGGTGCACCCTGATGACTTGCATGTATGTATGGGGGTCAGAACTTAGGATGCGGTCAGAATTCAGGACGGAGCTCGGCTCACCCTACGTGCCAAAAGCAAAAGTGTGGCTGACAACGGCTGCTAACGCCGGCCCGCCGGGACGCTCCGCAGGTTACCTGAGCTTTCGAGCGGTGAGATCAAGATGAAAACTCCAAGTATACAGTAGAGGTGAGATTATGTCACGAAACTCTCTGAACTTGAGGCCAAGCCTCGGAGATGCTTTGGACACCCCTCGGGCCAGCGAAGCCACAGTCACGTGCATAGAGTATATAGTCTCATCCGAACCTTAGGTTACTCCTATAGACATAGATGCGTAAGAATATATCCAAATATAGACAACAAGTATATATAATTATACTTGATTGCAGTTATCTTAATCATCTTATAAGATTTGACTAATACTCCCAATGCGTTTGTAGGATATGCTGATTTACATCTTAGCTCGTGGGTAAGCTGAACTACGCCAAGCGGAGCCGAGGAGTGGGCCGCACTTTTGGCCGAGCTGTAGTGGTCACTTCCTTTCCCAAGCTCTTCACTCCACACATGCATTCACACCTCACACACAGACATCAGTGCTAAGGGACAAAGCTGCCAGCAGGTGCAATACGAGGCTACTTTTGCATAGTTGACAGTTTCAACAGTGGGCTTGACTATGTGACTGGTGAGCGCAGTATTATCATCTGATTGCTATAAGACATCTAGCTAAGCACCTTCTTTTCGATACCGCCTACACGTATTGCTTCGAGCATGGACTAACCCCCTCCTTCCCACTGGGGGCGGCTTCAATCTCTCTTCTCCATCCTGTCCTCGTGTGCCCAGCGAGAGCTGCTGGACTTGACGCAAATTCCTATTATGTCCCTGCTGACTTCTCCTCTACCTCCAGCTTCGGGGTCTCGGTCTCAGGCATTCTTACGAAAGGCACTAGCAGCGCGGCAAAGATGGTGGCGGCCGACACGGCGATGCAGAAGGCGAACACATCCTTGATGCCAACCATGTACGCACTGCGCACCTGGTCCAGTTGCGAGCCGCTGTAGAGGGTTTGCAGCTCTCCCGCACCGGAGCTCAGGACCCTGCCAATGTCAATGTCTTTGGCATTCTTAATCAAAGTCTGCACCATCAAATTTGCAAAGATTGACTGTGCTGCTACGACAAAGTACGCGCCAGTTGCTGTCTGGAATGCTGCAATGTGTGTTAGCATATGGCTACAAACATGGATGCATTGCCCGAGTACTCACTGAAAATGATGCCGGTTGTTGCTGCGACGTCTTCCGCTGAAGCGAATGCCTGCAGCACGGTGACTGGAACCTGGTTGCCGAGCCCAATGCCGAGACCGAATGGCACTTGCGCTCCGATGTACCATGCCTTGGAGGTGTTGACATCCATGGCCCATAGTAGAGCCGCGCCAAGAGTCGTGAGAAGGCCACTGGTGATGGTGAAAGGGTGGATCATGCGGGTTTTGCCCATCATACCACCGCTCATCATCGCTCCTAGCGCATAGAATGCCATGAACGGCAATGTGTACACACCGCTGGTGATGGCCGATGTGCCCTTCACAGCCTGGAAGTAGATTGGAAGGTAGAAGAGAACCAAGAAGTTCGCTCCTGGGTTCAGCCAGCCGTAGATGCAGTTGGCCCAGGTCATGCGCGGCTTCAAGAGACGCAACGGCACACCCGCATACTCTCCCTGGAGCCACTCAACACCTACGAAGCCGATGGTGAGCACGACGAAGAGGACGAGCGTGGCAATGACTGAGCCATCTGACCATGGCTTGGTCAGACCTCCCCATTCCAGTGCCAATGTGAAGCAGATGAGCGAGGTCAGCAAGAAGCTGAAACCGGGAATGTCCATGTGAAGGATGACCTGTTTCCACGTTGCCGGAGCCAACTTTACATGCTTCGGAATGTGTAAAAAGAGGATTTGCAGCAAGATTGCGACACCTCCGACGGGCAGATTGATCCAGAAGCACCAGCGCCAGGTAACCTCTGAAGTGAAGACGCCTCCTAGTACTGGACCGAGGATTGTGGCTGACATGACTGTTTCACATCAGCGCATTGCTCTTGAAAGTGGCAGAAGCCTGAGCTTTTGGGCTAGTTCTTACAAACGCCAATCCATATACCAATCAATCCGGGACGACTACTCGGAGCAGCCGTAAAGTTGATGATAAGGACGGATCCGCTGAGACAGCCTGAAGATCCACATGATCAGTCATCAGGCCCGCTGAAGCCTTGATCGGGTATCCCACTTACCTGAGCAACCAAGACCTTGGAGAGCTCTTCCCACAATCAATGCGATGCCGTTGGGCGCTGCTGCAGCAACGATACTGCCCACAAGGTAGATGCCAAGCGCCGCCATAAACACGTATCGTGCAGACAGGTACTTGTACAGCTTGCCCCATAAAGCACTACTACTGCCAACAAGGAGGAAGCATGCGCCGCTGTACCAGCCGATGTACTCCAAACCATTGAAGTCCCTCGTGATTGCCGGAATGGCTGTGGCTACAATGCCCTGGAGTCGTGTGTCAGCACACTGCATGTCTTCAAGATGCATGCATGATACCTACCAGATCCAAGGAAGCGATGAGCGTGCTCAAGTTGATGGTGGCCATGACGGCAGCAAGGCGCCATCCAGTGTAGTATACCGCGGCCTCGTCGTCGCCATCAGCTACCTTTGCCGCCGCCACATGCTTTGCGTCGAGCATACCATCCGTCGTCTTTCTCTCGCTGCTATCTCTCGACTCGGCATATCGGGCGTCAGCACTGGATGTAGAATCTGCGGCCATGTTGACTACAGAAGGAGGCTGGGTAGGATTGGGACGGATTGGGGTTGCTTTGAATAGAGCAAGAGCAAAGGAAAGCGTGAGAAAGGCAGTCTTGTATCCTCATGTTTTCTTTCAAACATTATACAGAGCACCCGGCATCCGGCGGTGGAATTGCGACTCTCGGCGGAGCTTTCAAACATTATACAGAGTGACTCTCGGCAGAGCCAGGCCATAGCCTTTGTTTGCTTCCGCCGGCACCCACAAGCAGGCCGGCGGAAGGCAGAGCAATGGCGAAATTCATTGTTCCGGGCTGAAAAGCACGCCAAGCTCAGCGTGCAGGAGGCGGGAGGCAGGCGCCGGTGTACTTACAGGATGGTGTGCTCGTATCCATTATCGTCCCGCAGGATCGACGCACATGGTAGACTGTCACATCATTACTTACAGTAGTCTACAGGCGGTAAGGCGCGCCGTTGCGGGTAATCTGACCTGCATCAAGCATCCCATTTCCCATGATCGCTCAGTAAGTAAGTATGCAGTCAGCTACGAATCGGTCGCTCGGAGCAATTCCGCCCCGGCGGCCGACCGGCGGTCGAATGACTTCGGCGGTCGAAGCAAGCGCTTACCTTTCATTGTTCATGGTAGTAGTATAGTACAGTCAGTGTACATACACAAAGTTGCATCGCGAGACGACGTAGCACGTCGTAACACCGTCACCACTGCCGCTCCCACCACAATGGCCTCGGTTTCCACCGACGATGTGGACGGGCCCGGTAATCCCAAGCGGCGGAAGCTGCGCAAAGGCACTCACAGCTGCTGGGCGTGCAAGCGGCGGAAGGAGAAGTGCGTCCCATGCGCAGACGATTCAACCATCTGTCTTGGCTGTAGGAAGCGTAACACTGCTTGCATCGCCCAAGACCAGCCTGAGGAGACTACGGATCACTTCTTGCCCGCTACTATCACCACGGGCATCGCTGCTGCGAACCCAGGGACCGCGCCCGCGACAGACGTCACCGCTCCACCTCCCCTGCGTGCTCCCTTGGCCTCATATAGCCATCTGTCTTGCCGCATTCCATCCATGGCAGAAATATCAAAAACCCTCCATGATGCACTGCCCTCGCCAGAAGAATGCGACATCATATATCGAGCAAGCAGTCGACACTCAGCTATGCTCAATGGCTCTACGCTTACTATGCCCTACACTTGGCTGGATCCCAACGATCCCAATGGCCCCACATCGTCCGGCTCATTGCCGGCACCAGCTAGCGTAGATTCCCACCCAGTCCTCCTAGCCAGGCACATACTGAACATAGTCACGCTTCTTCAAGACCTGCACCCGAATATACACCATGAGCTAGCTGGCCTTCATGAGCCTCCGAGGGTAATGGCAGAGCGTCTTGCAGAGCTTGCGATTCGCCTCGTCACCTCTCAGGACCGAATGCTGGCCAGCGTAGAAGGCTTAGAATGCGTTGTAATGGAGAGCATCTACCATGGAAATTGTGGCAGTCTGCGCCTTAGTTGGATGGCTTGCCGCCGAGCAATGCTCCTCGCGCAGCTCCTTGGCCTGCATGTGCATACGCCGGCTACTCCCAAGCAGTATCCAATCCTGGACCACGCGACCCGCTGTGATCCGCAGTACATGTGGTTCCGCATCGTCCATTACGATCGCTATATGTGCCTTCTCCTTGGTCTACCTCAGGGCTCTACAGATGTCAGCATGGCTAGCGAAGCACTACTCGCCACTGATACCGCCATGGGCGGCCTCGAAAGAGTGCAATGCGTCATTGCTTCACGCATACTGCAGCGCAACGAATCCGATCCGACAAGCGTCGACTTCAGTGTAACTCAAAGCCTGGATAAAGATCTGCAGCGTGCTGCGCAGACTCTCCCCAGCAAATGGTGGCTGGTCCCGGATCTTGGAAACCCAATGCAGACCAAACAGGAAGTCTGCTGGGACGTACAGCGGCTGTATGTGCAGATTTTCCACTTCAATCTCCTCAACCAGCTTCACGTACCTTACATGTTGCTATCCTCTACTGATCGGCGGTTCGTATACTCCAAGTTCGCCTGCGTCAATTCTTCGCGGGAGATCCTTTCTCGCTTCGCTGTGTTACGCAGATCAAACCAAGTCGCCTACAACTGCCGCACAGTCGACTACTTAGCCGTCATGGCTGCAGTGACGCTGCTTCTGGCCCATCTCGACAGCTATCGCCACCCTTCGCAGGTTGACATCATGACGCACCTGTACCTAGGCGACCGGGCCATGATAGAGCAGGCACAGGAGAATTTACAGGAGGTCAGTCGGCTCAACGAAGATTCGCTCAGTCGACAAAGCGCGGAACTCCTGCGGCGACTACTCGCTATCGAAGCGGAAGCCGCTGATGGCTACGATGCCCCGGCGCATCATGTTGTGGTGCAGCAAGTTCCGCACAACACACCACTAGTGGAGAAGGCCGAAGAAGACGCTTCGCAGATGCACATTCCTTATTTTGGTTTGATCAAATTCGCGCTGGAAGGCATAGCCGCTCGGGCAACAAGCTATCCGAATCGTTCAATCGGACATAGCGACATGCAGTCGCAGGCGCCAATTTCACACTCTGCCGCGCGTCTCAACATGTCATACGCCTCCGCCAGCAGCTCTCAGCGGGGACTCGACGATTCAGGGACTACACTCGACACGCAAACTAGTGACGAGCGCGAAAGCCTAATGCTGGCAACGCCATACTACTCTACTGGAATAGTGAGTCCCGCTGTAATGGTGAGTCAACAATCAGGTCACGCAAGTGTGCATGAGGATGTGTGGAATCCAAAATTCTCAGAGGGTGGCTTCTTTGATGCTTTGTTGCCTGGTCTCACAGGAAATGGCGAATGGTCCTTGGAAGGGATTGATATGGATTACTTCGAACGGCTGATGGCTGGCTCTACGTAGAGGGAGTACCCTTAGGCGTGAATCTCTTCTAACAGCATCAAGCGATGACATATATCAATGGCAGTAGTGAGTCTGACAACGAGTATCAAGGATTCAAAAATATCACAAAACCCGCCTACGACTTCTCTATCTACCCTATATCACTCTCTCCCAGGCGCTTTAAAGTTCGTGTGTCGAGTGGCTGCTTGACGCTTCACGGCAAACTCCGCTTCCTCGAACAGCAGTCTTGCGTCTTTCACTTGTTGTTCCATGTCGGCATCCCATATCCAATGCATCTTGTCCTTGAGCGCTTCGAACATTGGTGCAGCTTCCATCGTGATCCCTGGCTCGTTGCCAGACAACAGGCGACCCACCTCCGAACTCGTCACGACGACCTTCTGGCTGCGGAATCGGCGCGTCGTATCGCAAGCCTGCAGCACCGCACGTACTGTCTCTTGCTTTGTGAATGGCGATTCACTCTGCCGGGCTGGGTCGAAGCAATGTCCCAACAAACGGTGCATCACCAACGCATCTTCAATAGCTTGACCGGCTCCGGCACCCAGGAAGGGCGCCGTGGCGTGTGCAGCATCGCCCATGATGTATACACGGCCTTTGTGGAAAGTAGGCGCCAGCGGCATTTCCCAGATCGACCAGCCGAGAGTGCTGCCATCATTTGGCACCAGGGCAACCTGCTTCTTCACGAAGTCTGCGTAATCCGCGAAGCGACCGTTGAGGTCATCAGTGTCCACCGGTACATTCCACTTGTCCTGCTTCACCGGGCTGTTGTGGAAAGTGGTCACCCCGATATAGTAGAGCGTATTATTCGCCAGAGGGAAGCCATATACCACGCCGTCCTTGCCGCAGGTTATGCTGAATTTTTGTGTCACGTCCTCCAGGGCTTCCTTCGCTACGGCGATCGGCACTGTGCAGCGATAGATGATGCCGCCTGTGAAGAAGGCATCGGAAGCAGGATTGTCGGTGCCGAGTACGTGCTTGCGAACCACGGAGTGAATTCCATCGGCCCCAATCACCACGTCTGCTTCTGCTTGGGTTCCATCTTTGAAATGAAGCTGGACAGGACCTTCATCACCGCTCTCCTGAATGCCTACGAGGCGCTTCCCCACATGCGTCCGTTCTGGCTCAGCTAGCTTGATGAGCTCATTAAGGAAGTGTGCGCGATGAATGGTCGATCCCCTCACACTGTGCCTGTACTCGAGTACCTTTTCACCGACATCCGGTTCTTGTCCTTTGGTGACAGCCATCCACAGATACTGGCCGTTTTCATCCGGAGGGCCCTCGTTGTAAGCTGCTCGTCGCTCAAAGCCATGCAAGATGCGTGGATCGATCATCTCCATTGCCCGTTGCGCATTCGGGCCCTGGATTGCTCCCGCACCGAGTTCTGACCATGTTTCGGCGGATTCGTAGAGCTGCGGGTTGAGATGAGGGTACTTTTGGAGTCCTATGAGGAGCGCAAAGCCTGCGAAGCCACCACCGACAATTGCAACGTTCAGAGGCTCCGTGGTAAGATCCAGCTTGTCAAGCTTCCGCTGCACGGTTTCTGCCATTGCGGTTGGGATAAATGAGATGTGATGTTTGAATTGAGGGAACTAGTTTGTGAATGATGGCACTGTATGCGGACGCTAGATCAAATCCCGTCAGTCATTGCGCGTGGCTGTCGATTGAGTTTTGCTGGCTAAGCACTGCTTGGATCGCGTAGCGTACAACGAGTAGTCGCGATTTACCGACCGTCTTACGCTTGATATCGCCACGTTGTGCTCCAAGAGTCTCCGCCATAGCTTTCGGTAGGAATGTCGGAGGCCGCTCGGCAGCCGTACCGGTATATTCAGCGCGACCGGAGTCGAGCACCATAAACGACCCGGAAGACACCTCTAACTAAAAGCCACAATGTATGCCCCAATGCTATGTTTGGCTAAAGGCTACATCGACCTACACTCCGCACCTTCGACGCCGACCATGCCTCCACTGTCATTCAAGCGACTATACTCGTACTTCCTCACCGCCATCACGATGGCGATGGGAACGGCGCTACTCTACTCCGGCGTAGTGGGCACATTTATCGATACACTGGGCTGTAGTCCACCACCTGTCCTACGTCTCCACATACAAGCCTGCTAACCACCGTATGTAGGGGCCAAAGGCTTCGGCATGCCAACAGCAACAGAGGAAACAGCCGTGCTTTTTGCGTCCGCAACGGGTCGGAATCTTGGCGCTGGGTTTTTCGTTTGGACACAGATTCTACGGGGTGATAAGAGGATGCTGGGGATGTTCATGATATGCTGGGCGTGGGCGGGAGTAGCGGATTGCATGATCCTTTGGCGACATCCCGATGGGCAAAATGTGACCAAGCACATGGTGAACACCGTGCTGGCGCCTACATTCGGTATTCTTTTGATCAGATCATAGACAATGGTATTTGTACGACGTGCCTGCAATCTGCTTAGATCTTGGCGACTTTGTAAGGCTGAAGCTAGCAGCGACATCGCTTTGACAATCATATTGGATGCTGCTAGAAACACCCGAGCCGCCATCGCCGCCGCCGGAATTTCAGAGTAAACAACTGAAGCTATATGTTAGGAGTGTGAGCCCAAGCTGCCTTGTTTGGGGTATTGGTGTAGGCACCGAAGGCGCCCCCTCTGGTACCCACAATCCACGTAACATGCTTAGTAGCAAAGGAGAATATATCTCTCTAAATACCTACACGTAGGTTGTCACTTGCGCATGGACAGAAGATACTATCTTCACACCTCCCTTTACACGCTGCACAAAGCAGATAAAAAATAAAAATAAAAAAGTAAAAGAATGTACTAGGGGTATTAACGTATCTTTTTGTGCCCACGGCTAGGTATGTAACGGTGTATGTGCGGAACTATGTAGTATTTCACAATTATATATAGTTAAGAGTGATCATAATTGGTTTTTGTCCGCCAAGTCGCTTAGTATAGTGCACCCTACATAATCCCAATGGCCGACTACGCCGCTCCCCCATCAATGCCCATGACTTTACCATTGATCCACTCGGCTTCGTCCGAGGCCAAGAAGCAAACCACACGCGCGATATCCACAGGCAGCCCACAGCGGTTAAGAGGCGAGACGCTTGCCACGATCTGTTCGGCCGATTAGCATGTCTGCTTTCTTGTGAGAAACTCCGGGCTCGACCCTACCTTCAGTATCTGCTCCTCACTAAGATCCTGCGAGTTGGGAATATAGTCCTTGGCTGTCTCAAACAGCATATCGGTAAGAATGCCACCGGGCGCCACAGCATTGATGGTTATTCTCTTTGCGCCGCAGTCTTTAGCCAGACACCTGACGAAGGCATTGATGGCTGCTTTGGAGGCCGAGTAAAGCGAGTGTTTTGGGACGGTGAAGGAATCGGCTGTGTTGGAGCTCATGAGAATGATGCGGCCTCCAGCTCCAAGGTGCTTGTATGCTTCGCGAGCGACGAAGAATTGGCCGCGGGTATTGGTGGAAAATACGCGGTCGAACTCGGCCTGAATACAGCTGTCAGCGGGTGTGGCCATGGCAATGATGCAGAGCCGGAAAATAGGGACATGAATACCTCGTCAACGTCTTCCAGGTGCCCGAAGGACACAACGCCAGCATTCGAGCACACAATGTCCAGACGCCCAAAAGCAGATTTCGCTTCGTCGAGAAGACGGACAATTTCCGGTACCTTGCTTACATCAGCTTGTATGGCGACGGCGTCGGAACCCAGATTTTTGATGTCTTGGACCACTTTTGCGGCTGACGCAGCGGACTTTGCGTAGTTGACAATGATCTTGGCGCCGCAGGTAGCGAGCTGGAGAGCCATTGCGGCGCCGATGCCGCGGCCAGAGCCGGTGACAAGGGCTACTTTGCCATCGAGACGGTAGGGCAGGTGAGGACTGTGAGCGCCGTTGGTGCCGTTGGTAGCCATGTCGTAGGAGAGAAGAAACTCGGTGGATGAGTGCTGGAAGTAGGAATGTAGAGGGTTTCCCGATAGATGCTACAGGTATGAGAGACAAGTACGAGATTAGACGCACTCTTTGACTTTTGTGTAGGTATCGTGAGAGTGGCTCCATCGGTACCGGGTGTTGGCAAGATCAGGTCGGGACGCGAGTGGATGGGCCCGAGAGCCGACGAAGAACAATTGTAATCCGTCGGGTGGATGGCCAGGTCGTGAGAGGGTCTCGTTACAACGTCACTGTATCGGCAAGATCTTTTCAAGATGGTTTCTGACGGTTGAAAGAGCAGCATTCCCTCGACTAACTAGCACTTGCATATTTGTACTACCTCATTTTAGGACTGCCGAGTTCTTCTGAGGCTTATGATGACTATCTGGCGGTATACCGTTTCCCCAAGCTGGGCAGGCCATGGTCACTAATACACAATATCCAATTCTACAAGCCACCAATACCGATCACCGCACCAGCCAGTGGGAACAGAGACCGTAAAAGATGTAGTCTGCTCCAATGTACCACCAGTTCCCGTGCGTCACTGAAGCTACCCCCCACGGCCTCCGATTCTGCATGCAGCCCAAACAGCGTATTATTCGTGCTCGTCATGAAGACCCATGTAAATGGCACCATAGTCACCGTGACGAGCGCGGCCAGCACATATCTTCGCCATTGCCTGTTGGCAGACTTGTGCTTCTGCGCCACGATCCCATATAAGAGACATGTCGTTATAGACATTGCGGGCAAACCCAGATGACCGTAGTGATAGGTCCGCGCCCAGCTGCTGTAAAGCTGTGCAGGGGTCCCAAGCGTGTCGAGATATACCGGTATTGCGATGGCCGAAAGGCTGAGCATGGTACCTAGGAGCTGGTTTGAGTAGATGTCACAAGACGTGCGGCTGTGCTTGCTTGTTGGAGAGACGAACCCGATAGAAATGTGCCAAGTACTATGGCGAACTTGGAAAGCGTCGATTGGTGATGTGCCATGATGCGGGGCGTCGACAGAGTTGTTGCTGTGACGAGGAGCACACTGGGACTTGGGGCGTTTGCGGATGTGGAGCTAGAGTTGCATGAGGATTGTTGGTTCTATAGTATACTTGCTGCCCGATACTGTCGAAATCACTGCTCGGCTTCAGTGACCTAGATGCCGACGTTACCAGGACGGTCGAGATCGGATCATTACGTTATATGGAGCCAAGCCATGGTCGGGGTATTCCCAGCCCTCTACTTAGCATACGCGTGGGTACCGACGCTTACTCATTCGCGAAATTGCAAGATATGATGCCTTGGTCGAAGGGCATTTGGATTCTCGTTTGTTACTGTACAGTGTGGGGCAGAAGTTACATTTGATATCTGACGACAAGATGCCATGCTACGCTGTACTCGGCGCCACAGGCCGCACCGGCCAGGCGCTTCTTTCTGCCCTCCTCTCACGCCCACAGGCTCAGATCCACGCTTTCTGCCGTAATAAGCGAAAGCTGGCGGACGCCTTCCCCGATCTTGACAACTTGAAGCAGATGGCAGTGTTCGAAGGCAACGTCACGGACACGGATCTTATGGCCAAGTGTGTGCAAGGTTGTCAGGCCATATTCCTGGTTATCTCAACGAATGACAACGTCCCCGGCTGCAGAATGAGCCAGGACACGGTTCTCGCCGTGCTTGCGGCCCTGGAGGGGCAAAAGAAACAGGGTTCAGGGGTGCCACCCAGACTAGTGCTCCTTTCATCCTGCACGGTTGACGAACACCTCTCACGCCATACGCCCTGGCTCCTTCGGCAGATTCTCCTTTTGTCGGCGTCTCAGGTCTACCATGACCTGATGGAAGCGGAAAAATTGTTGCGCGCGCAAGAGAGCTGGCTTACGACCATCTACATGAAGCCTGGGGCGTTGGCGCTCGACAAGGCGCGAGGCTATGCCTTGAGCTTTACGGACGAGGACAGTCCAGTCACGTACGAGGATCTGGCAGGTGCCATGATTGAGGCGGCCGAGGACCAGGGCGGAGTCTACGATGGCAGGAACGTGAGTGTGGTCAACACGAATGGAAAGCCGGTGTTCCCAAAGGGCACGCCGTTGTGCATTGTGGTTGGATTGATGAGGCACTTCTTCCCTGTTCTGCATCCATACCTCCCTACAGGACTTGGGCCGTGAGATGGCTCTAGGCAGTGCATCGTACTGTTTTCTAGTTTAGCTCTTCACATATGTATCCTACCTCAAGGGTAACTTTTGTGAGACAAGGGTTTGGAGCAGGGATTTTAGCCACATAAGTAGTCGATCAAACGAGCAGTAATAATACAAAGCGTTCAGGCGACTGCCTGCAATCTTTTCCAGAATTTAATTCGCTTAGCGTATCCACTGTATATATTACGTACAGACTTAATCTATTCTCGTGTAGGAAACAAATTTCTACCCGTACTTCCTATACTTACAGCCTCTGGCTCAGATCAGCTTGGCTTTACTTGGTAGCTTAACAAAACTTACCCTTGAGAGATAGTAGTATCCGGCTCATCGCCTCGTCGCAAGAATGATCTTGGCGGGCCATCGGCCACGCGCAGACGTACCTGGCGCAAGCATCGAGTCCAACTCGTCGAACAAGCGCGCCATGGCTGGCGACTGATCTGAAATGAAGGGGAAGGAGAGGGCATGCTCTCTGACGCCCGCCCGATCCATTTCGAACTCCCAGCCCGCTTCTTCCTCGAACACGTCGACATCGTCGGGCCCTGTGTGGTTCGGTTCAGTATTGAGGTGCGTCTTTGATGCAGGCAGCATGCCCGTCAGCCCACCACGGTGCATGTTGAGGTGCACTCGCTGGGCGCCTGGCTGGAAGAGGGACGTGTCAAGCGGGGCGGTGTTGTATGTGCCCTCGGTCCTTGCCATGACGGCGATCGTCTTCGCTTGCTCCCCTGCGCCTGCCTTGTCGAGCAGCTCCTGCCCCCCCTGCTCGCTGATTCGCTCCCATAGCGCCTGCAGCGCCTCATCGTCGAAGCGAGCCGGCCCGAAGGCGGCTGCGGCGAAAGTGCCGCCAGGCCGCAGCTGCCGTGCAATAGCCGCCATGGCGGGCGCTTGATCAGGGAAGTGCATTACGTTGGCGGCAAAGACCAGGTCGACGCTGGCGTCGTCAACACTGCCTGCATCCTCGACCCTGGCCTGGCGGTACGAGTAACCGTCCTGCCCTAGCCGTCGCTTCGCAAGCTCGACATTGGATGCGCTGATGTCCGAGACGATGACGTGAGCGAAGCGCGCTTTCAGCTTGGCTGCGTACAGCCCGTCCCCTGCACCAACGTCGTGGGCTGTTGTGAAACCACCCCCGTGCTGCTCGTGATACTTGAAGATGCGATCGGTGAGAGATTTGGGCGGCTGCGGCCGGCCTTTGTTGTAGTTGTTCCAGAAGCTCTTATCTTTGTTGAAGATGTTGGTCGTGCTGTTGTTGCCGTTGTCGTTAACAAGTGCGGGCGACATGGTGGTAGAGGTGGTGCAACGAGCACGCGAGGATACTGTCCGCACAGCAAGGCAATCTACGAGTATAGGCAGAGAAGCTTGGCCACGAGACACTAGTCACGTACGAGTGCACACGAGGGATGCCAGGGACGAACAACTCCCATGCTCGTAGCAACCCGGACATGAACTATCGCCAGACCAAGTGCAAGGGGACTAACGAAATATACCGACCTCGCAACATTATTGGGTAGCGACGCACAGCGGCCTGTGCTAATTATCCACCACCGTACCTCGCGCGACCGAGCCGTACTTGACAAGCACACCGGTACGACGTTACTCCCCCGCATGTAATGCACGCCGAGCCTGCTGGCTACGCACTACCAACAGTCTAGTATACGAACCTAGATGCTAGGTATAGCTGTAGTTGTAGTTCGGACTAAAAATATACTACCCTCGGGGCGTTATCGGATAGCGACGCATAGCGCAAGCGGGCGGCCTAAATTAATTATCCACCAGATGTCGATCCCCCGCATCTTACATACGCCGAGCCTGCTAGCTACCCACTACTGGTAGTCTGCGAACCTAGATGCGACGTATGGTGCGAGAGTTTCTGCACGAGCGGATAATGCGCGCCCGTCTTCGTAGCAGCCTGAGGGTTTTTGCGTCGTGACAATGTTCAGTGTCGTGACAATGTCCAGTCTGTCGCAACAATCGCCATGAACCACGAGGGCGCAACTTTTGTCCACCATCTGGCTCGCCAGGTTTGTCCAAAGCTGTCAGGCCTAGGCCTGAGCCTGCTACCGCTCTGACCAACCAACTGACCGTTTGTCACAGGCCCAGTTGCTGTCCTGTCTGCACTGGCTCAGCACCTTCCAAGTGCTGGCCTGTATACCTCTTACACAGTCTGTCCCCATCCAAGATGTGGCCGACCTGGCTGGCGTCCCCTTGTCGCACCTCCTACGCATCGTGCGCGCGACCGCAACAGTAGGATTCCTCCATGAGCCGGAGCCAGAATTCGTAGCACATACAGCACTATCGAGCCAATTTGTCACAAAGCCGTCGCTCATCGATGCCGTTCTCTTCATCTGTCATACCGCCATGCCTACTGGCCTCCAGATGGCTGAGGCGACTCGGCTGCAGGTGCAGTCGCCAGACAGCTCGCCATGCGCTTATGCGTTGGCCTCTCGCGCTGTCAAGGGCCGTAGTTCTGAGAATGGCCAACAACCAAACTTGCATCGCCAGCTCATGGCGTATCAGCGCTTGTCTAATCGTGCTCTGGACGATTGCGTCACTCAGCTACTTTCAAACTTGGACTGGTCTCACTTGGATGGCGCCACGGTTGTCCAGGTAGGTTATGCCTTCTGTGCGGCTTTCGCTCACGACTGATCACTCCTCGTGCAGGTTGGCCCTCCCTCGACTGCCGCTGCACGAGCCTTGTCCGGGGCGAATGCAAACATTCACTTCATAGTGCAGATGTACGACCGCCCAAAAGGGGCAATCGAGACAGCCAGCTCCAAGTTTGGGAACATCATGGTCCAGCAGAGGATGAGGGGAGCACCGCAGCTCGTCCAAGACGCGTCCGTCTATATAATACACTCCCCGCATCTGTCCGTGCACCATACCACCAATGATCTCCGCACCCAATTCATTGTCGAGATCAAAGCCCATCTCCGCTTGCTCCAGGGTAAACCAAACGCTCAGTTAATTCTTGTCGCTCAAGTGATACCTGAACCAGGGACCGCTGATGCCGAAGTCGAGGCGGCCTCACGCTTCTACGATTTGAGTTTGCTGCAGATGGCCAATGACCAAGCTTTGGGATTTGAGCAGTTGGTGGACATGGTCAACGACATCCGTGACAATACTGGAAGACTCATCGTCACCAATAAGTTGTGCTCAAGAGACCATTCAGTGGCGGCATTGCAGGTGAAGGTTGTGTCGTTTCTGGATGATCAAGGTAGTTAATGGTCAGACTAGCTGGCCGTAGAACTGTTCCGCCCTATAGAACGTCTGGCATATGTAGTACTATCATAATAAAACGTTCTCTGGAGCAGATTAGTTCTCGCACTTCATTTGGCTTTCAGAGCGTGTAAATGGTCAGATTCCTTGCTGTAGCAACCTTGTAACATGGTGCGCATTCCGCTCGTGAGCCGTCGGCACACAGCTAGACCTCGGTACCCGGATATGACACTCTTGTACATGAATATTCTCAGAATTACTACTTGCAGCATAAATATCTTTAGGTGAGAAGACAGCCTATGCAAAGCCCAAGTCGTCGATACGCTCTTCGCCACCATGACAGCACCCACCTTCCTCCAGACAATCACGTTGCAGACTTTCCTTGAGGCCTGGAAGACCTGGGACTACAAGCGATATCTCGCCATCCTGAGCGACGATGTTACTCAGGTCATGCTACCGACTTCAATGGGTGTTCCCGCCCGTGGCCGAGCCGAAGTCGAGCATGTCCTCCCCATCCTCATGAGTGCAGTAACCAATTACAAGGTCCGATAGCTCCTGCAACCCTATCCGGTATACCTTTTTACTGATGATATGAAATTGTGTCGACCGTAGCTCACGATCCACAATGTCCTGCATGATGCGGAGAAGAATCAGGCGGCGATTTACAGCACGGCCAAGGGCGATGCGCCGTTTGGGGAGTGGGATGTGGAGTCTGTCATCTTCTTGACCTTTTCGGCGGCAGGCGATAGGGTGGCTAAGATTGAGGAGATGATGGACTCGGCGAAGATGCAGGAGCTCATGCCCAAGGTCAGCAAATACATACAAGCACAGTCATCGGCGGGAGTGAGTGGACACGGCATTGAGCCAGGCACGGAGTGATTGGTTTAGTTTATGACTATCTGGACGGATATACTAAAACTTATGGATTTATCGTTTGCGGGACAAAAGTCATAACAAAAAGGTGTTCCCCCTAGTCAACAGTTCGGAAACGTACGACGCATGACTACTGAAATCAAGACACCTGTTACATCATATCTCCATTTATGTGTACGTGTGACCGGTTATCAGCCTGAGGGAGCTGCACTTGTCGCCTGAACAGCGACGGACGCCAGCTCACGTTGCGTGGAGGACACATGCCGGGGAGCCGGGTCATTATCATTAGATCTGCGCAGGGCATAAGAGTGCGGCAATCATCACCTTCTGTAGTTCTCTGTAGTCGCTCAAAGTCCGCCTTCAAGTACCGCATAACTTAAGTCTGAACATGTCTCCCCCTACGTATGAAGGTGAGTTTCACGGATAGGATGGGGTAGCTCCCGGAGTCACTGCAGCTGATAGCAGGCGCAGAGATTCTGAACTGCCAAACGGTGCTCTTTGAATGGGCAGAAAGCTACGACTCGAAAGACTGGAAGAGGTTGAGGGCATGCCTTGCCCCGACATTGGCGGTAAATCACATACCCAGCCAGAAAGCAACGGAATGAAGACTGACCACCGCGCGCACCAGGTCGACTACAGCGCCTTCATCGACAAGAAATGGGACGCGCTTCCAGCTGATGAGTTTGTGGGAATGGTCTCGAGTACCCACTTCCTCGGCAATCCATTGATCCGGACTCAGCATTTGATTGGGTTGGGGACTTGGGATAAGACTTCTGCCGACACGATAGTTGCTCATTTGCAGCTCAGAGTCGCGCATCAAAAGTACACGGACGAGACGCTCGGAGACGTGCGACTCACGGCCAACGATCACGGGACTGGTGTGCTGACGCTCAAGTGCATTCAAGGAGAATGGAGGTTTGCCGGTCTCATACCAAGGAGTCGCTGGAGCGCAGGTGATGTGGCAAAGGTTTTCGGGCCGTAAGGCTGTGTGGCGAGATGTGATAGTTAGTCTACACCATCTCACCATCTCCATACTAAACAGACTACCTTGCAATGCACGGATGTCCCCTACGCGTATCAAACTAATTCCCAATCACCTGAGTTGGTCGTCTCAATGTCATTGACAAGCCGCAGTTTGAGTCTCTGCACTTTCAGAAACTTGGCGTGCATCATGCCGGGGTATTGTAGCTGACCGACCCGAGCGTCTTAAGGTGTTCCGCGAAAGTAGCGCATCGGATAGTACTTCTGCACATTAGACGGAACGTGCTATTGGCTTTCTTCCTATATGAGCAAGGACTCGGGGTCTCCCAAGCGCCGGGGATATTCTCGGTCCAGTTTTTGTTGTGTTGGTTCACGGCGTATAATTTGCTACGCTCTGCAGTTCTATCCACAGCCAAATAATTGCAACTATGGGTTCCATCACCAACGACAATGTCACCTCCGCCGACGCTCACAACCCGATAATCAGTCTCAATGACAAACACCTCGATGCTGGCATTGCCCGCATCGGTCCAAATCCGCCTGGATGTATCGAAATTCTCAACAAGCTGCTTCAAAAGAACCATGATGACTTTGGCATGTTCTGGCGGCCAGTTGCCGGTCATAATCACACCGTACACTCCATGTTGAGCGTCTTCGCCATGGGAGGCGGGCCAGAGCAACTGCAACGTGCGTATGATGACGACGATTTACACCAAGAGCCCATGCCTCCGCTCGACAAATCAATTGTGGCTGAGCTCAATACACCGGCTGGCTTCCTTGCACACATGCGTCAACTCGATCAGTACGCGAACTACTTGAAGTTTTTCGAGGCGGAGATACAACACAAGGGCTGGAAGGACGTCGTTTATGAATACTGCTTCAGCAAGACCGAGATTGGACAGGCTATGTTGGCACAGTTGTTCGACGGAGCGTACCATCCAATTATTCATCTGGGCTTCGGCATCGAGTTTGAGCAGCCAGGTATTGTTGCCGAAGGCTTAGCCCACGCAGCAACCCACGATCCGGCGAACATCGAGCACTTTTTCGTCAAGAGTGAGGAGCTTGCAAGGAGCGGTGACGTACCGTCTAAGCCGCTCGCGGAACTCTACGACTTGACACGAAACAACCCCACAATCAAATCGGCTGCTCTTATGCAACAAGGCCCTGTCCGAGTACGTGACGGTGTCATGGCGAACGCCATGGACGAGATGATACGCGTTGCGGCACACTACCAGCCTTCCGCTTCAGACATCCAGCTGAATGTCTTGGAAATGCTCAGCGGTGCCGCCTATGGCGCTGGCGCTGCCCAGCGGAAAGGCAAAGCATCAAAGATCGACTTCTTCTCCATGCACAACGTCACTAGTTCTGTGTTCGTAGCGTTGTTAGTAGATCAGCCCTGGATTGACCATGAGAACAAGCTTCGATTGATCGAGTGGAAGGGCCGTATGGACCTTGTTTGGTACGCATCCGGCTCGGCACCAGCCTTAGATGCCGGCTTCATCTCCCAGTACGAGCCTACGCTAAGCAAGGGCATGGACTGGAGTTCGCTGTACGCCGCCGTCAACGACTCCCATGACGATGGCCATGTGGCAAAGTTTGTGCGTGCTCTGAAGGCGGGCGAGGAGCTGGAGCAAAGGACTACCGGCGCTGAGAGCCGACTGCTTCTGGTCAGGGGTGACATGTGGTTGAGGCTTGCTCAGATGGCGTACGATACAACACACGGCTTGCCTGATATGCAGAAGTGGATCATGGGCGCTGGGTATGATCCGTTGTGGGCCAAGGTCCCCGATGTTGCGTAGTCACGAGCGGGCATTTGGGACCAAGGTAGCTCCTTTCGACAACCTAGGTAGAGTATTCACTAGATTAGTAGCACACTACCAAGGCTTAGCACTCAATGCAACACCTTCTACCGAGAAAATGAATAAAGGTTTTACTTTTCAATCTTTCGTTCTTTAATCACGAACTTTTTCAAAAATGCTTAGTATCAATAGAGACAGACGGTCTCACATTAGCTTTCAAGCAAACGGCGACATAGCACTACACTAGTTTCTCCACATCCGCAAGGAATCAAGTCTAGCATAGTCTTGCCTCCTTATCTAGAACTCCTTGTTCGCCTCTACAACCTTTCCATCATCGATAAACTCCTCGATCCAGCCAATAGTCATCCTAGCACACACTTTAGCATCAGCACCGGTCACCGCCGCGGCCGGCTCTACTCACATGCTCTTCTTCGTATCAGCAAACTTCTCGTGATCACCCACCAAATGTTCCTTGTACCACGGGTCCTGCTTCATCCGCACATAGTCGTCAACCGACTTGAAGACGACCTGGCTAAAGCAGTCGAAGTCGGCAAGGTGTACCATCTGCGGGTCGAAAAGCTGGGACATTAGCGCCCGTGTTGCGCTCTGGTTATGGATCTGTGCACGGGTTGGTTGGTCATGGGTGGGGATGTCTGTGGGCAGTGGCTGCTGACCTGAGTCCACCGTCTGATGCCGTATTTCACCATCAAGTCCTTGGTTAATGGAGCAGAGACATTGATCATGTGGTCACGGTAATCTTCTTCGTTCATGCCTGGCTTGCGGTAGCCGCATATGGTCAGGCAGAGATAGCGCGATTGCTGAGGCTCAGAGGGTAACCCGGACATGACGCCAAAGATTATCTCGACGGCCTGTGGAGGGGGATCAGTAATCAAGTCGAATCAAAACTTGGCCAGGTATTAGCCTGTAGGGTTGACGTGCTTGATAGCTGTGGCGACGGCGCCGGCGCCCGGCTGCGGCAGCCGGCTCGGTATATTGTTCTGGTAACGCCGTCAACGCATCACCGGCGCGGGAAAGGTCTCTGTGCTGGCTGGCCAGTCACTTGGAATTACCCGGTGGCGAGAGATGCTGATCAGGCTCACAGTTGGTTGGTTGGTTGAATGATTGCTTTTATTTTCGTCCACTATGAAATGAGGTTAGGCCTCAGTCACGCCTCCCTTGGGGTAGAATGGGACCTGTCTACGCTACGGACTTGTTAACGCTCCTCCGTATGTGACATTTACAGCATGCCCCGGCCGTAGGTCTGTCCTGCTTATAGCCCCCTCCTGCCGGGGAGACTAGGCTGATTTCTAGTGTGTTCGCCCTCTTTTTTTGCCCGTGGGCTATTGTACATAAAATATGAACTTCTTCTGTAAAAGGAGAGTATCGGGGCTACTAATCCCGTGAGAAAAAGAAAAATGTAAAAGAAAATGAATTCGGTATATTCTTGTTAGTGTGTTGCGTGAGGGGTGGGTGAATTGGAGGGTGTGTATAGGTGGGTATGAGGTTCCTTTTTAGGATATTTCGGCGGCTTGACTAGGGGCCCGCGGCTTCAGCTGCGTAACTCATCCTAGAAAGTACCAAGAAAATTCATGACTTTATTGGCTGGTATACTCAAATGGGTCGTGGCAACCTTGAATTAGCATCATTTCAAACTGCTGGGGTGCCCTCCAGGCCTGCACCGGTAGCAGGATGCCGCCGGATTGTGGAGAGACGATATGGGCCTTTGCCCCGCTAGGGCGCAGCCTGATCAGATTCACAGTTAACCACTGCATGGCGCATTCTAGAAGTGGAACGGTTGAGTCTATTTCTCAAGTACAATGTCTGCCTTATACAACGCCATAAACCGGGCTTCCATAGTTGGGCGCTCACAGGAAGTAATGGAATAGCATCTTCCCTTCATCAGCTTGTGATGGAATCAGGCGGCTGTGCCCAAAACAAACCATCGCTTCACTCCACCGCGTCTCTCGAAAGCAACTCGCCTGTCCTCAGCCAGCTTGCGCAGAGCTTCCTCAGCAAAAGGTTCTAGTGCCAGCGTTCGAACCTCATTATCGACATCTGCGCCGTGCATTGCGGTGACCAGCTGCTGGACGGTGACGCTGCCCTTGCTGCGCCCTTCTGCAAGTCCGGCCGTCGATCTGAAATGTCCCAATGTCTGCAATATCTGCTTCTCCCGTCGGTCTTTTTGCCGGAGCTCAAGAGAGATTTTTGCATGTAAATCCTCAATCGTTACGCCGTGAGCCGGATACCCTTTGGTGCAGTTGAGTGAGCGCATCTTTTTGAGGCTCTGGATAAATGTCCCGAGATGCTCTACAGCCGCGGTGCCAAGCCCAAGGATGTTATCACCTGTGAATCTAGAAGCTAGAATAAGCATATTGATCATAGAGACCTAGAGCAGTATGAGAGATGCAGGAACCGTGGTAGCAGTCTGTTCCGATGGCATGCTGCGGCCTAGCAGTAGATGCATTCTTCAACAGCATCAATCTCATCAAATCGTGTACTTACAGCGCTTGTTCTTCCTCCAATACGAAGCACATGTGATCGTCGGAATGACCCGGCGTGTGTACTGCACGGATCGTTGCACCCTCTACCTCAAACAATTGACCGTCATATATGGGTTGTTGCGTTTTTCCAGGCAAATTCTTGTAGATAGAGCTCTTCAACTCCGGGTATAGACGAAGCAGGTCTGGTACACCGCCAGTATGGTCGCCATGCCAGTGAGTTAGTAGCACGCCTATGAGTTTGATGCCTAAAGAGTTAAGAGTGGATGCGATAAGATTAGCCCAGTCCGGAATTCCCTGGCCGGTATCGATGATGAGACGCTCCTTGCCCGTGCCGATGATGAACGTGTTTGTTCCTTGCAGTGTAAACTGGAGAAAAGTTAGATGGTCACTCGCACAAGAACGATGATTGGGTGATGAACCTTGCCGGGATTCTGGCCAAGTATACGAAGTACTCTCGGAGTCAGTTGTTCGACGTCCTCTAGCTTGGGAAGACCTCTTTGTTGGCCGTGTAAGTAATCTTCGAAAGCGCAGATGTTGAGTGCTTTGTTGATTTGTCGGTATCCTCCTTCTCCAGGCGCCATTTTGAATGTGTTGCTGTGATGTCCGTGACTACAGACGCTGGAACTAAATAACGGGGATTTATCATTGGCATAGGCAACATGCAGATATTGCCCGCGCAGAAACGTCGGACTACGATTGGTCTGCATTCGGCCATCTCGGTACCCAGATGGTAAATACTGAGTATCAGCACAGACGCCGGGTCACTGAGAAAGACAATCAGCCGTTCTTGGAGAGCCGATACGGCCGTGCCGGCCGCAAGCAATGCCTAGGCACATGAGAGCAGGTAAGACACAGAACCTGAGTACTCTTCATCCGGTCTTGAACTTGTGTATTTTTATGCCATGCCCTCGTCCTGCTTGATCGTAGTCCTGTCGCCCCCTTCATCTTACAATACAACATCCGCACGTGCAGGATGTCTTGGCTGGATCCTCCCCGTCAGAACCTGACACCTACAACAGACTCCTCCATGGAAGAGTCATCAAACCTACGCATTGTCTGCTTTGGCAACGAGCTTCCACACGACGATCTTCAGCACTTGGTGCGTCAGCTTCACATCCATACTAAGGATCGACACCATGGCCAGGTAGCGCGCTTCATACATGAGGCAACTCAAGTCCTACGAGATGAGGTTTTGCAATTACCAACGGCACTCAAGTCTTTGATACCACCATACGAGAGCGTTCTCGACCTTGCAAACAATGCTCAACTGCGTGCTGGCCCGCTGGGCGCGTCCATCGATGGTGTCCTCTTATGCGTATTCCAGCTGGCAAGCGCTATCGGGTATGAGTTCCCACTTCCCTTCTCCGACCGATAGTTTGCTGACGCATTGCTGCAGGTTCTATGGAGACAATAACTCTGCCCATCGCTTAAACGATGCTGGAAACATCTGCTTCGCGGGTCTGGGCATTGGATTGTTGGTCGCTGCGGCAGCTGCATCAGCATCTTCGCTAGAGAATTTCGTTTCCGCCGCGCGAGAAGCAGTCCGGCTTGCTTTCCGACTAGGCATCGTGGTCGGCGAAGTCTCTCGCAACCTTCACTCTCCATCACCAGATGATCAAGGCGGTGCTCTCGACAGCTGGGCGTATGTGGTGCCCGAAGTCAGTGTCGACAATGTACAAGCTGAGCTTGATGCCTTCCATCACGCCCAGGCAGTCTCGCCACCCAGCCAGATCTTCATCAGCGCTTTTGGCCGGAACTTTGTCACCATCAGTGGGCCGCCTGGCCGCCTAAAGCATCTCTCTGGTCACTGTGACTTTTTCCGTGACCTCAGGTTGGTACCTCTGCCTGTCTATGGTGGGTTGTGCCACGCCAAGCATATATACGGCCTTCAACATGTCGAAGCCGTCTCTCAAACGGCGATGTTCGACGATTTGGCGGCGGTGCCAAGTAGGATCCTGTTCTCGACCAACACTGGCAGGCCGTTCGAAGCAGATACGGCCCGCGCACTCTTCAACAATGTTATCCAGGAGATTCTCACTTGCATCATAAAATGGGACCAAGTGGTTCAAGGCATAGTTGATCTTGGCTTGAGTTTAGGCGCTTCAAAATGCCAGATCATGGTCGCCAGGCCCTCACTACCTACGCATAACCTGGGTGTGGCGCTCGAATCGAATCTGTCAAGTTGTAAGACGGAGACTGAAGATATGAGCAAGTGGATCGACAGGCCAGACCGCCGTCCCAATCTCCCCCGAGGCAGCGCGCAGTCCAAGCTTGCAATTGTGGGTATGGCATGCCGAATGCCATCGGGTGCTACCGATACCGATAAATTCTGGAAGATCCTAGAGGATGGTCTAGATGTGCATCGAGTGATTCCTGCCGATCGCTTTGATGTCGACACGCACTTCGACCCGCAAAATCAGCGCATGAATGCTAGTTGGACACCTTATGGCTGCTTCATCGACGATCCAGGCCTCTTTGACGCGGCTTTCTTCAACATGTCGCCGCGGGAAGCACAGCAAACGGATCCCATGCAGCGTCTTGCGTTGGTCACAGCATACGAGGCACTAGAGCGAGCCGGCCATGTCGCCGACAGGACTCCAGCTTCACATCGCTCACGTACTGGAACATTCTATGGACAAGCCAGCGATGACTATCGCGAAGTTAACTCTAATCAGGAGATTAGTACCTACTTCATTACAGGAGGTTGTCGCGCTTTTGGACCGGGCCGTATTAATTATTATTTTAAGTTTTCTGGTCCAAGCTACTCGATAGACACCGCGTGCTCGTCTTCACTAGCAACTTTGCAGGTTAGTTTGAATACACGGCAGCGTATGAGACGGATTGCTAACTGTAGAAACAGATGGCTTGTACCTCCCTTTGGAGCAGGGACACCGACTGTGCGGTCGTTGGCGGCATGAACGTGTTGACAAATTCTGACGCTTTCGCTGGACTTAGCAACGGTCATTTCCTCTCTAAAACTCCAAACGCGTGCAAGACGTGGGATAGCGAGGCAGATGGTTACTGCCGTGCAGATGGTGTAGGATCAGTCGTTATCAAGCGACTCGAGGATGCGCAGGCTGACAACGACAATATCCTTGGTGTCATACTTGGCGCCGGCACCAACCACTCGGCAGATGCTGTCTCCATCACACATCCACTGGCAAGTGCACAAGCGGACCTCACTTCTCAAATCATGCGCCAAGCCGGCGTAGATCCGCTCGATGTAAGTCATGGCTTATGGTGATACCTAATGGCGAATCTATGCTAACCATGTTTGGCGAACACAGGTGAGCTATGTTGAGATGCATGGTACTGGTACCCAAGCTGGGGACATGCAGGAGATTCAATCCGTCGCTGATGTCTTTGCTCCATCTACAC